AGGGGAGCTATCCTACTCGCCCCGGCGTCGGCGTCGGCGTCACACCTTGGTTAAGTTTTTCGTACCACCCCACTTTATTTCAGAAGTATTACAAGTATGGCTTTGAAACTTACCATACTTGTTCACCATCATAACCTCCATCTACAGACAAGAGTACATAACTCTGTCAAGGTTTTTGACAGAATTATGGCCCTTTTTTGACTTAGAAAGTGTATTGAGCTTGGTTAAGTTTTTTGTACCACCTCACTTTATTTCAAAACCATTGGAGGTATTGCTTTGAAACTGACCATACTTGTTTACCATCACGACCTTCATCAACAGACAAGAGGACATAACTCTGTCAAGGTTTTTGACAGAATTATGCCCCTTTTTGACTTAGAAAATACATTGAATATGGGTAAAATCCACTTATTGCCTTAACCCTTTGAGATATTGCTTTGAAACTTTTAATGCTATTTCACATCATTACCCCCATCTGTACGCAAGAGAAGGTAACTCTGTCAAGGATTTGTTTTAAAAATTAAGGCCTTTTATCGACTTAGAATCTTGGTTATTAAGTTTTTAGTACCAGTCCACTTTTTGACTGAACTGTTTGAGATATTAATTTGAAAGTTGGAATACTTGTTTACAATCATGATTCCCAAACATGTCCAGGAGAAGGTAATTCTGTCAAAGATTTTATTTGAATTATGGCCCTTAACTGTCAATGTTTTGTATTATAGGCAAGCACTAAAAAACTTAAAAAATCTAAAAAAAATCATTCCTATCCACTTGTTCACTTTACCATAAATTATGTCATAATAAAATAATTCTTCACTAAATATCTTAATGCTCATGGCCATTGTTCACTTTAAAAATACAGAGATTCTTGTATTGCCTTTTACTGCAAAAACTTTTTTTATTGGCAAGCAATAAAAAAGTCGAGCGCGCTGTCTTACGGACAGCTCTTGTGTTAAAGAATATATTCATACTCTTGTACATAAATTTGTTACTTGTTTTGATGTTTACCGAAATAAATATGTTGAAATATCAGCTTTTGTTTGTATACTTTCTTTTCACGTCTTCTTTAACCTCTAGTAAAACTTGTTTTGGTCAAATGACGTTGAGTCAGCAGTTTCTTCAAAAAGCAGACGACGCATACAAGCATTTGCTTAAACATCCAGCATCCATGACAAACTTAAATATTGAATAAACTTCAGGACATGTGTCATCTTTTAAAAATTGTTGATTATGACCACTTGCAAAAACTGGGGAAAGGGGTCATTTTCGGTTGATTAAAATTGTCAAATTTCGGAAAAGTTACGAAAATTAAAGATGAAGTTAAACCTTTGACAGTATGTGTTATCCGACCAAGATTATTTACTGTAATAAGCCGTGTTTGAAATGTAGAGTCAATGGGAAGGTATGCTGCTAAAAATGCTAGTATTGGAAAAATAACCCGCCAAATATTTTGTTTAGGGATCTACACGATTGTATACATGGAAACTGGGAAATCCAGGCTTTAAAATTTTACTCAATTACATTGTACAAAGGGTAGCGGTCAGTGTTTGTTGTTACCCTGGTCCTGCTTGTATTTATATAAGGGATTACTCTCTCACCATGTATGAAACCGTGTGTCTAAGATGTGATTAGGGACCAATTATTACACAATTTAGGGTTCCCTGTTTGTATAATATCTCTATTAAATTTGGTCTCTACTGTGATATGCTTGTTTCTGCAATACCTAGTATTTCGCGATGAAAATGTCTGATTTCATTGATCTTGCATTGTCTATAATAAACGATAAAGAAAACTAATGTCTGCAATAATTAAACGCGGGTGTTGTTTTTAACCGTAAACGTTAATACATGTATATATGACAATATCTGGTTCAACACATACTGTCTTCGTTATTCTTATAAGAATTTCTTGAAAGAATTTTATTTCAATGCCAGCTGGGCTCAAACAGTATGGGTATAGTGTTCCGACAAAACTTCTCCTCGGTGTTTTTTTGTCTTCTGCTGACACTGTGTTTGACTCCCTTGTAAGCTACTCTCTTATATTTAGTCACGAGCTGCGTGCCAATTAACTATCATCACATGAAACTTTATAGGCATAATGTCCACCAGCTAATTCCCAACGTTTTAATTCCAAGTTTTAAAACCAGTATTCATAAACAATGTTTTTTTTTCTATTTGAAAGACCCCTTTATAAAGGGACGGGGATTTAGAACAAAGTTTTTATAATTCAACTTTCAAAGGTTTTTTTTCTCTCGCAAGGAATGTGTTAAGAAACTTGACACTATATATTATCTATTTTTACATAATCGGAATTCAATAACTCGGTAGATAGAAAACGTAAACTACTTGAATACTTATCGATCTGATAAAAGACATGTACACAATATATTCTCGGTTTATGTTGTTATTTAGCCTTAAGCCAAACGACCCTTAAAAGTCATTGATTTCCTCCTATATTTTTTCATTGTTATTTTATTTTATGACAATAAAACTACTAATTTCACAGAGCAGTGTGCCTTTTCCCATCATTTGTATTATTCAGGTATAATATATATACGACTTTAGAAATAAAAAATGTACCTGCAGGCATAAATTTTCATAAAGGTTATGTTTTAGATAAAATGTACATTTGTTTCGATTTCAAATCGCAATGAGAACTAACGTACGTTTGCACAACGTACAGAGCCTATTATAATCCAAACCGTGCATATCTCAATTGTTGCTTATTAATTTTCTTGTAGAAATTTAATATATTTTACTATATTTAGTTTTAATTTAACATATCGATCTTGTACCAAAATATGAAATAAGTCCGATCCATGAACTAATGCCAGTACTGGATTACATGACCGTAACATAAATTGGGTTCGAACTCAAAATCTGTGGGTTGACAGGCTAACATAGGGTCCCCACTTCCTTTGAAGCGCTTAAAGTGAACGTTCAACAGTGTCGTCTGCTGAGTTATAGACAAATATGTTTCAGTATACCGTTTATCTGCCATGAAAGATAAGTCGAACGTAACACATTCATAAACAATAATTAAACATGAATTAAAATATTCACCAATACTGGTTTACTGGTTTTGTCACTTCATGCACATTTAATATTTCATTGGAATCATTCATCCATGACAAATGATTTCAACTTTCCGCACGCGGAAAGTGATGTGAGCGATTTTCGAATAATAATTGTTAAGCAACCCTGAAAAAGTCTTTGAACCCTTGCAATTCCAAAAAAGTGGCGCGCAATTGTCATATATCATAGTCCATTACAAAAATTTGCGTCAAATTCTTAAAGACTTAAAGTAGTGATATAGATTTTCTTGAGTAAAAAAAAAATACGATTCCTTTAAACTGCAACACTAATTTTCATTTTAAATAACATATGTAGATTGATTGTTTAGGCCCGTGTGCAGTGCAGCCGTGGACGTTACCGGAAATGAATAAGTAAATAACTATGAGATGTCAGGCATATATTTATCTCTTTATTTAAGGATTTATTACGTGTTATTACTGTGATAAAATAATCAATGATGTCGTTAATTCAATTTATTGTGATTTTTGCAATTTTTCAAATACTGTTATGTTTATTTTAGATTTGTAATTACTAGGCAAAAGGTAGGAGGGGTCCATTTATATATGATGTAAATTTCAACGATAATAATTCCCTACTTTCCCAGACATATTTAAAAAAAATCTGTGTATAGACACTATATCTATTTCTTATTATTCTGTCACTAAAATGCAAAATGGCGTGCGTTTACCAGAAGCCGGAAAAAGAACAATGGCCTGGTTTAAGCTGATGCCAGACGCTGTGGATAGAATGGTTGTGTGTGAACTAAAGAAAAAATAAGAGATTATAGGCGCAAAATGATTAGATAAGAATGTGTACTCTTAAATCTGCGGATTAGGTTATAAATATTTTTATTCCTGCTGTGCGAAACCGAATTTAATTGTTAAATAATGCATATTAACATTTAATATAAATCCAAAGTGTAAATGCATTATAGATTGCCGTGAGATATTTCCTACTTTTTCTTCATGACTTTAACAGAAATTTCGAAACTAAAACTTATAGATGTAAAATAAAAACTGTATCTATATGGGTACAGAGTCAAACTGTATCTATAGGTAGAGGCAGCTGTCCCAGGCTGAAATCAGATGTACTCCTATATATATGCTAGTATACTAAGTATAATCATAGAATTTTGATACACAAGAAATTTTTTTACAATTATTTCTTTATTTCCATTACCTTAAAAACGTGCATTAAATAAGAAAGCATGAACATTTCTTTATAGAAATTATGTGTACAAGTCTTTAAACATGTGAAATAAGAGATTTCTGTTTTGTATGCGTATACATATGTACGGGTTCACAGATATCCACGGGTACAATCATCAGTGGCCGTGGCACTATCAGGATATACAGCAACGAATGTTATAGAGCCGCATCAGATGAAAGAACAACTGTTAAAAAAGCGGGAAATTATAAGTATTAGAAGCCAGAACTAATAAATAAAGTACTTGAAACCATTAATTCCTATCTTGGCATGCACGTCTACAGTGCAGTGTTGACGAATAAAAATCGTCTTTTTAAAACTTTTGTTAATTTGAAGAGATAATAATAATAATAATTATCATAATAATCATAATAATAATTATTATTATTATTATACATTAGATCTATATTGTATATATTTAATATTATTAAAAAAAAAGTTGTAAATGGCTTTTTATTTTACACGCCTTTGTTTTCTGATATGGAGACTTCGCGTCTTTCTGGGTTGAAAGAAGTGATTTTGATAAACGCCTTTAATTAACAATACTCTTTTAACAAAAGATTTCTGAGAAGCTCAATTAGCGATATGATAAAAACATATCGCACTAACTGGCGCTAATTGACTTCCGGTTCCTGTCAAACGGAATATTACGGAAATTTCCGAATGACGTCTCACAGTTGAATGGCTTGTTATTAGTCATGTGACCTACAAAACAAGTTTTCATTGGTTCATTCGAGGCTAGCGGGGAATTCAACGATTGCATATAGAAATACATTGCCATTCAAAAATTTCTTTCAAGAAGAGAGCTTCTCTCGTTTGAATTTTGAAAAAGGCTTCGCAATTTCGTTGAAAGTGAAGAAATAGACTTAGTTTCATACTTTAGATTTCTATAGATTGCTTTTGCAATCTTATTTATTTATTTGAATTTGAAGGTCGTCATTGTGCGGAAAAATTGAAAATGTCGCAAGCATTTGCACTTCATCAGGATGAAAATCAGATGCCACGCCGAGGAAAGGGAGCTATCGTTAAGGGTAATGGTTTGGGAGGACAGAAACGAGCAGCTTTAGGTGTTATCACGAACCAAGTAAATCAGAATCTTCGTGTTCAACCTGCAAGGGCGGCTAAACCAAAGGTAAGCTTTTGTTCGTTTTGAAACTGAAAGCTCTTTTTGAAATTTGAACACGATAAGCCAACCGTTGTGCATATTTGTTTTATAAGAATAGTACCATGTATAGACTAAATCTCATTTGCTTATAATGAAAGATTATTTCGCAAAACCAACATTTCCCTCCAAAAAAATCTGCTAGTCTACTGTAGTCTAAAGCACAACACATAAAACAATGAATTTTATTATTGCCTTGCTCTTTTGAAAATCAGTTTTATATAAAATGTTTCCCATTTCAGTCTTCAGATTTTGGTATCCAAGATGAGAATGCATTTACAAAGAAAAGTGCAAAAACGTTTGGTCAGCAACCAAGTCAGTTTTCAGTGTTTGTCGATGAGCCTGCAAAGAAAACAAAGGCTGTAGCAAAGGCGCCAGCTGTATTGAACACAAGTGCAGAACTCACAGCTGCTGTGACTGCTGTTCCACAACCAAGACTCCCTTTAGCAGAAGTACCCAGTTCTCCAGATATAATATGCTTGGAGGATTCTATGGGTATATATTTTCATCTATATTTCACCACAAAAATTTAATCCACATGCATGTCTCTGAAAAAACAGTACATTTTCAAAATCCTTGACTATAAGCTGTATCTGGTACTTGGATTTAGCTCGTTGAAAATTTGGAAATACTTGATGTTTTGGAAAATAGTGAATGTTCTTTACAATAACCCCAATTTGTTTAAACTATATTTTTGCATGGAATTTCTTACAGGATGATATTAAAAATACTTTTTATTTTTACTAAAAATATGATGCATATTTTGGGCCGTTTAGGCAAATAGCTCTGAGTGAAGTCTGGAATGTACAGGGGATGCCGAATACTGCATTTTACTAGGTTTTCAAATTTGTGTGCGGAATACTGCATTTTACTAGGTTTTCAAATTTGTGAACGGTCCATCAAGAAGCAAATTAAAATAATTGTTCAAACCCTAAAAAAAGTACAAAAAATTTATTTAGGTTTTAATCCTAAAACGTTGCTCGTAAATATTGTTGGTGATCAACAAATAAATCAATAAAAAGTTGATATCCCATTTAAGCTATTTCGTACAAATCTGCAGACAATCTTCTAGAATTGAAAAAATACAGTAATGTGTATGGGAGAAAAAATGCTTATTTTTTCTCAATTTTGTGTGGTAATAGTTAAGTATAACAGGTCTATCATACATTAATTTAATGAAAATGAAAAAAAAATACTGGTTAGGTTGATCAGTTTATGAATCTTGCTCACAAATTAATTTTTATTTCATGTATTTACTTATTTCAGAATCGCCTATGGTGCTTGATATATCAGAAGATGAAAAGAAACCACTTGATAGAGAAGCTGTGATCTTGACTGTCCCAGAATATGAAGAAGACATTTACAACTACCTCAGACAAGCAGAGGTATGTTATTTTTGAAAACACTGACCAAGTGAATAAAAAGCTCCATACTGTTGCAAAAGTTACTGGAATAGCTTGCTGACAATTGATGGTTCTGCTTTGCTTTTAAAGAGAAGGAAGTGGAAACACTGACCGAGAAAATAGAATGCTACATATTGTTGCAACACTTACTGGAATAGCTTCTTGAAAATCGATGGTTCTAATAAGTTTTTAAAAGGAAAGATGTGAATCATACTAAAGCACCTTGGATAACTCTGTGACATTTAAATGTAAATTATTTACGGACATTGCATAAAATAATTATATGTAAATTTCATTGTATTGCAATATTTTGATTTTAGTTGAGAAATAGAGCAAAGCCAGGATACATGAAAAGGCAGCAAGATATCACATCATCCATGAGGTCCATTTTGGTAGACTGGTTGGTAGAGGTTTCAGAAGAATACAAACTACACAGAGAAACACTTTTCCTGGCGGTCAACTACATTGACAGATTTTTGTCAAAGATTTCTGTATTGAGAGGAAAACTACAGTTGGTTGGTGCTGCTAGCATGTTCTTGGCTGCGTAAGTTTTGAAAATATTTTTCTCGTATTTGATTAAATGCACATGATACAACACTTACAAGGATGCCAATTTTCCGCAGATTTCGAGGTCACCAGGACATCTTTTGTGAATGATTTACATCTCTATCTACCAGTTTCCTTCTGTCTATTTTGTCAGATTGTAAATATTTGGACTGTACCGCCTTTCGGATATGTTCAGTCATTGTGAGCCAAAAACATATACCCAGAATCTTTCTGTAGTTGAAGAGAAAAAAATGTCCGCCCATTAGCAAAAGTGATAATCAGTAATGAAAATGTTTGAAAAAACACTAAAAGGAAATGAATTCTAGACCATTTGAAAGTATGAAAATCTAAGTTTCCTTGGCCCTGTCCCCAACCAGGGCTCTACCCTGGACCCGCATGGGGACCGCTTGCATTCATTTTACTTTTTTTCAAATTATCTGTTGGCATTCTGCACTTACAGGCATAAAATGTCTTATAAGCAAAAGATTATTATAAAATTTGTTAAAAAAACTGAATGGTACAAGAAAATTTTGTTTGTCTTTTCAGCAAATACGAGGAAATCTATCCTCCAGATGTGAAAGAATTTGCATACATTACCGACGACACATACACTGCCCAACAGGTTCTCAGAATGGAACATCTTATCCTTAAGGTGCTCACTTTCGATGTGGCTGTGCCTACCACAAACTGGTTTTGTGAGGACTTTGCTAAATCTTGTGATGCTGATGACAAATTGAAATCTTTAACCATGGTAAGAGGTTTTTTTTTTAAAAAAACTTTTGTCTATAATATAATAATGCATAAAAAACAATTAAATTTCACTTGTACACAAAAACTTTCTAACAAATAAAACTTTTTTAAAAATTTGTTTTTTTAATTAAAAATTTAAATTTTTTATCATTAAATGTAAAGTTTTCTGGATAAATACGGTTTTTATAATTTCATTAAATCATAAAAAAAATTAAAAAATTTCATTCTTTTCAGAGTTTTTCTTTTGGGTTTGAAATGGACACCTAACCCAAAATTAAATTTCCAAACATTTTCAGGGAGCAAACAAACATTGTTCTAGCCCGAATATTCACTTGGGCTTGAACCCTGGGAGGTTTTTTTTATTTTGGGAGAATTTCATTCAAATTTTTGTAGCTACTTCCTTCATAAATTTTTCAGTCCCCAAACAGGGCCATATTCAAATTTTTGGGAAAAAATTTTGAGGTGACAATGATTTTAAATTGCCCTTCTTTGGGTTTTTGGTCTATTACTTCCATTTTGGCATCGTTATTTAATGTGGATGAAGTGTTTTGCTATGCTAATTAGGGGCCAAAAGTTCTTATGACCAATTATCTGAGAAGAGAAGACTGCTCCCCTCTTCATAATTGGCTTTGGTGGATTTTAGATCTTGCAGACTTCCAATCTATTATCATTAAGCATTTTTAATACAGTCTAACTCTTGAATTGTTGGTTCACATGTTTTGTCATCTTTGGTAAAATCTTTGAATCGGTTAGATTTATTGGAATTGGATTTTTATCAGCTTAATTGAAGACATTTGTAAATTTGTCATTTATTCTGCTTATTGAATTGTATTTGAGTTTGTGTACATTTTATTTACATTTTAGACTGCAGCATTAGTGAAAAAGACAGGTTATGAGATTGGACACTTTGTTGATTGTCTCAAGGACTTGCACAAGACCTACCAAGGTGCTGAAGGACACCAGCAACAAGCTGTCCAAGAAAAATACAAACAAGACAAGTAAGTTTTATCCTCCTCTAAGTTTCTAGTTTTGTATGATAAACATTGTTCAAGTGATTTTTAAAGCAGGAATGTTTTTGAAGGATATAATTCAAATTTGTTGCGCATCAGCATTGAAAGGGTAGTTGTTGGAAATGAAATATCAATTTGAAGCTTTCAAATTAGCCTGTAGTGCAAATTGCACTGTTTTTACAATTAGTTTAAATAAAAATATCATTTTACTGCAATTGTAACGAAAACTGAAATTTATTTGAGCTTACACTGCGACATCTGTTTCCTGGGAACTAATCCCTCCTGGTGGTGTGAGCCCACCAATTCATATATACCTTATCATAAGGCTACCTGGGGACAGGCAAAATCTGTTTTTGACTTGTCAATTTTCATCTGAAGCATTTTTTTGCTCGTCCATTTGATATATATTTAGTAAATTCTTGAAAATTGATTTTGCTGTCCCTACTCATCCAGTACAATTTCATTAAGCTGTCCGTAGAAATAAACTGCAGTGTTTTAACTTTATAATCAAGGTGTTTCTTAATCTTTTATTTAGAAAGATTTATTACATAAAAACAAGTTATTGAAACCACACAATGCATCAGAATCGTTGATGAATATATTTGAAAGTTTATGAGTTGTTTTTTTTTTCAAGTTATTTATCATGTGTTGCATTATTTTCCAGGTACCAACAAGTATCCGACTTCACAAAGAATCCAGTGCCTCACAGCTTGGCTTTATTGTCACTTTAGATAACTGGGCTACTTGTAGTATATTGTGTTCTCTACCAGAGTTCTTTCATGGACTGATAAATGTTGGATAGAGGTCCGCCTGCAAATAACCAAATACAGTTTACAGTGCTACAATATCGCACCGGTCTTCGATATGAATTGTTCCAGGGTTTCATCATGTTCCTTTCTGTATATGAACCATTCCTAATAATACTTAAAGAAAGTAAAATAAGACATACTGTTCTGAAAATGATAATAATTGGTATACTATTTCAAAAGATGGGGTTTAAATTCATACTACATAATTAAAAAAGTTCTACACCTATTTTGTACAGAAGGAATTTTCTACATTTTGATTCTTTCTAAACCCATTTTATACATAAAGAATGTCGTGAAACCCTTTTGAATGGTGTAAATGAGATCCGGAAACTTTCAAGGGGGAGATGTCCTGTGTACTGTAGATGGTTGTATGTAGGCGGAGCCTATTTATTACAAAGAATCAAGGTGCCAAGGTGATTTTTAACATTGCTTCTCTACGAGATGAGATACCACTGATGATGTGTTCAAGTTGTTTTACCGCCAATCAGGATCTTAATTAATTGCTTTTAACAGATTTTAAAACTGACATACAGTGAAGGATGCTTTTTGATAAATATTTTTAGTGCAATAGACAGGCAGCATACATTAATTCATTGATTAATTGAATGAAATGTTTACCATTGGTGTTCATATTACAAACTGGTCATGCTTGTGTGATTGAAGTATGCATGAAATTTGAAAGACTGACTCCTCAAGAAATCTAAAAAGCTTCTACATTAGATAGCCTACATCCAAGAGGATTTATAAATGCCTATTGCATTTTTATTTGTGTTGTGAAATTGCCTCTTCGAGGATGACTAAAATCTATGATTTTAAAAAATGGCAAACCAAATATAACATTTTATTATAAAATCAGTGCATGTAGATTCTTTTATGTCTATATAATTGTTTTGTACAGTGTATATATTGTTTTTATGTCCGTCTTAAAACTATTCTTCATCTTTTTACTCTCTTTAAATCTACCATCATTTCTCATCAATTGCAAAATGACATCCATGTTCAAAAAGATTCATTCATTTGTCGTATTCATTACTCCTTCCCAAAACTTACATTCCAAAAGACACAATCATTTTTTTAAATGAAAAGTAGTAAACAGAAATCATTATATTTTTTATTTCGTTTTTAATACATTTTATGGAGTCCTCATTATTTTTAAGTCTTTTTGTACATGGATCAATTATTTTTATGGAAAAGGATTTAAGAGATAACCATTTTATGTTTTTAACTTATTTATAATTAAAAGTTATTAAAATACTTTGTATTTTCTTGTTCTTTCATAACAAATTACTATTGGAAATGCTAGTTCTGTGCAACATGATCACTTGATGGGAATGAAACGTAAAGATAGAAAAGATTTTGTTAGTTACCCCACGTGGTGGAGAAAACCCACATTTGCAGCATTTTGGATAAGTTGCTGGGTCACTTCTAGCTTTACTCGTTTGTAAATTGTCAACCTTATTCTATGACAGAAAAGTCTGCCTTCCAGTTATTTAAATTGATTGCATTACTTTTGGCAAAGGATAACACCACAGATATGCCCTTATAAAGCTGTAAATTCATGTACTTTAGTGAAATAGTTGCAAATGAAATAATTTCGATGAAAAGTTGTTTTGAGGTAGAATATGCCAGGAAAAAATATCGGACATGTTTGTGGTTCCGATTGTTATCAGTTGCGAAGACAGATATTTTTAACTAACACATTATCTAACCCTGATAAGCAAAGTAAACGTGGACTGAAAAATGGAAATGACTGCCAAAAGTTTATCACTTCTTGCACTTCTACCATTTTGTTCTAGTAAAGTGTGTTACAATATATATATGAATGAGTACACATTACTTTGGACCTCATCGCATTCTAGTGACCTCCCAGTCGGCTCCAAGCATTCAACGGGCCTCAGCCTTTGGTATGTTAAATGTTTGCAGGCTAACTGATTGTTCACTAATAATGCAATGAGGACCTTACGGCCTTGGTGCTGTGAACTTTCTTAAATATTGAGCAGCTTTTAATTATGCACGAAGGAAAGGTCACAAATCTACAAACAAGCATTGTAATCTAAATTGTAATTCATAGGGCAATCCAGTGCATAATTAAGTACACGATATGAGCTACATCACGACAAAACCAACATGATGGGTTTGCGACCAGCATGGATCCAGACCAGCCTGCGCTTCCGCGCAGCCTGATCAGAATCCATGCTGTTCGCTTACAAACCCTATAGCAAGTAGAGAAAGTGATAGCGAACAGCATGGATCCTGATCAGACTGCGCAGATGCACAGACTGGTCTGGATCAATGCTGTGTCGCAAACCCATTCTGTTGGTTTTGTCGTGACGCGGCTCATATACCAGTGCGCACATCAAAAAGGAATGATTAAGTGATACAGCACTGTGTAATTGATCAGCACCATGTTGCCAGTCTGTTAACAAGTTGGTATCCACTCTATCTACTGGTGAAATGAAATTGAAATCACATGGCACAAGTGTTAACCATAATGAGACGATATGTGGTGTGTAGGTTTGACCTTTGGGTCAAAGTCACACTTTGACATGTATGAAATTTCAAAATCAGTATTCTTTTAAACTGATGGAACAAAATTTAAACTAGACTATACAAATTCTTTAATCTTTAAAAAATTCTTTTAATTATGATTCTATTCAAAAGAAAATTTCAGAAAATATTGAACAATGTGCTAAAAATTTCATGTTGAATGAAATAATGTGTCCAATAATTTTACAGGTGATTACCCACCAGCTGTTTCATGCTCGATTGCATATTTTTTTTTCCGCAAATTGTTAAATTAACTGTTCAATAGAATTTCTTTTAATTTGCTTTTTTATAGACTCCTCGTACTTAAAGTTCACAAATTCTAAAAACGACTAGTTAAATGCAATTCTCCGTACTTCCTGTACATTCTAGACCTTAACTCAAGGGTATTTGCCCAAATGGCCTGAAATATTTATATAAATATATTTTTGAGTAAAATGAAATAAAACTATGATTTTATTAAAACATAAAAAGTCATTAAATATTATCCTGTAAGTAATACCATGCAAAAATGTGGTTTAACTCCAGCGCTAAATCCAAATCCCAGATACAGCTTTATATAGCCAAGGAATTTGAAAATGTACCCTTTTTTCTGAGATATGCATTATGGATTACTTTTGTGGTGAAATACCCCAATTTTTTTTTCGCTTAAAAAAGTTTCTGTTATCATATTCTAACAACATGCCAAGTTTAAAGAAATTCTATAGAACAGTTTTAATTTTGCCTATATGTGAAAACTCCCGAAAATAAACAAATATATTATATTAAATATCAAGAGGCTGTGTAGTTGCTGAGAAAAATGTTACTAAAATTTCCCACCACTGACCATTAAATGTTGAAAATTTAACTAAGTCGGTAACCAGGATGTGGATAAGCATCAAACCTAAAATCGAAACCCACGGTATGGGACCTTGTGTTAATGCTGTATATAAATATCAAGAGGCTGAGAAAACTGTTATGAAATTTTTTACCCACCCAACATTCACCAAACTATAACACAGGTTTATGCAACCTGGCCAAAAGTTATGGAAGTGAGTAAGAAAATTTCTCTTGTATATTTGCCAGACCAATGTGCAGGATACAGGGATTCAAATAGGCAACCCTCTTTTCTAAAGAATTTAAACAAATAACAGAGCAACGTTTTTTTATCATTTTTTTACAGTAAAGTAGGTACAATGTATATCACAAATCAGGATTTCCGCTTTTTCTTTCTGTTGCTCTCTGTTGTTTGTTTCCTACAATACACATAAAATGACAATAAAATACAAATGTTATACCAATATCTTAATAGGTGAAGATATAGAGGATATTTGTTTATTATATACTTATAAATGAAATATTGAGAAATATTGATGAAATAAAATGCGTATTTTCATTTTCCGTATTTTCACTGTAAAAATTTATTTTTCACTGCAGTGAAACATATTTTCCGTATTTTCACTGGTGTCTTACCGGACTACTTTCTTTTAAATTCTGGCAGTACACAAAATTTAAGGGAAAGTCTTTGAAATTTTATTGCAAAAAAGAGAAAAATGTATATAATAAACAGAAAATTCAAGTTTTTTCTATAAATACATGATTTATTTTCATCTTGTGGCATGAAAATTACCATATTTCACTCGTGGCTACGCCACTCATGAAATATTTATTTTCATACCACTCGATGAAAATAAATCGTGTATTTATAGAAAAAACTTGAATATCCTCTATTTAGTTCAGTGTAAGATCGGAATTTATTTCACCGAGTGAATACCAAAAGGTATATTTCACGAGTGGCGAGTGAAATATGAACTTTTGGTGTTCACAAGGTGAAATATATTTCGATCTCACACTAAACTAAACAAATTTTCTTTTTATTACATGCAAAGAAACTTTTTAAAAAGACATTAAACCTAATACTGAATGAAAAGCGCGCTAAATAATAATACAACGTGACGTCATTTACGACGTCACATCATTAAGTTGGTACCCAGTACTGTGAACGCTGGTATTTCACTGAAACAACGTAAGGGGCTTAAATTCAAAACAGTGAAATTATCAAAGTGGTGATTTCACTGTTTCAAACAGTGAAATTACCAGTTTTATATCACTGATATATTTCTATGAACCACTGAATAGCATGTAATAAAAAGAACTTAATCACATTAGAGACTGTCTATGCTTTACTACACATTCATGACACAGATGTTTAATCAAATGCAAACTGTTAAGTTGTTCCATAGTATACAGCAGTCAAAGAGAACACGATTTGCACTTGGAATGCACAGTTTTATGCATGAATACAATCTGATTAAAACCAGCTTCTAAATTGCTGTACTAAATGTAAGGCATAAAAGGAGTAGAACTAAACTTGTGCAAGAATATTGTATCATTATTTTAATTAGATGGGATGGATATAAGGTATTTTCTTACGCAGCTGTCTGTCCAAGTATTTCTGTAGTTTCCTCCTCGCTTGAATACCCTTGATTTCCAGCACCTGAAATGTAATCTGATAATGGTAATTCAAGCAAATACAGATTATCTTATATGTATCTTTTTAACATCAGATTAAACTTATTAAATCCTTGGTACTAAAATGTTACTTTATAGCACTTGCATAACTTCTTTAACTTGGCAGACACAAAACTGTTCTACATTTGACCTTCAAGGGTGACTTTGACCTTGAGCCTGCACAATGGCAGCATTAGTCCTGCACATTTTCTTGTTAAAGTGAACATTTAAGCTAAGTTTTAAGAAAATCCTTCAAATGATTCACAATTTTATAGAGCAGACACAAAATTATGCCCTTTTTGACCTTCAATGGTATTCTTGACCTTGAACAGACACAATAGTGGCATGGATTCTGCACATCACCTTGTTGATTTAACAATTTGAGCCATCATCCTTGAAGTAAATTCTTCAAGGAGAACAGGATTTATTGAGCACTTTTAATATTTTCTGATAATTTGACTTTTAACTTTAAGGGCAACCATGAGACTGCACAATAGTATCATAGATTATGCACACTGTCATGTTGGAGCGAACAATTGCAACAAGCTTAGAGAGAATCTTCAAAGGGTATAGGATTTATAGAGTGGACAGATGGAGACAGAAGGAATAACTGACCGACCTACACTGACTCCAAAATAGCCCCACATTATGTGGTGAGGGTATAAAATAATCATTATTTCTTTGAGCTTTTTCCACCATTTCCTCTTCTACCACAACAAATTTACAAAAAAATCTATATAATACAAGCTACTTGAAATTGTATAAAGGAGAAAAATAGTTAATGTTCTGACTGCAGACTGCATTAGGATCAAACAGTCAAGTAAAACACAGAAACTTGTCATGATAATAAAAGGTACTAAGCATTTTAAGAATACAACCATACCTGGGACAGGCTTGTCAATATTGGTCTTTTGTGACTTTTGTGTTGATTTCTTTGTTCCTTCATCTTTTAACTCCTCCATTTCATCGTCCACATTCCAAGTATTTTTACCACCAAGGCCTATACTACCAACACCACTGTCCTGCAAATCAAAATAATTATATAAAAGTTATTGCTTCCTGTTTAAGTTAACAGCATTTGACATTAAAACTAGAAATGTGTCCATAGGACACGGATGCCCCCACACGCCACTGTTCTGTCAATCTTATGACTCTAGGTCAAATATTTTTTGGACTACATGTGCCACAAGTTGAAAACTAAAAATCGACAAAGGGCCATAATTCTGTTAAATTTGGTCGAAGCAAAAATTCCTTCCTTTACTACCATCTACACATTAAGGTTGTTAATCCCTGGAAGTTTAAGCAAAATCTGCCATCCGGTTTAAGAGGAGTTGCGTTCACAAAATTTCTACATAGTATATAATGAAAAAATCAACAAAGGGCCATAATTCTGTTAAATTTGGTTGCAGCAAAAATTCCTTTCTTTACTACCATCTACACATTAAGGTTGTTCATCCCTGGAAGTCTAAGCAAAATCTGCCATCCGGTTTAAGAGGAGTTGCATTCACAAAATTTCTACATAGTATATAGTGAAAAAATCAACAAAGGACCATAATTCTGTAAAATTTGGTCGCAGCAAAAATTCCTTCCTTTACTACCATCTACACCTGTAGGTTGTTCATCCCTGTAAGTTTAAGCAAAATCTGCCATCCGGTTTAAGAGGAGTTGCGTTCACAAAATTTCTACATAGTATATAGTGAAAAAATCAACAAAGGGCCATAATTCTGTTAAATTTGGTCGCAGCAAAAATTCTTTCCTTTACTACCATCTACACATTAAGGTTGTTCATCCCTGTAAGTTTAAGCAAAATCTGCCATCCGGTTTAAGAGGAGTTGCGTTCACAAAATTTCTACATAGTATCTAGTGAAAAAATCAACAAAGGGCCATAATTCTGTTAAATTTGGTCGCAGCGAAAATTCCTTCCTTTACTACCATCTACACATTAAGGTTGTTCATCCCTGTAAGTTTAAGCAAAATCTGCCATCCGGTTAAAGAGGAGTTGCGTTCACAAGATTTCGGGACGTACGGACTGACGGACGGACGGACAAGTGCAACGCTATATGCTCCCACATTGTGGGGGCATAAAAAAGATTTGCAACTATATTTATTTGTTAGTGTGATGTGTTTAAGAACATGTGCACCAATACAATAACTAGAAGGGTTTTTGTCACAAAAACATATGTCTCCTAAAACTATGGACCAGTAGTTTGACCTGTGAAGGCCGGACAAGATTTTTCTATTTTTAGCTCTGTCGGCCATTTTGTGCAGCAAACTGGAACATGCCGGTAATGTGCAAAACTAGTGATGGTACTGATCACTCCTGTAAAGTTTGGTTGAAATCCCACCGGTAGTTTGACCTGTGAAGGGCGGACAAGCTAAATGCGGACGATCGGACAACTGAAAGGACAGACAACGGACGGACAGACGGCGAAGGCAAAAACAATATGTCTCCCATAAATTTTGGGAGACATAATTATCTGTAATATGTAATACTGCTGGGCAGTACCTAAAAAGCGATCCTGGCTCTGGTCTTAAACAAGTTGTTAGCAAGTACAGTATAACCTCCACTCAACCACAGTTTCAATTCTTCGAAAAGTAAAACTTCACAATAAATTTAACCATTCAAGAGCAAGCAAAATCTTTGTTTGCTCTGCAGATGTTGAAATGTAGCCACCAAAGTCTCCACAAAACATTACTGCAACCTAATAAATTGAAGCTCTACTAACAGAAAATAAGTTACAATTATAATTTTCAACTCACCATTATAACGACAGAATCATCATCATCTCTGCATAACTGTTAAGGAAATTCTGAGCTATTCTGAGACACTGTCCCTTTAAGTTTAACTTTACATGCTGCAGACAATGATCCAGAAAGATCAGTTTTATAAATTCCTTTTTTTTTTTTTTGCTTAACTGGTTACAATTACTTTAACTTAGAGGAATAAGCGTCACCATTAAAAAATATATATATTATCTATCACTGTGTTACATATGATAATTTGTAGAGGCATTAAATGGTAAGAACATAAACAATTGATCTTCAGAGTTTTCATTATTAACAGATTGGCGCTCCATCCAAATGAAAACCCTGTAACTTATCTTATCCCTGTGACTGCTGGAGGTAACAAAGTCTACCCATGCCAGGCCATGTGACCAGTAAAAACCAGAATGAGCTGGCACATCTATGCTGTCTGACAATGGTCTACACTGTTCAGTAATCGCTCAGTACATATTTGGAAATATTCCCTAAAATTAATTAATAGTTTGGTCCAGATTGAAAGATGGACAAGTCCATTTAAGATATTTAGCAGGGGCAGGGTTATTAAGGATACTCTGAAGATGTGATATGACTGTCCGAATCACTTTCATCTGACCCATGTAAATACTCTGTGGCCATCTGACCTTCTACTGTATCCATATCCAGAGGGGTCGATGTCTTTTGATTGGTTGTTAACTTCTCTTTACACACAGTCTCAGCAAAACCAAATTTACCTCCCTTTGATCTGTCAGATAACATATAGATATTCAGTACTGTTGTAAAAATGGTTACCACATTGTGAAATAATAAATTTTCATAATTGTCATTTAATTATTCATTATTATTCACTTGAAAAGCTGAAAGTTAACAAACTTATATTGTTGTTCTTTTAAAGGTGGTTTTTTATTTGATACCATAAATTTCAATCTCATGTTTATATTGTGAAATGTACATGTTGGCATGGGCTGGTGGCCATGAAGTCAATAAAATTTTTGTTTAATTGTTTGACATGAAATATATAAAAAATTGTTAAATCTCAATAACTTCTGAGCTTTAAGCTAAGAGGGCAATTACTTATGAACTTCAGTAACAAGAATGCTTACTTTTACAGAACTATCATTTTTTAATGTGTACTAGTCTAATATGAAGCAAGCTATGCACATGCTTAATAAACATGTCATTTTTCATTACTTGAGCAAGATATGACTTTTGAGTACTACTGGTGCAGAAATATCTCATATGTCAGTCTATTTGCACTATTTCAGTAGCAAGTTATCCACTGCCTTACTTAATGTTTCCTATGTATCCTTTCAGATAAAAGTTAAAGAAACTTAGTGGGACTACTCACCCATAAACAACTTATCATGCTAGGGATTGCAGAAAACACCATAGAAATTAATTGTAACTAAATTGTCACAATAACTCGCTTAAAAATATTCATAATAAAAAAAAGACATTGTCCTAGAGCTGTAGAAAGTGGCTACATATTGCTTACCTTTCATGTCTATCATTTTCCAGGGCCCTGTGTATTAATTCTGTGATTTCTGTTACTTTAACAACTGCTATATTGGAACATCTTAACACCTTGTAAAACAAATGGTATATCATGAATATAAAAATTTCATATGTCTAATAATAAAAAATGTATCAGAATCCATTTCGGTGCAAAAAATGTACTTCATTTTCCATTCCAATTCGCTTATCATTTCTTTTTTTAGGGGTGCCCTTTAGAACAATTTAAGTCCGAGTATGTTTCAAAATAAAATGCCTATTCTACTACATGCTAAGTATTAAGCATTTTTGGTTAATTTCCTTTCATTTAAAGTAAGTACATGTGTATACTTAAAGCAAAAAGAAAGTTTTTACATGCACAATAAACCACACTGTTCAATAATTGGCATTATAAACCCATTCTAATGCTTTATTCTGATAACTTTAAGGGCCCACAATTTGTTGTTATAAAATGTTAGTAGTTAAAAATTGTATAAACAGCCTGACTGCTGGCAGTGTCTGAATTTACCCATATGACCAGTGCAGACAAAGATTAACTGGCACATTTGCCCTGTACGATTATGATCTGCGCTGTTTGCTATTTCATTCAGAGCTTATCTTTTTTGCTCCGACCGAAAGATTGGGAAGTCCATTTAAAAAGTTAAGCAAGGTAAGGGTTTCAGATTTATCAATCTTACTGTATATTTACACCTTGGACACAGGGTTAAGGGACACATCTTTGTTTAGTTAAAAAGCTTCCATAGATACCTGATCTTTAAGGAGTAGCATCTGTCCAGTGATCTGTAGTGTACAGATTTCTCTGTGTTTATTCATCCCTATCACCATCCGTCCATCCATAACCTTCTCTTCTTTATCTGTAGGGTCCACCAGCAGAAATTTCCTGAAACAAAAGATTATTGTGCAAGCTAGAACTCACATTGTTTTTGGTTAGGTATTATTCTAATTATACTAATTGTGAAAAATGACCAAAAAATCTCAAATCGGGCATAGAAAAGCACAAAATGACCCAAACTTGAAAATACTTTTGAAATACTTTTCACTCAAATCAGGCCAAGAATAGCACAAAAATATGATTTTCAACTTACTTCTGAATATGTTTCTTAATTATCTTTTGCATATCTTTCTGTTCTAAGTGCCCCAGCTGATCTTTGTATGAAATTCAAATCTTATTTTTTGACCTGAATGGAGTTCCTTTAAGGGTAAGGAAGTAAACTTCTATATAAGTTGATACTGTTAACCATTTTTCATTTAAATTAATCCTCCTGCCAGACAACTTACCCTTGCTCAAAGAAGGCAAAAGAGACACAGATTGGCATATGATGAACACTGAGTGGTACAGGATCTCTCTCAGAGGCGGGATGCTGTCAACCAGAAAATAACATTTGCTCAATATAATAGAAAAATATTTTCTCTCAAGAAATATTGAAAATCTCAAATGAAAAATTTACTGTGATAAAAATAAAGTTGTATTTTTAAAAAAAAAAAATTATGAATTTTGAACAAAGACAATGCTGAAAGAAGGTCGGTATAAATAAAGTTTCAAAAGCAAAAGTTGTGTAGTTAAATAGAATGTGTTTGTTTTGGTTTTGAAAAGATACATATTAACTATAAATTTACATCAGAATGTTTAGTTAATTTCAAACATATTTATTGTAGCTGCAAAACAAGTTCTTGCAACTTATTTTAATCACTTTCGAGTCCACTTCCTGGAACTAAGGAGTATTGGTGTCATATGAGGAATCATGATTGTGACCCGAGTAGAGCTTGAAATCCAAGATCCCTGGGTTGAAAGGCAGACACCTTAACCACAAGGCCACAGCTCCCCTTCTAAATGTAGAATGTTATTTGTCTTTGTAAAATAACATAATATACCATGAAGCAATAATCAATTTAATCATATATACACTATCAAAGGATTTAAGATTTCATCATGTGACAGTGGAGTAACAGAAATATACTCACTATAGTTATCTCATCACCAGATACTGTTATATCAGGTCTCCTGTAAAATCAAGTATATGTATTCATAGATAAAGTCTTTAAATTTATACTGCATTAAATAGCTCTCAACCTGGGATGTAGTATCGTATGTTCCAGTCTCAACATAATTATAGACACTGATTTGCTTTAATTAACATCAGATATGCTATATTGCATATCTTACCTGTCCATCTGTACAAACAACTGGCAAAATAGAACTTTAGTATTAATATCAATTAACTATGACGTCACGTCCGGCATAACAAGTTTAAATTGACGCTCCGGAAAAAAATCAACAAATTATTTATTAATTCAAGTGAAAAAATATTTTTCGTCATAAATTATATATTTTTGGAAAGCGCAGAAGAATACAAGTCTGAAGATGTAAATATCGATGTTATCGAGCGGATCTTTACAGAAAATTCAGAAGTCAAAAAATTGAACAAAGAACGAATATGAATTCGATGAAGATTTTATTAATAGCTCTTCTTTGTACGTGCGTTCAACATGATTCGGTTAACCAGAAAATCACAACGGGTCAAAGGATGACAGATTTTGATGTAGAAGCGGCGGATTCTTATTTATATGGTAATTTGATCACAAATAAACAATTAACTTTGAGCAGAAAAATCACTGTAGAAGAAAATGCAGAAAAAGTTTTATTTGCTAATTACCAGTTTACAAGCGAAAGCATCTCTTATTATCATCAAATTTTATATCATTATATTCATACAAGGCGAACTTTTACTTCGGTCAATTTAGCAGCTACGGTGAAGATTCTTTTAGCGCTGGCAGGTGATATCGCGCTAAATCCAGGACCTATCCACAACCCGTGCACATCATGCAAACGGGCAATTGCACGGACACATCGATCAGTTACGTGCGACAAATGTGCGTCTAGATGGCACATTAAGTGTGCTAGGGTGGAACCGACATTATATTCAACATTACAACGTTCCTCAATTAATTGGTCGTGTTTTCATTGTGAGGGTTTCTGCTTTTCGGACTCGTTCTTCGAAGACGAATTTGTTCAGGATGAAAACACAGCACAGACAGTTATCAACGAAACATCACAGACCGCGGCCGAGGATAATGTATTCAAGTGCTTCAGTAACAAAGGTCTACATTTTATTCATTTAAACGTAAGATCCATAATTCCGAAAATGTCCGAACTGAAAACGATAGCTAATAACTGCAATGCAGCAATTTTTTCGATATCAGAAACTTGGTTGGACTCTAGTGTGTATGATGGTGAAATTGACATTCAAAATTATACTGTACTAAGAAATGATCGCAATAGAAATGGAGGTGGGGTATGTATGTACATTAGAAATGATATTTCTTTTAATGTAAGATATGATTTGTCAAACAACACAAATGAATGTATATTTGTTGAGATACTTTTGCCCCGGAATAAACCTATTATTGTTGGAACATTATATAGACCCCCTAAACAAACCGATTTCAATAAGTTTCTAGAATCAATTTTATCTAAACTTTCTTTCGAAAATGAAATATATATACTTGGAGATATGAATATATGTTTTTTTGATAACAAATCTGTTATATTCAGAGAATACTGCAGCATTTTGAGTTTATACAATCTTCAGCAAATTATAAAATCAGCGACACGAATTAGTTCTACGGGTTCTAGTCTTATAGATCACATTCTCTGTAATTATAAAGAACGAGTGTCTCAGTCTGGGGTTATTCCTCTTGGGTTAAGCGATCATTTTATGACTTTTTGCACAAGAAAGATTGTTAAGAATCCAGTTAATTGTCATAGATATGTTAATATACGATCGCTTAAAAATTACTCTAAAGAAAATTGGATCGCGGAGTTGACTCAAACAGACTGGAGTTCTTGCTTTTATTCTTTAAATGTTAATAACGCATGGAATAATTTTCAGAAAATTTTCACTGATTTATTAGATAAGATTGCTCCATTTAAGGAAATTAGACTTAAAAATCAAACTGAACCTTGGATAGATTCAAATATTCTAGATCTGATACATAGGCGAGAGAAAGCATATGCAAGGTATAGAAAAAGTCGTAATAATTCTGACAAGATTTTGTTCAATAAACTTCGCAATGAAGTACAACGATCTATAAAATTGGCAAAATCTGAATACTTCAAAGGGCAAATATTAGATAATAAGAACGACAATAAGAAACTATGGCAGAATATCAAATCCCTTGGTTACAGTAACAATAAAAAAGAAAGTCCGAATATCGTTTTGTCGATTGATGGTGAAACTTATCACGATCCTTGTAGAGTTGCAAGTCATTTTAATAACTTCTTTACAAATATTGCATCTAATTTAGTACAGAAACTCCCGGCAGCAAAGAACTTTTATAGTGTGGCATCCGATACAATTAAGAATTATTATAGAAACATATCACAAAAAGAGTTTCACCTTCGTCATGTAAGTGAGGAGTTTGTATATAAAGAATTATGTAGGCTTAATATAAGCAAAAGCACTGGATTAGATGGTATCCCTGCAAAATTTCTAAAAGATGGTGCTGATGTGTTAAAAATCCCTATAACTTATATTGTGAATTCTTCAATAACAGAGGGGGTTGTCCCAGATGATATGAAAATTGCTAAAGTAAAACCTCTACACAAAAAGAATAGTAAGCTAGATGTCGGGAATTACAGACCAGTTAGTATTTTATGTATTGTATCCAAGATTCTAGAACGGGCCGTGTATGTACAATTTGAGTCATTTTTAAGAACTAATAATCTTATTTACGAACACCAGTCCGGGTTTCGGAAATCTCATTCCACTGACACATGTCTTATTTACCTACTTGACTATATCCGTACAAATAGCTCCAAAGGGTTACTCACTGGTATGGTTATGATGGACTTACAAAAAGCTTTTGATACCGTCAATCATGATATTTTGTGTGATAAATTAGATATATTAGGTGTCAAATCTATTTCTTGGTTTAAATCATACTTGTCAGGTAGGTATCAGAAAGTAAGTATTGGTAAAGTTTTTTCTGACTCAATTCCTATTACGTGTGGGGTCCCTCAGGGCAGTATTTTGGGTCCTCTTCTATTTCTCTGCTACGTTAATGACATGGTAACAAGTATCGATTCTGATTGCAAGTTAATTTTATATGCAGATGATAGCACAATATTATTTTCGCATAAGGATCCAAAAATTATAGCCCAAAAACTTGGAAAGGTATTGGAACGATGCTCAGATTGGTTAGTTGATAATAAATTATCTCTACACCTGGGCAAGACTGAATGTATGCTATTTGGTTCTAAATCGAAAATTAATAAATTACAAAATTTTTCCATTACATGTAATGATCAAACAATAAAGTCTTCGTCTGAAGTTAAATATCTTGGTTTGAATATCGATTGTTACCTATCAGGAGATAAAATTGTCAAGAGCATTCTTTCAAAGGTGAATGGAAGATTACATTTTCTGTACCGTTACAAAAATTGTTTATCGGAAGAAATAAAGAAACAGTTATGTCCTGCCCTTTTGCTGTGTCACTTTGATTATTCTTCATCTTCTTGGTACGAAGGACTGAGTAAGTCACTGAAGCACAAACTTCAAGTAGCTCAAAATAAGGTTGTGCGCTTTATAAAAGACTACACTCCTAGGACTTCAGTGACAAATAAGGTTCTGTCCGATCTTAAATTATTAAATGTCAATGATAGAGTTAGACAGTTAAGACTCAACCACATTCATAAAGTTTATTACAACAAAAGCCCTTCCTATTTAAAGGAATTGTTTAAGGTTTGTAGAATATCCAATTTAAGATCCAGTAATTTTAATTTTGTTTTACCTCAAAATGATTCTTATGTAAAAAATACATTTTTCTACAATGCCATTAAAGACTGGAATTCTTTACCAGACAACATTAGATCAATTGACAATATCCAAACATTTAAAACGAAAGTAAAACTTTTTTTAAGTAATGAAAATGATAAACAAGTGAATAATATGTTTATTTATTATTAAATTGATGTGTAACTTATGATAAGGTTTTGAAACATGTTTATGTGTACTTGATATGTTTTAGTTTAAAAGAAACTTTTTTCATTTTGTTTGTGTACAATGTACTTGTCTTATTATATTGAAAAATGTGTTTTGATTATTGAAAATTGTCATTAAGTTTAACTTCTTTATAATTCATTTATCATTATGTAAGTTAGTGTAATAATTTTACAGAAAATGGACCCCATTGGAAATAAGCTTTTAGCTTAATGGGCAATCCTAGGGTTACATAGAACATACTTATTGATTAATCGTATAATTATTTTTGTGCATTTATGTGTGTGTTTTTATTTATATTCAAGTTGATATCTGTGATAAAATTGTATGTGTATACATGTATGTCTATTCCCTGAATAAATCGATACGAATATTTTTATATACAACTTTATGACAATGGGCACATTCGCATTTTGCTTTGCTGTCAATGTAATTGAGACATCTATTATTTTGATTACCTCCCCTTGCAAAATTTAAGTTTAAAGATAATTTTGTTGGATTTTTTACTTTTACAAATACTAATGAATGTCACCCATTCTGTGTTTTCGTGTAAGCAATGCTGACAATAAATGTGGAATAAATTTTAATACAGAAAACAGGCACATTTTTACTTACATGAAATGTTGTATATTTAAAAAGATTTGAACCAGTTTGTTTTAACTGAAAAATCAGGAAAAAGAAGCATGCATTAAGGCATGCTATAACAAAGTATATAATTTTAAATAGGAAGAATCAAACCTGAAATGAGCAAGTGAGGCTATGGCTGCTATACTACAAGCATCTATAAGGTTGCCATCATGGTTTAAGGCATGTACATCTACCCTTACTTCCCAGACCTGAAACAGAAAGCAAGCAGGAGTCATGAACTTGTTCAGAGTCAAATCATCCCGAACTTCTAAAATCTTGTTAACATCCATAACCATAACTCTCTGGGCAGTTTAACAAGGGTTTGGATTGTTGAAGTTTCACTGTATTTCTTTAAAAGATATTGTATAAAAATAATGTTTTCTTTCAATTCCTGTAATTCTAGGTATATTCATTTACTTTCACTAATGTTTAAGAACTAGTTAACAATGGGTATAAATACCTTTTCCCCAGCAACAATACATAGAGATTCTGTATCTATACATCTGGACTCCTTCAAACATCTTTCAAGTAATCTGTTAATTTCAACACCAAAGTCTGATAACCTGTATACAAAAGCAAATATCAATATTAGTTACACAATGGTTTTTTCATGCTTAACAAGATTGTTAATTATGCACACTTAAATAAAAAAAAAAAAAAACATTTCAAGTAATTGTAGATTATATTTTTGAGATAAAAAAATCAAAACAATTAAGCTTCCAGTCAGCGATTTATTAAATTCACTATTGGAAATATTCAATTTATTAATTCATGAATTCTTAGACACACCTTAAGACAAAATTTGAGCTCTTCATACAATGTACTACAAAAAATCTCATTAAGAAAAAACATCTAGTAAATTTAGAAATGTACAGCTGATGAATTTTAACATTTCAAATGATCACATACCTTCCTGCCTCAAAACTTGGACAAGCCATTGGAGAAAGTTCTACATTTATGTACAGCATACCATCAGCTGGCCGGGCTTGCTTTGGTTCTACAACTTGACATGATACTTGGGACATGACCCTTGAAAGAAAGAAAATCATCAAATCCAGAAACATTAACATTATAAAGAAAGTGTAGAAAGGCATATTGTATTAAAGTTTGTATTAAACATTTTAGGAAGTAGAACGCAAACATCTGAATGACTAGATCAAATGATTAACTTGCAAAAAGTTTAAAATTTAATTCTATGGTACTCGGAGAAAATTGTTAAGATTTATCAGACTCTAGATCAGTAAATACAGCTCTTGATTTTCAACTTGTTTATCTTAATAACCCGTTCCATGGTAGCAAGAATATATACAACATTCATGACTTACTTGCAAACTTGTGCAGATTAAATACATGTAGTTCATCTACTGCTTGTACTGTACAAGAAGTAATTACCATAAACAAATGCTTTAAATACCTAAATTAAACATCTATGAAACAATACCTTGTATCTCCAATTTCAACCTGACAGCATCCCCTTTCAACCCCAAAGCTTATTTTTAAATGTCTGTAATCATATGCTTGTCGGCCATCAATTCTCTAGAAATTAAAAAAAAAATTCAGAAAATGAACATTGCATGTAATTTTCTAACCCTACTGGCTTAAAACTTGGAAGAGTGGTAAGATGTATAGAAATTTGCCTTTATCTGTATCTAAGATATTAGGGAGGAAAAGTCAGAGGGGGAACTGGTAAGAAGGAAGATAGTCTGAATACCCAAGGGCAGCAAAAAATAATAAGATGGACACTTGTATGAAATTTCAACAAAATTATACCCTAAAAATTTGAATGTAGACAAAAAATATTATCATATCAATAATCTTTACTTTAATTTGCAAGTATATTCAGTTCCTAGATAAGCAAATGTCACAAGTTTATTTTCTTACTGCCAATTTTAACAGAATGAATGAAAGTAATAGCTGACTAAATAATATTATTTTATTAATATTAATTCATTTTTACATTATAATCTGTATTTTATACAAACAAAAATGAATATTGCTATGTTTGGGTATTTCGTGGAATTACGGGCAGTTTGGACCACAGATGTTTCGGACCAGATTTTTGGTAATTTCAGACCAGATTTTTGGACATATCAGACCATGATGGGGACACTTCGGACCAGAAATTTTTATTCAATAGACCAGTCATTCCTTTTTTACTTATAATTTTTTGGGTGTTAAATTACAATTTTTTCTTATGATAAAGTCAACAAATATTTGTCATTTTTATATTTTATGATATTTAAAAGGCATGCATAAAAGACTAGTCTGTCGAGATTTTCACATTTCCCGACAAGCTTATATATTATTGATTTGAATTTTCATGTAAAATATTTATTTCATAATTTATTTATGAATTTCTATATGCTGACAATTTTTTAATAACTAAAAAATGTTAAAACAATAATAGAATACCTTTAGAACTGTATTGGTAAGCGTTGGATATATATTTATGCCAATGCCCTTCATACAAAATATAGATAATGATACGCTATGTTTAACTTAACTAAAAAGAATTGAAATTAATTTGTACAGTCATGTTAAATCAACTGTTTGATAATATGTACAATAAGTACCCACACAGGCTGAATATACCTATCTAAAGTCAATTTTAACCAAATGATATTGTGTTCTGGCTGGTATTAAAGAACAACGAAATCCTTGTCACTGCAGCTTTTCACATGTTTTAATTGCTGAATAGAACTTGTTTAAGTTAGGTTTCACTCAATTCAAGAAGTATGTATGTATAATTTTTACCTAATTTGACAACAAATATTGAAATTGATTGAATTTGTGTGGAATGCAGTTAAAGTAAAGTTCATTAGTATGTATGTGTTTGTAATATAATGTATGATTTGTGATATTAGAATGTGTTTTAAATAATCTATTTCGTCATGCCTTTTCGTCATACATACTTTATAATAAATTTATTGAAAACGTGTGTAACCAAAACATTCCTTTTTTCTTTTTTTAAATATATAAAATCTAAATCGGGATAGGTGTAAAATCGTTCCATGGTGCAGGGTTTTACATCTCTTTGAAATTTTAGGGGTCCAGTGGATGCACAGCCTAGAAAAGTAGGGGTCCAGGCCTGAATTTTAGGGGTCCAAAATTATATTCACTATAAAAGACTATGGAGACCACTCTATTTTGCTTAAAATCGTTTATTTACCCTGTAAGAAATATGCATGTATATTGTACTGTTTTCATAAGAAGTATATGATTTCAATATCTTTTATCACTAGGTTTTTTATAGCATTTTAGTAGCCCTTTACAATAATATCATGTGCTATTTCCAAGGCTTATAAGTCTTTGAGTGGCTGGAATGTCAAGTTTTAGTAGCATATTTTGTTATTGACAAGGTGATTACACCAACAGACTGAAAATTTGTACTGATCTATTTGTAAATATCTTAGCTGAACAAGTAAACACACAATAGATATCTTTACAGACCAGTCAGCTAAATATGTTGCGTTTTTAAAAATATCATAAAACAAAAGGCTGACAAAACCGCTTTTGCACCTCCTTATAAGCTGGGACATACTTGATGTCCCAGTCATAAATTAAGTTCGCCGAAACCATTATATTTATAACACCAACGATAATAACATACCTAGTGACTTAATTTCTAACACTTTTTCATATAACACTTTGCAAAAAGCACTGCATTTTTTATTATCGCTGTTCAGGTACAAAATACAATCGCCGAACTGGTAGATCGACATTGGATACGCTAACCAATAGTAATTGCTTGTTATAAATAGTCCGTCTAAATATAGCAATAGAAAAACCAAAAACAGCTACCAAAAATAGATTTTACGGTAAACGTCATCAGTTACTGTAGCTTGCACGATAAACGTCATCAATTTCTGAAGCGGGCACTTGCAAATAGCATGGGCAGTAGATTTCAATTATGTTAACTTCCGAATAAACAATGCAAGCATTAGGTTTAAATGGAATTTTATGAGCTTCGAGAAGAAAGAGATAAAATCATGTCGGGTCAGAAACAATAATATCTATTGTCTAGAATTATTTTTGTGCGTACACTTGGACGCAAGTGGATAACTTATATGCGTACATGTCAAAATTTATGCGTATAGGGACGCAGAATTCTGCGTCCCGTAAAACCCTGATGGTGTCTCATATATTCTAAAGGTACTCTTCAGTTTATAGAATAATTGATTCATAGTATATCAAAAATAATTTCCGAAATGCCACTTAATATGATCCAAAGTGTCTGGTCCAAAATGTCCATGGTCCGAAATGTCCTATTAGAATTACCATTTTGTGCCTCCGATACCTAAGGCCATTTTACTAGCCGGACTCAAGAACCAAATTATGACAAAAAACCAAAACTAAGAGAAATACCTTCAGTAATTTTTCACAAGATATGCCATTTCTTCATACAAAATTGATGCTAAAACTTTCATCATTCATGATCATTGTTCACCCACTATGTCATATTTTTTAGTTAATCAATGCAGACACATTCGTATAATCTGAGAGAAAATTTGTTTGATTGAAATTTCACGTATATATATTAATTAAAAAAGAAGATAGCTTACAACATTAATTATATTATCATGCCATTCACCAGGAAGACACAGAAAACACAAATATTGGATGACATATAATATACCTCGAGAACATTGTGTATCAATTAGTTATATCCAAAAAGAAATGTGTCCGAAATATGTGCATCTATATGTAAACAATTATAATGGTAGTACATACTCTTTTATCGGCTACTGCTTTCTTTATAAATTCTCTTTCACAGTTTGACAATAGTGTCTCCCTCATTTTACAATTTGTCAGTAACTGTACAACTGTAAATCGAAAATGAAAATAAATGTGCTTTGTTGTTGTTGTTTTTTGTTGTTGTTGTTTTTAGACTGACTAAAGAATGTACAATCCGGTCCATTTCGTACTGTTAATTGTTAGTTAAAAAACCTACTTCCTAAACTAAATACGATTTCTACATGAATCGCCAATATAGTAAAAGTGTTCTATCTATCTCTGGATACTGCCAACCCCTCTTACGAGTGTTAAAGGCAGGAATTTAGTGCACGTCGGATTGTTAGTAAAAGGTGAAGAGAAAAGCTAAAAAGAAAAGTCCAAACATTGACATGCTTGGAAGGTGAGACTGAAAATGTATTCTAGTCATGGTTAAAATGTTAATAGTGAAACAAGATGATAAGAGATAAAATAGTTTAAAAACACTGGGAGTAAGACTAGTACTGCAAACCCACCACTGCCTGTTTGAACTGACTCAGGTTGGGCAGGGTGGCAATGTTACTAGGAAGTTTATTCCATAGTATAATGCTATGAGGGAAGAAAGAGTACTTATGGTAGTCGAAGGATACCTGTATTTGACGTAGGGATAAGGGATGCATATGTCTGGTTAATCTATGTGGGGTTTGAACATAAGTTGGGAGATTAATTGCAACTAGGTTATGGTATATCTTATAAAACATTATCAGTCTACAGTCCAGTCTGTGATGTTCAAGGGATCGCCAGCCCAGTTCTTCCTGCATGGCTGTGACACTAGAGTGAGGGGAGTAATCCCTTTTAACCCATCTTATTGCACGTCTCTGGATCATCTCAACTTTGTCAATATTGGTTTTAGTATAAGGAGACCAAATAGATGAGGCATATTCAACCTGTGGGCGGACCAGGGACTTGTATGCTAGTTCTTTTACTTTCTCATTTTTAGTGATGACATTTCTTTTAATAAAGCCAAGGGATCTGTTTGCATTGGAAGTTATTCGAGATATATGTGTATTAAATTTAAGGTCAGCAGATAGATCTAGTCCGAGATATTTAGCATTTGTAACAGACTCTAGGATTTGGCCATGGAGCATATATTTGTGTTTAATTATGGTCTTATTTTTGGTGATATGGATGACTTGGCATTTTGAAGGGTTAAACTCCATGTCCCACTTATTGCAGAAAACTTTTACATAACAGGTATTTGAAGGTTTGCATGCATTTCTGCATGAATATTGATCAAATAGAGAAAATAACAATCGACAATCCATAAAGAAAGCTCAAAACGACAAAATTGAAAATGTTGAGGCTCTGTTTGATTGAGCCTGTTCATGGACGGTACTGTAAAGTGCCAGCTACCGTCCACGCCCCCTAGCACCCTGATATTACCTCATGATACTTGTATTGAAATGACTTAAAACGGATATGAAGACATATTTTTGTTGCAAGAATAAAATAGAATAATAAGAGACTTATATTTTGGCTAGCCTTTAATCTAATAAGTTTATTGTAACTAATATCATATATTTTTCGTTTCACTCACTTATTGTTTTTAAAGCCCCAACTTTGTAATAAAAGTCTTAGAGATACTGTATGTTAACTAGGGTCCATCCGACCAGTTGTATAATATTTATTTTATTTTATTTTATTTATTTATTTTTTTTTTTTTGAGGGGGGGGGGGGGGTGAAATGTGAATGATATAAATGATCAAGGTTTATTTTCTTACTATTGAAACTTATAATACTAATAAGAACATATATTGTTTATGGAGGTTAACAAGATATTTGACGTTTAGTAAATGATCTAAACCTGGGACAGAAAGATACATATTATACATTTTAGTCCCAGTCTAAACTTAAGCATGTCTGACCAAACTTTGTTGATTTTTATGTTCTTTATATAATTTTTATCAAATGAAAGTACTTATACTACTCATGTATCATAAAAGGACATTTTGATACTCTAGTGTAGGACAATGTAGGATACTAGTTAGGGATTCATATTAAGAAACGATCAATATACTTACTTTGTTTATTCTGGCATTAAAACGGTCCATAAAAGTTGTCTATACTTCAAGTGTCTCTAGTTTAATAATTACAGACAAATATTTAACCTTTTTTACATATGAGAAGAAAAAACGGCAATCCTTCTAATACATAAAACTTACGTAACCTTTCAAATATTATGCTCCTCTTACAGAATTTCAATATTTTCTATAATGACCAGTATGACCTCTAAGTTTGTTAGGTGTGAAAATTCAAATACTGATACTTGGAATTCTTTTTTCTCAATTATTAATTTATTCTAAGCTAGAAAAATAATTATTTTATTTGAATTTGGTACAACCGGTCAAACATTTCACAACAATTGATATTTAATTGAACATGTCATTTGTAAACTTTATAAAATAGGTTATTTCTGACAAGATACCAATGTTATGATCGGTCCATTTTGACAGTCCTGGATCTACCAGAGTTAACATTTTTATTTACAACTGTCTGACAGCAGGTTTGTTATCATTATTATTTTGGATTATATCTGAAAAGCCTGAAAATAAGTGAAATCAATAACATTTAGTGATAATTGATGAGAATGTAACTTTTTATATTGTTAAACTCTGATTAATGTAATAAATCTGAAGTATTAAATACAGGTGACATTGAATAGTCTAGTTTAGAAAACAATAGTTATTATATAATTTACAAGTCAATACGTTCTCATATTGATTAGTACAAGAATCGCTGGGTCTAAGAATTGCTTTACAGTTCCCATGCTTTGCTATTATACTATAATTGTAGGTAAATTTTACATTGTTAAACTATAAGAGCAAAAGAATATATAGATGTGATTTTCCATTGTTGATCATTTCGTATCCAGCTATGCCGTCCTTTGAACACAGAATTTAATTTACACATTGCTAACAGCACTTGTAGTCCACGTAAATAACCAAAAAGAGATAAAAAAAGGTAAAAAATAGCCCTTACTATGTTAAACTCAAACTAATTTTAGTATCAACATTAATATTTGGATAAACTGATAATGCTCATTTCTTGTAAAGTAAAAAAAAATCTACAATTTCATAAACATGCTATTTCAAGTCCATTTTTATCAAAATTATATTAAATCTTTGAGAATAAAAAATGAACAGTTTTTTTAGTTTTAGTTTTTGATCCTGATCTTGATCCTGATCTTTATCCTGATCCTTAAATCTTAGTGAACACGGGGCCTTGGGGCATGCAGCTTTAGCTTTAAAATCAAAATCCGGAAATACGGAAGTCGGGCTTTAGACCCAGTCAAAAATCGTTTTTAAAGTGAAAATGAACTTTGAGAGCGCTACAGAACTCGAGAAGAAAAGACAAGAGAAACGAGAGGCTCGTCAGATTTACCTTGAAAAGGTTGAGTTGCACTGTGGCTTTTTGTTTACAATAAGTTGGTTGACAAATGTCCAAACTGAAAATTTTCATTGTGGTGTAGAATTCGGATAGCTCGACATTTCGGACATTTCAATATTTTATAATAAGACATTTTGGATTAAGTATAATGACACCTTTGGCCATATTTAGGACTCTTTTGACCAGATTTATGGAGACTTCGGCCCAGACTTTTAGAAGTTTTGAAATATGCCAGGGACACTTTAAGGCCATTGTATACAGTATCCCTGTTTCTCGTATTCTCGGGGTTTCTCGTATTCTCGTGGAATCATTAAAACGGATGGAAGCGACGCTCGCGACTTCCGTCGATATCCGAAAACATGTCTATTTAGCAGAGCATTTCATCTCCATTAAAAAAATAAAAGAAATGCGGCAAAAACCGATAAAAAACAAAAAAACTGTGGAAATAATCGTAAAATCCAGAAAATTTAATTAAATTTATCAATTTCCCCCCAAAAATCATCAGTTTTCTAGTTTTTTCCATGTTGCAGAAACCTGTAGCGGGTCTCTGACGCAAGACGCTTCAAATGACGGTCTCACACTACTATTTATACAATACAGCTCAAAATATTTGTTCCACGAATAGATAATATAAAAAAGATATGAACTCCAATTAAAAACCAATAATGAAACATTGTTTGTCCTAAACACATTTCATTTTTGACAACTGCAACGGAAAACAGTAGTATTCATTGTTAAATGCTCATATAACTAATAAGTAACTAATAAATAAACGTAAACTTAATGTATATTAGAGAGATTATGTAAATAACAACACTAAATGGAGTTCAAACTATTTTTGGAACAATCAAAATCATTTGGTACCAAAGAGGCGTCAATATGATCCTTAAAGTTTGATATGGCCTGCCAAGCTGTTATTAAAACACAATAAAATTACAGATTTAGGCCATTTAACACTTAATTAGGTGTGGCACTAATGATTTGAACTGGTATGTAGAATAAAATCATCACATAGCGACCAGCCTTAACAACCAATCAAATTCCACGAGAATACGAGAAAGCACCTGCTTCACATAGAGGGTGAAGGTCAGTATATACAAGCAGAAATATCTTTAGTTTTGCTTACAGTTACGATCTTTCTTTCTTTGTATTTTGTTAATAAGGTATTTCTCTGTGTATCAGGCTAAAAATACTGTAACAAAATGTTTTATAAATATTATGCAACCAAGTTTAGTCCTTAACCCCCCGAGAATACGAGAAAACAGGATACCCAAATAAGATTTTGATATTAAAAGAAATTAGATACTATTTAATATTTATGAAACGTTTTATCTAAAACTAGATATTACAATACACCCATAAACACTTTCAATATGATCTACGTAAATAACCGAGGTATATCGAGTGAAAAATATGAGTTGCTTCCCTTATATTCGAGTAAAATCGATATCGCTTATGCTAAAACAATACAAAATAAGCTGTTTTTAAACCGCTGGTTTGTTGTGATTAAATGTCCGATTTTAAAATGTATTACATCAATAGAAAGCTTTGGATCTTAGCTTCATCACAGTATAAACTTCAACACATGGGTTCGAGCCCTACTCGGGTCACGACCATGTTTCTCCATATGACACCAGTACTGGTTGGTTCCAGGAAGCGGACTCGAAAGTGATTAATATAAGTTGCAAGAACTTGTTTCGCAATCGAGCTTTAATAAATATGTTTAAACCAAACCAAACCAACACATTTTTTGACTCCAAAGTATTTAAATTAATTGTTAAACCTACCATATGTCAGACCATTTTACATACAATTTATACAGTGAGATACGCAACCTGTTATCTTTACTCGAAATACCACTGATAAGAATAGCCTGTCGTCTGCTAGTTCTGAAAGTGTTTATCGGTGTATTATAGTAACAGGTAATAAGATCATGATAATTTCTTTTAATATCAAAGTTTTATTTTGGTTCGACTGTTCAAGTGTCTAACCCTTTATAATTTCTACCTAAGCCAGAAGCTGTCTTTAATCTTATACTAGCATTGGTATTATGCTTACAAGTACATTCTAAACACTTATCACAAAAAAAAAAAAAATGTAATACACACTATCCTTTTAAAAACTTTCTTCACTAATACTTATTTCTCTTTTTTTTAAGGCAAAAGAGAAATATGAAAAAGAGGAGAGAAAGAAAGAAATTGCAAGAAATAGAGGCGACGACAACTGGATGCTGTCATCTGTTGACCAGAGGCTTAAACATGAAGAACAGGTGAGTGGTGCCATGAAATATTTCTTGTATCATATAGTGTATGTCATATAAGTAAAATGTATAACAGCTCACAGGATTATTTATGAAAATATGAAGCTGGACAAGCATTTATTATTAGTACTTTAACAATTACTAAATACTTATTCTTTAAATTTATGAGGAAAAAACATTGTATATATAAATTTCTAATTTCCAGAGTATGAAAAAGTCAAAGAAGAAGAAAAAAGAAAAGAAGAAAAAGAAACAAAAGAAGAAGAAAAAAGAATCTAGCAATTCATCAGATTCTGACTCGGAAGATGATAGAGAGAAGAAAAAGTCAAGAAAGAAAAAAAAGAAGAACAAATCCAGTAGCGAATCAGACTCGGTATGGATATATTTGCTACCTACCCAAATATGTTTAACGTTTTAGATAATGGAATTATCCTGCATTTGAATATTCATTGTTTTTTTAAGGGGTTTCAACATCACAATGGGAAAAGAGAACTTGGCCACCCCTTTACATTCTTTTAAATAATTCAAACTTCCTGAGCATGCAAAATGACCTTGCTCTAAACTGGTGGCATAGACAAGTCATTATTGACACTAGAATTCCACAAGTAATCTGTTTCAAGATTACTGAATATAATCTGTTTAGACAGAGCTTTTTTCACAGGTATAGGGAGTCCTTCCCTGAAATTAAGGAAAGATACATGTAATACAGTTTGTTTTTTTGTGAAAGGGAAAGACAAAATCTTTATGTAGCTTGAATTTCTAAGTTCATAATGACATTGATGTTAAACTTGTTTTGCATCTCATAGCTGGTATTTTGTTTATGCAGAAATTATTTTAGTCTGATTGAGTAGGAAGCTATAAGCTTATTGACACATTTTCTAATCAGTTCCTGGAACCAACCAATACTGTGCAATGAATTTCTTGTTCAAGGAAACAATGACTTTCCCTTGGTGGTGCTGGTACTGTACACTTAAAGGGGAAGAGGAAAATAATGATTTTGTTTTGAATTTTAGGATGAGGGTCCAGCCTGGGTAGAGAAGACCAATCCATCCAAGCCCACAGAGGCATGTGAAACTGGTGTTAAAGGTCCAAAATTAGAGGTACATTATTGTGTGTATTGTCATGAAATATATTTCGTTATAAGATAAGGTTTTTAATTAACAAAATTTCTTTTATGAATGAAGTTTTCTTGCTTAATGATTCCAGTAAAGTCCATGCCATGTTTTAGGGCTACTTACTTCGAGATTGTGACTTTGAAAATTATCTGCATTCATCACTTAAACAACTGTTACAGGTTTAGACTAAATACGTTTACCTATATTATTTTGAAAGACGAAATTAAAATAAAGTATGATTCCAGTATTGAATGAAAGGTTTTCTGTATGCATCCTTAATTTATGTAAAAGTAAAAAATTTTTTTTTGAGCACATGTCTTTTTTTTTTTTTTTTTTTTTGAGGCCCCAACTGGGTAACCCCGTTTATTCACCCCGTAATAGGTATGAGAGGGTCAGGGTCATCCCCTTCATACCTTACATTATTTATACATGTATATCACATTGTAATATTTACAAACAAAATATCATGATATACCTTAAATTTTATCATATTAACATTATAACATTTTTGAGCACATGTCTGACTGTAGGGTTATGTCAATAATTTTTTTTCTTATTTTTAAAGCTTTAAACCAGCATATATAAACAATATATGTATTAATGTTTTGTAATTAGAGAGATAGTTGGATGCAGGCACCTGTAGATTTGTTCCCAACTATAACCAGGCAGGATCTTGTCAGCCGACGAAATAAAGAGAAAGAAGAACTGGATAAACAGAAGGAACTTCTGAATAAGGTAAAATATATGTCAATAACTTTGTTTAAATCACCTTTATTTTCTCTCACAATCTGTTGGTTTTTGTTTAAAGTTAAAATATTTTTTGACTAACTTTAAAATTTACATAGCTAAAGTACTATATAGCTTCATTTTAAGGAAAAATACAGCTATTGAAGCATGACCCTGTTTTCTGAAGATGTTATGAATCACTTGTGTGGCAAACTGTAGATTTGTGCCCTCATTTTATCAGTTTTCATGAAAGTTTGTTCTAGTCGAAAAGTTTGATTATTATCTACTTAAATGCTTGTTTTATTAATTTTTCAGCCGGGCACCCACGAGAAAGAGTTGAACCCCTACTGGAAAGATGGGGGATCAGGGTTACCAGAAGAGCAGAAAAAATCCACAGACAAGCCAGTATCAGCAGGTGTGGGAGATGCTGGGCTGTCCTGGTTAAAAAAATCTTACCAGAGATGTGTGGAACAAGCAAAGGAAGAAGGGAGGCCACTGGAAGAGCTGGCTGCAGAACGATGGGGAGTGAGTATCAATTTCTAATGATGTTCAGTCATTTCTACATTGTTTAAACTTTTGATTTTCTATCTTCCAATTAAACCAATAATATTTTCATAAATCACAAAATCAGAACAATAGGATATTTCTTTAGAAGAAGAATTTTTTAACATGAACTTAAGCTAAACAAATACTTTTTTATCAGTTACCAAAGGCTATCATTGAAATTTATTTTGATTCTATATATTGATAAAAATGAGGTTATTATATTTCCATATAAATGCAGGATATAAAGGATGTATTTTACAAGGGATTAATGGTTCTTAACAGTGTACATGTGCCATCCTTTAACTTCACATTGTACTCGGGGTATAAAGGGATAGTTTAATGATCCGTTAACAAGGTGTCATAATAATGTTACAGTATAGGTTTAAATGTGTCTATAGTGTGATAATAGCATGATAAAGTTAAACATTGTTTTCATTTCTACATTAATTTTAGCTTAAAAACTGCCATATATCACTGTTCAAATGCTAAGAATAGAATTCTTATCTCTTATATTATTCTGTAGTCGGATTGAAAGTAAATCCATAGCAGTTTAAATAAAAATGAATTTATCAGTATACAGCAATAGTTATTAAACACAATGAAAGAACTCCATGTTTATATAGCTTGCATAATTATATACTTGAGAAAATTGTACATTTTGTATATTATATGTGTATCTCACTTTAAATGGATTAAGATGCTTTGGCAATGTCATTTGGTAATAATAGATTGCACATGTGCCTGTGTTGACCATGTAATTGACTTCATAGAAGAAGTGTCATATTAATTGTTTTGAATATTTAAAATGAGTACTGGACAATATTTGGACTCCTGACAATTTTTGGACTTTGGAAAATATTTGGACTTGAATTTTGACAAAATGCAAGTTTTTTAAACAGTGTATGATTAACAAAGACTATATAGGAAGGATGCACATGACCTTAAATTTTAAAAATGCTTGTAACATTAACAATAATTTCTATCCATGAATTATTAGTCAGGAAACACTGGACATCCATGCTGTCTGCCCAGATTCTGTCCTGTTAGATGTTCAACTCTATTATTGTCATATCAAGTATTAAACTTACAATGGTCAGGGCTAAATTCAAAGCAGAATTAGGACATTTTTCAAATTCAGGAGATAATGGGACAGGAAATAAGGTCTCTGCTGTTAAAATAGTGCAGAATCAATCTGATGGTATCCACGGGGAATTTTCTCTAGACCATGAAGACTTCAAAAGTGAAGTGGGTCCAAAAACATAAATGTTAATTTATATGGCAGACATGTGGAAATGTAGACCATCTTGAATGAGCAGAGCTATTTTTGAGCCCACTTTACTTTTGAAAAGAACATATTTTGGAGATAATTTCCTGAAAATTTCATGCTTGTATCACAATTTGCACTATTTTCCAAGTTTCAGTCGTACTAAGGGCAAGAACTGAAGAATAGTTCTTGTTATCAATTTCAAACAGTTTTCTATTATTAAAAGAAGTCATGTAGCTGAGACTCTTTATGACAAAATAATTGCAGGATATTCATTTGTTTAGATATGTCAGCAAGTATTTTTGGCTCCATTTCAGTCTTTAGAGAAAATTCAGGAAATGATAAGAAATGCAGAAGTAACTTTATATGGTGAGCAAAAATCAGGATCTCAGGCAGACAGACCAAGAAATAGATTTATGAAACCTTCTGATAGTGATAATAATAGTGCTAGAAAATATGACAGATATAGAAGGTCACGTTCAAGGTCACCTTCAAGACATTCACAAAGAGAAAGGTCAAGAACACCAGATAGAAATAGAAGAAGGTCACGCTCAAGAGACAGAGGTGAAAGTTCAAGGTCTAGTTATAGTAGCAAAAGTAGACGTTCAAAATCTAGGTCATTATCTAGAGACAGAAGGAGATCTTGCTCAAGAGAAAGGAATAGGAGAAGGTCAAGGTCAAATTCTACAGAAAGATATAGAAGAAGGTCAAGGTCAGGTGACAGAAATAGGTCAAATGGCTCGAGTTCAATGAGAAGCAGGTTCATGAAACCAGGAGATATGCAAGATAATGAATACAAAGGGTCAAGGTCAGCGTCATCTAAAGATAAAGTACCAGGATGGAAAAAGAAGGAGTTTCATAAACCAGTTGAAAATGAGGATGAATTTAATAGGTCGTCATCACATAGAGATGATAGAGGTAGAAGAGATGAGAAAAATGACAGAAAAAAGAGACGCTCTCCTTCATCCTCCTCCTCGTCATCATCATCAGGTAATAGTTTTGTTACTTGTCACGACTCATCAGAGGTTTTTTGACATGGCAGGACTGGAAATAATTTTTCGAGATAAATATTCCACTTGATGCAGGTTAAGATCTGTAACTTGTGTGCAAAATTTCAGATCATTTGCTCACTTTATTTTTCCAGAATAATCATTCTAATTGTGAAAAATGAACCAAAATTTAAAATAGTTGCAATGTTTTTAACTCAAAGTGGCTAAGAAAAAAAAAATAGCACAACAATACGATTTTCTATCTATTTCTGAGTAATTTTCCTAATAAATTTTTTGCATATCTTTCTGGTTTAAGTGCTTCCACTGATCCATGTAAGAAATTGACATTATATATTTTAGGCTTTTGGACCTCAGTGGAACTTCATTAATGCATGTATATATATATTCAGGACTGGTATTTCTATCTTTGTGCCTTTTTAACTAAATTACATATTTTTTTTATTTATTTTAGGCTTTTTAATGTAGAAAAAGTCTTCCAAGTTTTAATAAGAATGTTTTAAATGACTGCTTTTATCCCTGGGACTTAAATAGTTTTATCCCTGGGCCTTAAAATAGTTTTATCCCTGGGCCTTAAAATAGTTTTATCCCTGGGCCTTAAAATAGTTTTATCCCTGGGCCTTAAAATAGTTTTATCCCTGGGCCTTAAAAAGTTTTATCCCTGGGCCTTAAAATAGTGTACAGAGTAGTATCTAAAGTCTTTCTTCTACAACTAATTCTAAATATTGTTGCATGACCTTCACAGTGTTGATATGTCTGAGGATGTAAGCAAATAAACCAGAGTTTAAGTCTAGAAATAAAATTATATTCTGAGATGTGTTTTGTAAATATTTGAACTTTATCATTATGAATTCAATCTGGAGAAACTAACAATAGAGCCGAATGCAAAAGCAGCCAATATAATTAATTTAAGAGACCTGTTTGTGATGGTTGTTTTAATATGACATATTTTATTACTCATATTTAAAGGGACTCCATGAAGGTTTTTTGACATGACGGGGCTTGAAATAATTTTACGAGATTATAACTCTGTTTGATGAAGGTCTATACCAACAACTTATATGCAAAATTTCAGATCATTAGCTTGCTCTTTTCATCCGGAATTGTTATTGTAATTGTGAAAAATGGCCTAGAATTGAAACGCTTTTCACTCAAATCAGACTGAGAATAGCACAAACATAATAAATAATTATGATTTTCAATGTATTTCTGGGTATATTTCTTAATTATGATTTATATATATGTATCTGTTTCAAGTGCCCCAGTTGATCTATGTGAGATATTAAAATTTTATGTTTTTTAGGCTTAGTGAGATTCACTGGAGTTCCTTTAAAGGGAGACACAGGCAAAATTTTCATTTCTTCGTTTTGAATTTACATTCATTAATCTGTCAATGTCCTCAAAATGAATACACAAGGCAGTCCCAGGAACAAAACTTTTCTCCATATAAAAATAAAATGGTGGTTTCCTAACTTGACCCACGTGGGTCAGGTTTTAGTGTTAAGATTTGACTTTAGTTGTCACAGTGAACACTGGAAACGTTAAAGAACACACCAGATGAATGATTTATGTTTGTTTCAATCATATAATATTCACAATATCTGTTATTGTAAATGCCAGGGTTTGTTCAAGCCACATGACTAGTTTTTAAACTACTCGGTGATTCTGCTGGTTGCTAAATTTAGTTCAACATATGTTGGATATAGTTACCTTTCAAACCTAAAATATATAGAAATTATACAGCAATTCATGCTGGGACTTTTACAAATATCATTTTAGCGTGATTTGAGTAAATAAAATAATTTTGATATTTTTGTCATTAATTTGCCTGAGTATCCCTTTAAGTCAAATATATATTTTTTTAAAAATGACAAGAAAATCAATGTTGATAAATAACGTTTTTTTGCAGATTCAAGCTCTGACAGCAGTGATGAAGATTCTGATAAAGGTGAAAGGTCAAAAGTGAAACAAAGGTCAAGGTCACCTGTCAGAATTTTGTCAGAAAAAGAGATGAATGACTTGGGTGCCAAAATTGTGAAAGCTGAAATTATGGGTAATGAGGTAAAGCAATTTTTTTTATATAAAATTTTCAAAAGTAAGTCAAGGGAAGCAGCGGCCAAGCAGCTTAAAAGGTGGATGATGGGCTTTAACCTTTAAAGGTCATGATCATAATTCCTCATGCATCGTTACTGGTGAGTATAAGGAAGCCGTGTTGAGGATGTCTAAATAATTGGAAAGCTTTATTCACAATCAAAGTAGAATAAACACTTAAACTAAACCTTCATATAGGTAATTCTTTCTTAAAATTATGGAGATAAATTTTACCACATACAGAGTAGAATTGTTAATTGGATTTGAGGCACTGAAATAATTGCAGGAATCATACAGCATGGAGTTCATTGATACAGAACAAAAATGTTCCAGTATTTTTTTCTTTGCAACATGTTTTAGCTTTTTTTTCCCTTAAAGGTTTTTTCTGTAATGTTTTTTTTTCTTTTTTGCATAGATATGAAAAGTCTTCTATATTTAGAACTAACATAGTTAAAGCTATTCATACTTATATAAAGACTTCATTACTATTCAAAGACATGATAAATGGAAATAGAAGGTTTGTATAAACATGTTGATTTCATTCTCTAAGTTTGAAAACATGCCAAGAACAGGAATATGCGATACTCTGGATCCTGGACACTCCAAATATTTCAAGTTCTCTGTCAAAATTTCCAGAAGAGCAGGCATTTATATTAAAGCTGTGTACAAAATTATTACTTTTGATTAGTTATGTTTATTAATTTAATCACTATATATTTGTTTTTTGTCATTCTTGAATAATTCAGACAGTAGTAAAGACCTAAGTATTACACAGTAAATTGACATATCACCATTCCTTCCTTGAACATGTTGAAATCTTTATACATTTCCCTTGAAATTTTTATACATCTGGAAAACTTTATGCTTTTCCCTTGAAATCTTTATGCATTTCCCTTGAACTCTTTATCCATTTCCCTTGAAATTTTTATCCAGTTCCCTTGAAATCTATTTCTATTTCCCTTGAAATTTTTATCCATTTCCCTTAAAATTTATATCCATTTCCCTTGAAATTTTTATTCATTTCCCTTGAAATCTTTATCCATTTTCCTTGAAATCTTAATACGTTTTTCTTGAAATCTTTATCACTTTTCCTTGAAATCTTTATTCATTCCAGGATAAGCCATCAATAGATTAACTCTTTAATAAAATAAAGCAAAGAGGAGGATAAAGTTAAACAAAAATGTTTTTACATGGCACAAAATATAGTCTCTTAAGAGTTTATACTAAATTCTCTGTATTGACTTTTTCTAGTCACTGTAGTTTCTTCTGTTGTGCAAGTAAAAAGAGTGACTAATTGTTCATTCTTTCTTTCCTCATAGTACATGTTTCACATGGACAATCATCTTCCTTTCCTTTAATCTCCTTTTTCTTAGTCTTCTACTCCTTTTTTGTTGTGTTGTTTTTCTGTTTTTAGTCTTGCCTTTAAACATTTTCAGATGCCCAAGTAATCCACTTTTTAAGGTCAAGTTATTTGACTTTCTGCCTTGGCAAAGTTGCAGCAGTCTGATATTTGTCGAAGCTATTTGGTCTAGAACTGACTGCCTTTGATTTGTCCTGCTATTAAAATTTGCCAGCATTTGTTTAAATTCTTCTTTGTCTTTTAGTTTCTCTAGGTTAACCCTGGTGTCTTCAATATCTTTTACTTCTGCCATACATGCATCTAGTACCTCTTGCAGTTTTCTTGAATCCTCATCTTTTACTTCCAAAGCTTTTTCTCTTATTTCATTTTCTAACTTATCAAAATGGTTGTTTATTGCCTCTCTGGTTTGAGTAAGTTTTGTTAATGCTTCATCAATATTTTTTCCACTTAATTCAATTTTTTCTTTTACAGTTTCAGCCTTTGCTTTAAATACATCTTCTATGGTTTTTACATTTTTAATAGAAATATCCTTATCAGGTATTTGATTGGTGTCATCTTTTCTACCGTTTATCATGTCAATAAACCATGTACTTGAATCCATTCTCTTTTCCTTTGATTTCAGTTTGAATTTCTATGTTGTTTAGTTTGTAAATACTGGTTTGATCAAGATCCTGTGATACCTCTGCAATTTATCTTGAAAATGATGAAATGAGCATTTATTCCATAGATAATTCCCATGTCATATTACATTAAACATTAAATTTGTCCTCTTTTTTATGTAAATTTCATGTTAAGATATCATCACAAAGTGTTGTTTTGTATATAACCATGTTATATGCGGAAGTTTCAATGTCTGAATTTTACACACTATAACTTATATATAATTTCAATATTTTCCTTAACTGTAACAATTTCAAACTTTTCTCTTTAACCGTAGATACTTGTTATATTTTAGATGATATGTATCTAACACAAAACCCAATTTTATTCAAAATTTCACAATAAAGCTCTTAAAAAAAAGACTATAACTTTGTCTTCTCAATGTAAAATGTAATATATACAATGCTATAACTTACAAATGTTGAATTCTTGCCAGCTTTTGGTGTTTTTTCTTTTTAAATTTTGTAACCATGAACCTGTATATAAAAAGATATATATATCATAGCTGCAACATTCCTTTAGATGTCTCCTTTTCAAATTCAGTTTTCCAAATACATAAATGTAGTCCTTTTGTTATTGAAAGGACCACGTTTAAACAACCTATCAGGAAGTGATTATAATCTGTTCATTACCACTAATATGCGAGTTGCATGTTTTTGTTATGAAATCTATAAATAGTAACAAATTGCTGATAAGACATACAGGTTTGGCAAAAAAGATGGTGGCTGAAAAAATGGAAAATATAGTAATTTTATATTTATAATTACAAACTTATTTTTCATGAAACTGCTTAATATTTTTATATCATTAGAAAGGTCTGTAAACTCATATTGTACACATTAAAAGAATTAAATTTTCAAAACTGTTACCTTTTTTCTTGGTAGAGGGTTAAACCAGAGACATAGATAACATTATCTATGTCTCTGGTTAAACATAGTGCTTGAAAACTATTGAAAAACAGTTGAAAAATAGCGGAGTTTTCTTTTTCAAAAGCTTAAAAATCTGCTAGTATTTCAAAAATATGAATATAAAGAACTTTCAAATGGTATAAAAATCTAAGAAATCGATCAACAGAAAAAAGTTATGAGAATTAAAAAATTATGCTGCTATATAATGCATATAAATATTGGCTTTTTTTGCCAACCAGTGAATCTGCTAAATTCTGGTAGCAGGTGCTTGTGATGTCATCATGCAACTTGCCTATAGAGTCTCAGACCAGTCTGATCACACTATGGACTGTGTAAGACTCAGACCAACCTAATCACACTATGGACTGTGTAAGACTCAGATCAGCCTAATCACACTATGGACTGTGTAAGACTCAGGCCAGCCTAATCACACTATGGACTGTGTAAGACTCAGACCAGCCTTATCACACTATGGACTGTGTAGGACTCAGGCCAGCCTAATCACACTATGGACTGTGTAAGACTCAGACCAGCCTGATCACACTATGGACTGTGTAAGACTCAGACCAGCCTGGTCACACTATGGACTGTGTAAGACTCAGACCAGCCTGATCACACTATGGACTGTGTAAGACTCAGACCAGCCTGATCACACTATGGACTGTGTAAGACTCAGACCAGCCTGATCACACTATGAACTGTGTAAGACTCAGACCAGCCTAATCACACTATGGACTGTGTAAGACTCAGACCAGCCTAATCACACTATGGACTGTGTAAGACTCAGACCAGCCTGATCACACTATGGACTGTGTAAGACTCAGGCCAGCCTGATCACACTATGGACTGTGTAAGACTCAGGCCAGCCTGATCACACTATGGACTGTGTAAGACTCAGGCCAGCCTGATCACACTATGGACTGTGTAAGATTCAGACCAGCCTGATCACACTATGGACTGTGTAAGACTCAGGCCAGCCTGATCACACTATGGACTGTGTAAGACTCAGGCCAGCCTGATCACACTATTGACTGTGTAAGACTCAGACCAGCCTGATCACACTATGGACTGTGTAAGACTCAGGCCAGCCTGATCACACTCTTGACTGTATGATATTACCACAAGACTCAAACCACTGATGTTGGTATAGAGCGTCACCTACATCACATGGGATAATAAATCTTGAAAAAATTATTTTCAACCCGGCCATGTCAAAAAACCTTAGTCCCTTTAAGCAACTTGGACTCTTTTATAATATAAGGAGGAATAGGTTTCATTTAAAATTATGTTGTTAAAGATCCTGTAACACATTTTTTTTCATGGTTTTATTTCATAAATATGATGCTCAAATTAAGATTTGTCAATATTGTAAGTTCCAATAAGCATTATTTATAAAGATATTACCCAATTTAACATTTCATGTAAATAAAGGGAGGTAATTAGAAATTTATTTTCTATAAATTCTAGGTCAAATTTTCCAATGAGAAAAGAATGCATGTAATTAATTGATTCAATATAATGTGCACAAATATTTGCAGTACACATTTGACATATTCTTCGATGTTTGAAAATTGTTTAATTTGCATAATTATATACTATATAATTTTTGCAAGTGTGGTATACACATAGTAACAATATCAATCACAAAACATACAGGATCTTTAATATTTCAAGCATGTTTAGTACATTTTATACCATAATCAAGATTCCTAAAATTCATACCAATGAAGATAAGTGGTTTACAAAGTGGGAGACAGGGGTCATGTTATTACTGTTAAACCTTAAAATTTTACACCCAACAATAAAAAATGTCAATTTATATATTTCAGGAGCAGGCAGCAAAGTTAAAGGCCCAGCTTGAGGCAGCCAGAGAAGCTAAGAAAAATGCACCTGCTGTTCCTCAAGGTCAAGGTCGAAAGAAACATGATGATGATGACTTTGTGACCTTGATCCGAACTGATAGGTCAGGGTTAGCTCGGCCTGTACCAGACAGTCAGCATCCTGTAGAATCTGGAGGAAAGAGAAGAAGGAAAAAGCAAAAGGTAAGCTAATAGTCACAAAGAGTAAAAATAAACCTAAAGGAATAGAAATAAAGTTTCTGAGGAAAGGTAATGTGATACAATTTGACAAAATTTGAGAAACACTTGAGTCACTTTTTATAAGAGGTTATGACTTTATAAATTAACATTTTAATGATGAATAATTATGTAGAGATCAATATGCAAAATTTTGCACCCATCATTAAAGGGTTTAAAGCCAGAACATACTTTTCTGGCAGTGTACTGTTAGGCTGTCTTTCCTTATAATTATCTCTTGAAAGAAAACTTGAAATAAAGATTAAGTGTGTCTGTTTTTAGCATGAAAACTACGAGTATAAGTGAATGGAATAAAATGTTTCATATAAATACAAAATTCCGTGTTATACCTGCTATTTTTTTAGGGAGATTTTCTTTAATGTTTCTGCATGTTTAAACATTACAAAATTCCTTTCTTAAGAAGTAAAAATTTATTTATTTCTGAAGCAAAATGTGCCTTTAAGAATATATGTATGAATATATAATGTAAATGCATATGAAGTCACGTCTTGATCAATACAGGGTGTGGTACAGTTTAACTCAATTCAGATGTATTTCTTCAAATGACAAAGATGTACATGTATTTTTGTCAGAAAACTTACATTTGTATAATTATTTTGGTGTGTACCAGAATAACTGATGCTTGATATAGTTTTACCTCTGTCAAAGCTAGATATTTTTACCTGTAACGATATGTTATGCAAATAGAACACTCTGTCTGGAGATTACTAGTGGCCATTCTAATGATTATGATGTTCATGAGATAATAAATTGATTTACCTAATAATTTTTCTCTGATAAATATTTCAGATTGACATTCTGGTAAATAAAATAATTTCTTGCATATCAGACAAGATTGCACTGGTGCAAGAAAAACCTGTCATACACCCACTATGTGTGACAAGTCATGTGTTTTAAATGACGTCATTCCCACACATCCTTTATGAATGAAATTCATTCTTAGGTTGACGTCATTGTGACATTATGAATGAAGTTATATATGCTACTATAAGAAATATCATTAATTTTTAATATGCAAGAAAAAGAATCCAACTCCGGCTGTCGTCACAAACAAGAATATCTAGCTCTTGGGTGACTGTTTAGCAGAAACTCAGCAGAACCTCATTACTGCTGTAAACAGTTACCCTCAAGCTAGATGTTCCGGTCTGTACCGGCAGCGGTTGTAAGATCCTTATAAAATTGACTAACCTAATAAGTTTTTTTGGTTTGATAAATATTTCAGATTGAGACACACACTGGTAAACAAGGGGAGAGAACTCAATATTTTGATGATGATGACAAGTTCGACCTTAAAACACTGGTGAGATCTTTATATACATATTTTCTTTAGCCATTTCTACATTCATGTATTTATTCTAAGTTTGATTAGAAAAAATACAAATTTTCTTAATATTTCAAGATTTTTATACCATTTGATGTATATTGATACCAAAGCAAAATTTTAAATCATTTGCTTACTAAGTTGTTCCAGAATTATCATTCTTACTGTGTCAATTGACTTAAAAAATTTAAAATTCAAACAATTTTAACTTAAAAAGAATTCTTAAATATTTAACTCTTAACCTGCTGGTGGCAGCTGATTCTACCCATGCACTATTGCAGACTAAGATCAGTTGCCACATCTGTGTCGCCTGATAATTGTCTGCACTCTCGCTACACATTTTTAAATTTTCCCAAAAAATGATGGATGGTTTGTCTAGTTTGAAAGATGGACAAGTTCATTTAAAGTTACATTAAATAAATATGTAAAAATATTTTTGCCATAGGCCTAAAAACCAAGCATTCTACAGATTCATTAACATTTTTAACAGTCTTGATGTAAATCTCAACAAATGTTGTTCATAAATAAGGATTTCAAACGGAAAACCCCACGGTAACACTAAAGTTCGTATACGAATTTTAACATGCAAATGAAGATTATAATCAGCTTGTGTATGCGCTACGTCACAGTGTTATAGCTGCTATCCGGGACACAACAAATATGAGATTTTCTTGTTCAAACACATTTTAACCGTTTAACGTCACGGTGCACTAGGCCTGAGGTTCAGTAAAAAGTAATCATCTCATAAAAAAAGATTAAATTTGTATGAAAACATCCGTTACAATGCGGAAATATACCGTTAAATTAGGACTGCTACTTATAGTCATGTTTGTTGATTTAATATTGATGTACGGATGATCTGAAGGCGGAGTTTCTCATGCAAACAGATATTGTACTTCCGATTTCGCCACAATGAGGTTGTCCATTTTTTATGCTTATAAAACTCATTTTGGTTGTCTGGACACCAAAATAAGATCTGGAGTCGATATAAAACCCAATTTATTAATGAAATGTCGCTATTTCTGTTTTTATGAAATTTATTAAATGTAACTTTAAGATATTTAGTGTAGTAAGGGTTAAAAGTTTATTCTCAGTTGTTGGAAAATAAGATGGTTTAGACAATTACGGTCATGTAACTAGTTTGTTATACATAGATATATGTTTATTATTCAGGTTGAACGAGAGAAAATGGGTACGGCAGAAGATCAAAACCAGATGTTTGCAAGACTGGCTGGAAGGGTATGTTACATGTCTATAAATTTACCAGTTATAAAATTGTGATGTCATGGTATTTTGTTTAAAATGTATTCATGCACGTCTGTTTGCTCTTAATTCACACTAAAACACAGTCAAACTTGTGACCAAATATAAGTGAAGATTACCATAGTTTTACTCAAATCTTATTTCACACTAAAATGGATGGTAATGATTATACATTTAAAAAGATATTAGCCCGGGGTTCTATGATATTACGGTACTTAACGTTTATCAGAAAATATTTAAATATAAATATCATAAATGAATGAGATTTTTTTCTATCTTATAATTGAACAATTTCCAGAACTGTTTGTCAAAAAATTATTTCAAAAGAACCAACAAAAATGACATTTTTTAGAATATTTTCAATGTCTGCCATTTTGGGAAATTTCAGAGGAGGTTACTACGGTATCAAGGTAATCCCCAAAAAAGCAAGTATGGAAGGATAGATGGGTCAAAACTTTCAAGTTAAGTTGTGAAAAACTTCCAACAGCTAACTTGCTATAAAATTAAAACTATATGAACAGACTATATGTCAGTATATGTGTTTATAACATATTTTAATTGACTGTGTAAAAACCATTAAGGAAAATGGTAGTCAAATATGAAGGTTTTATAAAATAGTTTTCTTGCCACAAATACATTCATTATTCACCAAATTAAATTCATTGGCAGGTGAAAATGAATCTAGTGTGCAAGTTTTACAAATATTAGCATCATCAGGTGTTGCTTTTACTAGCAGTCACAGAAAATTTAAATGCCTTGATATCATAGAACCCTTGATATCATAGGAACCGAGTATATTTACTTTTGAACCCTTAAAGCAGCATGCCTTGAGATGCATGTTAATTTTTATGAAATTTTTGAAAATGTATTTAAAAGTAAAAATATTGTTAAGGGAACAAAAAAAGTAATTTACATATTGCAAATGGCACTTACAAAGTTACAATTTTCAAAAAGAGGTGAAAATATGCAAAAATATTTCTGCATTAGTTACCCAGTAGTAAAATGGTGATAAATATTGCAAAATCAGTCAATAATTGCACACAACATATAAAGCATTACTTGAATTATTCAATACATATTGACAAAATATGAAAAATGAAAATACATGTAAGTGAAATAAGTAGCTGATTTTTGACCAATTATAATTTCTCATAAATAATTATGTGAAGAGAAATTTCATTAAAGCACCAATATATTTTTTTTTTCACCAGTTTACAAAAAGATGACAGAATTGTGACAGATTTTTATCTTATCTTAAGCATAAAATGTATCAGGAATGACGTAAATTGAAAACCAGGGGAAGTAAAGCAATAACATGTACATGAAAAGCCTCTATACTAGAGGAGTTTGCAAGTTAATATCTCTGTGAGGAATTGAAAGGTTAAGATAATAGTACAGTAGATCCTTCCACTATATGTATAATGAAACCACTTGCTTACTTATTGGAAAAATATAAAATCTAAACTGAAATATTAGATAAGTTAGGAGTATGAGAACTTATGCAGGCTGACTGTGCATGTTACTAATTTAAACTCATCATTTATTTCAGCTTGATTATGACCATATTTTAACCCATCATCCAAACCAACTGTACACATATGAGCCGCGCCATGACAAAACCAACAGAATGGGTTTGCAACCAGCATGGATCCAGACCAGCCTGCGCATCCACACAGTCTGATCAGGACCCATGCTGTTCGCTGTCAGTTTCTCTACTTGTTATAGGGTTTGTAAGCGAACAGCATGGATCCTGATCAGACTGCACAGATGCAAACCCATTATGTTGGTTTTGTCATTGTGCGGCTCATACGGTATATACTACAGTATTTACCGATACTGATATATGATAAATAGCCTGTGTTACCGAAGATGATTTTAACCACTTTAAGTCTGCTTCCTGGAACTTGTAAGAACTAGCGTCATATGACTTAAAAAGTGACGTAGGCATTATCTACGGTACCTAGTCACAAAAGAATTAAATTCTATTTCTTACTTCATCTCTGTGCCAATTGTTTCAATCTCGAGCACTTCCCATAATGAAGCTATAAAAGATAACAGAACTTGGCAAAAAAACTTTATTTCAAGTAAAATACAAATATGGTACTTCCATTATTTGACAGAATGCAAATTTGCATGTTCAATATAACTATACTGATACACACTTATAAACAGTTTATTTAACATTTATTTTTTTCTTATAGAATAAGTGCACACGTTTGTTGGGATATTTAATTGTTGTTGTTTTTTTAACTTGCTGATCATTGGCATGATTAGAATTATAATTCAAGTTGTTTAAGTATACTATGAAATAAATAATTGGTTTTGGATTTAAGAAATACTTATGTAACAGAAAAAAATCTGTTGCAGTTTAGAAGTGTGTATTAGTGTAGTTTATTTATTAAAATTGCCACATCAATCTTTTTATAAGCGTCTTCAATACTCTGATTTAATAATTGAATTGGATGCTTGTAAGGTGCCATGTCATTCAGATGCTATTTAAGATATACATCATGTATTAGTTGCTGGAAACATAACTGTTAATAAATTTTAAAAAACAACATTTTTTTTTCTCTCGCTTATTACTATAATATATGTACATTCTGATTTTGTAAAGTTTTATTTTGAGACACAAGTCTTTTTTTTAAAAATAACTATTAAATAATAGAATCTTGAAACCTGTAACAGCTGTTGATAAAATGTATTGGTTTAATTGCTGGAAATTATTAATGTTAAAATCATCACAAAATCCTAATACAAAGAAACTTTTATTAACCTAAAAGTTTAGCATCCCTTTACCATAATATTTTCCAGTAAATCCATTTATTTTCATATAAACTTTTATTATCAGTAGTATATAATTTTTCTAAGGTTTTCAAATTTACATCAAATTATAATTGAGAAAAATATCATAAACATACAAGATTCATTTAATACAAGATCAAAAAGCATTTGCAAAAATGAACAAGATTTTCTTATGCTTATTTCCATACAATCATGATACTAATCAATGTCTATTCTGGTATAAGCTAAAGACTTGTATAACATTGGAGTTGAATGTCCCTATATATAGTCTATCAACATTCTCACATAAGGCAATACTGACTGGCTTCACTAGATTGTGTTTATCATCCACCAAAAGTTTCATTTTCTTTAGATCTGCTGATAATTGATGAACATTGTTAGAACCTCGCCCACAAACATAGACAAGCCCCTCCCTGTCTACTGCAAGTTGGATTGGTGCAGCCAGCTGATCATCTTTGTAGATTGCTTTAACTTTTCCATCGAAAGTCATACTTATTACTATGTTCTTGTTGTTATCGGAAATATAAATGTAACGTTTGTTTGGGCTTAAGGCAAGGTGCTTTGGAGAGCTGATTGTTATAGCAGACTCATCAAAGCATTTTAAGACATTTCCTGACATATCAAGAATCTTAACTCTCGCTGGGTCTAGATATGTTACGACTAAACACTTCCTTCCACATGTTATACCGTAACACTCATATCCAACTTTCACATCTTCCGTCTTCATCACTGTCATTGTATCTGAAAGTGTTAGAAATCTGGCGACTCCAAGCTCGGGGAAAGTGATGACAACTTCATTCTCATTAACTTTAGCTACACCCCAAGGTGCTGACGGCATGGGAAGAGCTGACAAAATTTTGTTTTCAAGTAAATCTTCTATTATATATATTGAACAGTTTTTATTATCTATGATTACAAGTTGGTTTTCATTCAGTAGACACAAACTTGTGTACATCACTGACTTGATTGGTAGTTCTGACAGGTGAACAGCACTCTTCTCCTTATGCATTGGTTTCACTTTTTCATTGATTGAGAAGAAGTTGCTTGTTGTCTCGATTGTGTCCAATGTAAGACTATTTGACTCGGGTTTTATCTTGAACTCACACGTGTGACAGCTCTTCTTTATCTCTTGTAAATCTCGTTCATAATTTTCAAGATCCTTTTGACTTGTTTTAACAGCTATGTAAGTACTGCATCTTTCCCCTGATTTTTGTTTGCTATCAATGTTTAAAGACAGTTTTTCAAGACCATTTGCTATATCTCTATGTTTTTGTTCGATGCAACTTAATTTTGTTAAGTCTGTGTCTTTGATATGCTCAATTTTCTCTTCCATTTTAGTTTCCGACACTTTTAAATTCTTTTCTAATATTTTCTCCTTTTCATTAAAGATTGCCGTAGTTTCCTCCCTTTTCTGCTTTAATTCTCTAAGAATTTCCTCAGCATCATGTATCTCTTGGTCGTAAACTTCAATTATTTCCTGTTTCATCTCTTGAAGGGTTTTCTTCATTTTCTGTGTGTGTGTGTAAATGGTCTTTTTGGCTTCGATTTCTTGAAGACTGATACTTTCTGAATTGAAATTCACCTTTTTCTGCGATTCTTCTAGCTTTGTGTGTAAATATTTTATGTAATCTTTTATATCTTCAATACCTTCTGTATTTGAATCATGGCTGACAAAAGAGGAAATATGTCCGACATCTTCACAGTTTTTATGAGTTTCAGTTTTACATTCACTGCAAGCAAAGTTCTCACAAGTAGGACAGTAAAATTTAATCAAGTGCTTTGAATGAACGGAGCATTTTTCTACACAGAAATCAGTCGGCATATTGCTGGTATCCTGTTGTTTATGTTCAGGCATATATCTCGCATGGTACACAAGGCAGGTTTTACACATGTAGTCACAGCAGTCAGTACATAGTCCATCTGCTCTCGCATATATGCCATGAAGATTGCATGGTTCACAAAACATGTCACCAACTTCGTCTGATGCATATGCAAAATCACTCATAATGAAACACAAATATTTACAGTTATTTTGATTAAAGTTTCTCTGATTTATAAAGTTTATTTTGTCCAGGAAGTTATGTTGTGTATTTCCTGTATATGTAATTGTCAATATCTGTTTCAATTTCATACATCAATTTACCATGCTAAGGTTTTGTAACAACCCATCCATTTATTCCAAACTAACACATTTTCAAGGTAACACTAGTTTATTAAAAGTATTCTCTCTAACTACACATGTTACATATGTTACAATCAGATTAGATCTATGTTTATGCTATTTTTAGAACAAATAGCAGTAACAGATAACTCTAAATTACTTTTAGATAAGCTATAATGAGTTTTCTCCCTTTGTTTTATTGATTAAAATGGCTTATAAATTGCATCATTGAAAATTTAATAAATATCTGACTGGGTTATTTTAGAGGTAAACTTTGGGTGTAAGGGGAAGGTCTTAGTGAAATGTATTGTTTCTGTATTTAATGGTGAAGATAAATATTCATATACATTTTGTAGATCTGAAGTTTCAAGTTAATGTTACATGTACCCATGCAAACTTGATTATTTCGCAGGGATCTGCCAATCTAGATTCTACCCAGTTATCAAAATTTAATTATAATTAATAATGATTGGAGCTCATTTAGATCAATTTTAATGACTGTTTCTTATTCTCACACTATGTCTTCTGGGGAAATATCTTCATGACCTTTAAATAGGGCTTGAACAAACAATTCCTTGGACGAGAGGGCAGCTTAGTGATATACAAACTGCTAAGCCTCTAAAGTCTCCTCCTAGACTAAGTACAGTGAAGAATAATGTTATATAAATTTTAATTTAATTTTTCAGGCAGCCCAGAAAACAGACGATGATTTTCAAGTTGATGATGTTTTCCTTAGTAAGGCTAATAGAAAACAGTCCGAATCTATCCTGGAGCAAAGAGACAAAGCTGCAGCTATATACGGTTGGTGCTTAAAAATAATTTACTAAAGTTATGTTTATGTTTATGATGTATTTCTACTAAAAGAATGCTGACTCATGTAGAGTAACTCTAGTTAGCTGTCCTATTTTATACAATACAGAATTACTGCAGAGCCTTGGCGTTTGACATGTTCCAGTTAAATGAATAAAGGAATGAAGAAGTCAAATATTATCTGGTTAAAACATAAAACTGTATTATTTTATTGAGAAAAACAAAGTTTTGACTAAAAACTCTTCATCAGGTATAGTTAAGTATAGTTATTTGCAAGAAATGACGTCGACGTTATATGTTGTCTGTGAGGTCATAATGTCGTTAGTGACAACAACGTCATATGTTGTTTATGACAACAACGTCATACGTCGTTAGTGACAACAATGTCAGACGTCGTTAACTTGTTAATGACAACAACGTCATAGGTTGTCAGTGACAACAATGTCAAAATGTGGTGAACTTTTGTCATACTAAATCAATATGTAGGATCACATTAATATTATTGATACCAAACACTGGGAAAGATATAATTTGGCTTGGAGAAAAAGAGAAAAATTCCAATTTAGACTTATGAGCCTTTTGTCACTGTTGAACACTGAGAATAGTCAAGTGTGCTGTCTTAGGGACATTCAATTTTGAAAATAATTAAATTTTTATAACATTTTAAATAATTTTTGTTTCAGAACATAAAAAAATGGCAGCATCACTGGAGAAGTGTAGGTTTTGCTTTGGCAATGTGCCAAAACATCTTATCATTGCCATTGGTACAAAGGTAAAGAGAAAATTTTTTGGTTTAGCCTATAAAATTTTGTTCTATATCTCACAAGGGATACCATTTTTTAGTAAGTAAGTTATCAGTTCAGGGATTATATATGTCTAAAATGTGCATTGCATAGTTTTGTTTTGTTTTTCAGGGAAGTTTTACTTTACTTTAATAATGAACAATTTGAAACCATACTGTTTGGATTTGAAATATTACAAAGTTTACAATTAAATTAATTTGAGCAAGCTTGTCCCCAAAAAAAAAAAAAATAAAAAAAAATACATAATTATGATATGAGAAAAATATATAAAATGTATATACTCCATTTATATATAGTGGAAACATAGTTTTAAAACTGGAAACTTTAAACCTGTTTTGCATTATAGACATCACAAAGATTTTTATAATTTATATGTTTTTTTTCCAAATTTTTTTTCAGGGTATTTATTTTGAAAATTTGAGTCCCTGCTGTTTAAATGATGAAAAGCAGAATGTCATTCCCATGTAGACATAGTTTTATTTCTAGTTTCTTGTTCAGGAAAGATAAAAAAAATTGAAAGTGAAAGAAAGGTGGTGACTAATCTTATTCCATTATGCTACATTTCAATTTTTAAAATTCAAATATTTACTTTATAGAAATGTGTTTAAAGATTGTTTAATTGTTTAGTTTAATCATATTTTTTGCTTTTTTTCCCCTTTCTATACAAAACAGAGTACAATGTCATGTGCAAACATAAGACAAAACGTTAACAAATAAATTTATAGTATTTACATGGATGCTGTAGTTGTTCATAAAAAGCAAAAGTGTGGGACTACAAGTTTTAACAACATTAGAGAGTTGGTCCTTCCTACATGAATTGTACAATATTTGTTTTCAGATACTGATTTATTTCAGGTATATCTGTGTTTACCAAACAACAAATCTTTGTCGGAAGGTCACTGTTTAATTGTACCAATGCAGCATGTAGCCTCAGGAACAACGGTTGATGAAGATGTATGGAGTGAAATACAGGTAATAATAAATTTTACTTAAATCACAAAACAACAAACCACATTTTAGACCTAATCAAATGGAAAATTAATCTCGAAAAATTACTTTCAGTCTTGTCTTGTCAAAAAACCGCAGTGGAGATCTTTTGATATAAATTATGAAGTACGAATGGTTTAGACCCTTTACCTCATATATACGCGAAGCAAAACACTTTTGACCCCCCCCCCCCTCTTTTAGGCCTCAAATAGTAATGAAAAAATGTCCTATTTGGGTCCCAAATGCATGTTTTCGTTTGAGAAATGTTGCTAAAAAAAGTAAGCACTTTTTCGGCGCCACCCCCCCCCCCCTTATCCAAAAGATACATCAGGGGGTTACATCACCAAGAAAATTTTTGACTTGTGAGAGGCTAAAAATTACCTCAGGTCAATCATAAGGTAACATGTAACCAACGCTGAGAAGCCTTTGACTATCTCTATCCATTGAGAAGTTGCAGCACTTTGAAATCAATTTTGATTGAAAAAATCAAGGCAAAATAGTGATTTTTGGCAATTTTGAGATGTCCCTTCATTGCCATGGTAATAGGAAATTTGAGACTGAGCATGTCATTACAAAGGCAATGGTCCAGTCAACATTTGTTCCAAGTTTGATTAGTATTGAAGCAGTTTTAGTAGTTTCATAGCAGTTTGAACTTGTAACAGGAGGCTTTTCAATGAAAACGGCCATTTTTCACAATATGCTCATGAGGGAAAGGGTTAGAAAACATATTGAAAGTAAAGGATTTTTTATAGCAGCATGCCTCAAGATTCATGCTTATTTTCATGAAATCTGATAATGTTTTTAAAAGTAATATTTTGTTAAGTGAACAAAGGAAGTAATTTACACACTGCAAACAGCAGTCTAAATAAATTACGGAAAGGGGCCAAAATATGTGAACAATACCTCTTACTGCATAAAATAGAAACATGTTGAATCAGATGAATACTGCAAAATCAGTCATATAGCACATATGTAAATTATTTCTTGAATTTTGAATCTTCTTACTTTTCATTAAACCATATACATTTTTATCAAGTTTAATTTTCTTAAAATATTTTTGGCTTTTCTGGAGGCACGCAGCTTTAAAGGTCAGAGAAACTTAACACTTTTAAGTGCAAGTCAAAATGTATACAGGAATCTGATTGTGGCTGGGTTTTTTTAGGGAATTGAATTAAAGTAGTAAGATATTGAACATGAAACATTGAAACTTTAAACATAAAGTATCATTCTACATTTGTAATAATAACTATAATAAGTCCTGTCATTTCATTAGATACATGAATAACATTCAGCATGCTGTTAGTGACAGATTCTACCTATGCGACCAGTGCTTGCACTGTTCCCTTTTCACTTGGTATATATTTTGAAATTTTTCTAAAAACTATATATGTGGCTATGTCTAGATTTAAATGTGGATAAGTCCATTTATGAATTATAGCATGGTAAGCATAAGGCAAGTTTAAAAACAAATACTTTTCACCTCGGAGTAAGTAAAACAATTCCAATATTATTGGTATTGAGAGCTTAATACAATGTATCCAATTGCCGTATTACACATAAATATAAATTCACTGACAAAAATAATTGCCTGTATTCAATGACAAGATACCAATTTCGGACTTGCAATTACTAAAACACACCCAACACCAAATTGGTGAATTATCTGAATGACGTTACTCTCAAGGTCGAGCTGTATGTATTTTTCAGAGAAACTCCTATCTCATACTGTTTCATGCCCCCACAAAGTGGGAGCATATAGCGTTGCACTTGTCCGTCTGTCTGTCCGTCCGTACGTCTGTTCGTACGTCCCGAAATCTTGTGCAACTCCTCTGAAACCGGATGGCAGATTTTGTTTAAAGTACCAGGGATGAACAACTTTAATGTGTAGATGGTAGTAAAGGAAGGAATTTTTGCTGCGACCAAATTTAACAGAATTATGGCCCTTTGTTGATTTTTTCACTATATAATATACTATGTAGAAATTTTGTGAACGCAACTCCTCTTAAACCGGATGGCAGATTTTGCTTAAACTTCCAGGGATGAACAACCTTAATGTGTAGATGGTATTAAAGGAAGGAATTTTTGCTGCAACCAAATTTAACAGAATTATGGCCCTTTGTTGATTTTTTCACTATATACTACCGGGTATGTAGAAATTTTGTGAACGCAACTCCTCTTAAACCGGATGGCAGATTTTGCTTAAACTTCCAGGGATGAACAACCTTAATGTGTAGATAGTAGTAAAGGAAGGAATTTTTGCTGCGACCAAATTTAACAGAATTATGGCCCTTTGTTGATTTTTTCACTATATAAAATGTAGAAATTTTGTGAATGCAACTCCTCTTAAACCAGTTGGCAGATTTTGCTTAAACTTCAGGGATGAACAACCTTAATGTGTAGATGGTAGTAAAGGAAGGAATTTTTGCTGCGACCAAATTTAACAGAATTATGGCCCTTTGTTGATTTTTAGTTTTCAACTTGTGGCACATGTAGTCCAAAAAATATTTGACCTAGAGTAAGATTGACAGAACAGTGACGTGTGGGGGCATCCGTGTCCTATGGACACATTTCTAGTTCTTATTATAATGTATGAAGTTGAAGAACTTGTTCATTGTGGAATGGTGATTTACACTTTGTATATTTGAAGGTGTTTAGAAGAACTCTTACAAAGATGTTTGCCGATCGGGATGAAGATGTGGTGTTCATGGAAACTAGTATGAAGCTTAAACAGTTCCCTCATATGTGTATAGAATGTGTTCCCATGGACAAAGAAGTTGGCGATCTTGCACCTATATATTTCAAGGTAGGACAAATTCGATTTCATTGTTCCTGAAATTGCTGTTATCCGATATGTAAAGATAAATATGACGTAAAATTCCTCAATCTGGATAAATCATTTAACCCTTAACCTGTTGTATTCATATAATAGTCTAGAACTGCTTTTAATTTCAAACAGTCCAATCAAAGTTTTAAGGGATTTCAATTTCAATATCAAAATACAAAAATTTAGCAGATGTACAGGCTTGCCTGGTTTACACTGGTGCTGGACTTTTTTTTATATCAAACTGGTGGCAAAAGAGTTAAAAGATTTTCAGTTATTTGAGAATAAATTTTGTCCTGTATTTCAGAAAGCCATACAAGAGAGCGAGAGTGAGTGGTCACAGAATAAGAAAGTTGTGGATCTCAGTCAGAAAGATATCCGACACTCCGTATGTATTTTATGAATTTTATGCTCTCTCTCTTTTTGTTGGGGGGGGGGGGGGGGGGGGGGATATAGTCTGTGTGTCTGTCAGCACCTCTGAAAATAAAAATGGGGCTATCTTACTGTAATGTGTCCTATGGGGACATTTCTTGTTAGTTTATGATGTTGTAATGCCTTATTGTTACTTTAAAGTATTTAAACAAATTTCTGAGTGGAGCTACCTGTAAAAAGTTAATGTTTTGAAGTGCATGGGAAAAAAATGCATTATTAGAAAAAGATAATATATAATATGTTTTATTTGAAATACCTACATTATATAAGTTATTTTTCAATAAATATGTTTTTATCTATTATGTGAAATTTATTTATTAAATTTAAAACATCGATTAAATTATTATTTAAATATTATTAAGTGGAAGTTTTGTCTACTTTTTAGGTTCCTAAAGGCTTTCCATATTTTGCGGTAGATTTTGGTAACCAGGGTGGATTTGCCCATGTGATAGAAGATGAAATCAAGTTTCCATATTATTTTGGAAAGGTACTTTGTTTTTCAGATCCATGTATAAGTGAAATTTAAATCACAAATATATAACTCTAAGGAACAACAATGCTGCAGTACAAGTATTGTAGAAAAAATACTGACATAATTTTGCATGACCTTTATGTACCTATTTTTTTAATCGATCACCCGGAGGAAAATTAATTTTATTATTTTCTGAGATGTCTTCCAAGATGATAAAATATTTCAGGAGAAAGTTGCGAACCTTGTGTGCAACCAGTTTCCCTCCCTTGTGATTAAATTGATTCAAATGGAATAGATTCTTGTGTAGAACAGATTTTTAATTTTACAGACATTTGAATACCACTTTTATCAAGAGGCCTTTGATGCTGTAAAATGTGGTCTTGTTATCTACTATCATTCAAAATGAAAGCGATTAGAGCTTAAGGAGATGAACGAAGTTTTCTTACAATAAATTATCAGTAACAATAACACTTTGAATGCAAGTGGCCATAATGATATACATTTTTAGTAATTAAGCTATCAGTATAGATTCAAAAAATGATGTCTGACCAAGCTCTATACAATTGACTGCTCAATTTTATTAGTTTCAATATTATGATGTTGAAATCCAATAATGCATCAGAAACGCATGTCCATTGTTGAGAAAATCTTGAGGTACTCTTACTGCAATGCTTTTTGGCCAAAATATTATTAACTCTGGCCAATATCGTAATAAATCATTTCGAGAACCTTATTTTTCACAACTTTTGGTATTCAATAATTTTTAACCGTTTATAACAGGAATCTGGTACACAGTAATAAAGGATGAGTGCATGCAAATAATCAAATGGCCAAGATTTTGAAAAAAATAACATTCCGGAAATTTCTGATTTGCTACAATATTGGCCGATGTTAGACTATTTTTGGCTGTAAAGCATTACAGTAAGACTACCTAAAATGATGTTGTATATAGATTCAGTATTTCATTCTTATTCATCTAATTGTGTCTTTCTCTCAGGAAATCATTGGTGGAATGATTGACGCTGATCATCGATTATGGAAGAAACCTCCAAAAGAGAATTTTGATGAGCAAAGAAGAAAAGTACTTCAGTTTGCTACCATGTGGAAACCTTATGACTGGACTCAAAATATTGCCAAGAAAATGGAATCCGACAGCAGTAGTAGTGACTCCGATTGAGGTTTAACAAAGCTTCTGGGTGAAATAGATTTAAACAGCAGTTCTTCAACTCAGGTTTTTGGAGGGAGAAATCGAGTTACAACTCCAAATCTTCAGTGACTGTGATAAATGAATGCAGAGGCCATCATCGTCATGGCTGCTAAGACGATCTATTCAAATTTATTGGAGGTTTTTTTTTTTCAATTAAAAATGAACAAGGCACCTTTGATAAGTTACACAACGGCATCATTGGCATCATAATTTAGCACAAGATGCCCAGTGACTCTGAATGATTTTGTCGAAGCTAAAGGCAAACTTAAAACAGACAAACAAAAATATTCCCCCCATAAAAAATCAAAAAGAGCGAAATTGACTCTTAAAACTCTAAAGACAAGTGACTTTATGAAGATTATTATCTATTTATTAAAAAGTGTATTTGTTTTCTAAATATATGAAATTAATTATATACGAAAAATTAATTTCTGAAGAAAACACATTGTCATCACTTGTAAAAAAATCTGTTGCAAGAATGTTTTATAACATTTGAAATAAAGATATAAATAACATTTTGTTATTTCATTTTTTTTAATAAGTAGTTAACAGAATAAGGTCAACAAATATACATGATACAATCTTAAATTATTTGCTTTGGATCCCAGTAAAGCAAAGAAAGATTACAAAATTTGGTTTGCAAATAAAATGTAAATATGACAGTCTTAATTGGTCACAAATTGATTTTTTATCTCGGATGAATTAAACATTTTATCATTAATCAATTTTCATGCTTCCACTGCTTTTGTCTTCATTTACAGTGTTTAAATAAGACACTTGTAATTATATTAAACATATCAACATGTTGTCAAGACGATTTTCTTCCAAACTGAATTACAACAGGCTTCCCTTTAAAATCATATCCATGAACAAGTTCCAGGGCCTGACTTGCTTTATCTGTGCCTGAAATATATAAAATAATTGTTTTAAATAGAAAAAATGGTAACTCTGAGATTACTTAAAAATAAAACTGCTGATTATGAACAGTAAGATACATTGTTAAGAAAAAAGCTCCCTAATGTTGATCTTGCTGAATTTCTTATCCCCGCGGAAAAGGCGCCCAAGGCTATAGAAATAGTGTCCGTCAGTCCCTCATTTTTGTCTGGAGCATATCTCAAAAAGTATTTGAGGTATCAACTTGAAACTTCATAGGTGGATAGATCCTATTGAGGAGGAGTGCAGTGCAAAAGAATGATAACTCTACCCTTTATAATTTTTGAGATATTGCCCTTTGTTATTTTTCATACTTTTTGTCAAGAGCTTATCCCAAAAAGTGTTAGAGGTATCAACTTGAAACTTCATAGGTGGATATATCTCATCAAGGAGGAGTGCAGCACACAATATAAAATATCCATGTATATTTTCTGTACCAACAAGATGTGGAGTAGATGAAAGCGGTAATTCAAAACTGGCTAATGGCACTTTCAGCTACAGGCTCGATTTCACTATTCTTAATGTGTTAGCAGAGGGCAACATCTATTTGCATGAACTGTGTATATCTTTTTATAAGTTTGAAATTTATCTCTTTCATCAGTGCCTAGCATATTGTTGAAAGACACCTGACAGAATCTGACAATTAAACAGACAGACATCAGGTCAAATGGGACATTTTAAAGAAAAGACAATGGATAGAAATGAATTTCTATCAAGTTTTGTCAAATTCTTTCAACAAAAATTCTCATTGAATATTAGGTTATAGTAATGGTAACTATTGGGAATGTGTCATATTTATTTTATTTTTAATTTTTAGTAAAAAGATACCCGGCTAGCTTTAAAAAATGGGTTTTGTACTCACTCCCCGTTTTGGCCTAAAAAATGCACAGAGGGGCACCGGGGTTCCCCCCAAGTAAAAGCGGGAAATCGCCTATGACCTATCAGTGTTGGTGCAACAAATCCCCAAAAAAACAAAAAAAAAACTTATGCTAAAAATAAAAAAGGCCCGTCCTTATCCCCTCCCTTAAGAAGTTTAAAACAAAAATTATCATTATTCATCTGAACTGTAAAAAAGGATGCCAAAATTTGTTCTGTGATTTTGGGGGTAAATTCTTAACAAATAGCACCTGTATAAATTAAAGCAATCATCAGATCTTATATAATTGTATGTAATTAATGAATTGATAAAAAAGCAATTACTAATACACATGCTTATTTTCATTTTTATGAGGTCTTTCATCATTTTATAGTCATTTAGTTCATACATGTCATACATGTCCCCTTCTTGGACCAACAGCTGTTTTTTCATCTTTTCTTTTAAATCATGCAGTTTCCCAAAAAATCTGTACTTACAACAGCTTTTTAACTTCCTGAATTAGCAATTTTAGTGATAATTCTTCCCAAAAGCCTCTTCCCAATTTAGTGAAAAAACCACTGAACCAGTATTAGTAACATGGATGTGATCCATCAGGGCTCTAATTTATGAGCCCTAGGTAACGAGGTAGGCACTCTAAACACAAGGCTGTCTTTTATTATACATGTAAGTGTCTGTTAAAACATATTACCACTTGTGATTACTAGAAAGCAAAACATCCAGTTTTTTTATATCCTTTAAGCACTAAACATTCAGTAACAACCAGAAATTACATTATTTTTGGGAAAAGACCTTTAAAAACAACTTACATGACTAGGTTCTCCTGGGGAGTATGTTTCAAATCTTGGTAACTTTTTCACTTCCTCAGCAGTCAGTTTATATTGTCTGATTGCACTCTCAGGAATGGCTTCAACATTTTCTATTTCTCTTTTTTCTTCTGCATGTTGATTATCTAGCACACTTGAATTGTCTGGCAAATTTAGCTTACAAATTCCTGTATTTTTCTTAGATTTTACTGTAAAGGAGGTTGACTTTTGATGAATTTTCTTCTCTAGTTTCGGTTTATTTTCAGTACTTTTTTCTTCACACTTTGATACATAGTCTGCTGGTTTTTCTTCACAAATTTGAATTTTTATTTCATGGTCACATGTCATCTGACATTGATCACATGATGTGTCACATGACGAGCAAGCCTCACTTTCAGTTTGTGAATTATCAAGTTTGCGTCTGCTACATTCTTGACAATTTGAAATAAATGTTGGATTGCAGCATTCTAGCGTACATTCTTTTTTGTAACTTTTCTTGTCCATCTTTCTGTGTTTTTTGGTATCAAGATGGGCATTACTGGAAAACTTTTCAAGAATTTCTGGTATACAATTCAAGGGATCATTTGGACTAGTTTCTTTTTCCTTTATAAGAGTTTTGTGGAGGAATTTATTTTGAGAACTTGCTGTAGCTATTGCATTTTCAAGGTCCATTTCATGTCTGTAAATAAGAAATTAAAGATGTATTTGTAGGCACAATGAAATTGACTTATGTATTATGAAGACAATCCACACTAAGTTTAATCTTGAATTTTCAATACTTTGGTAAAAAAAAGTTGTGACATAAATATCAGTCTTAAATCTTACAATTTTTACCATGAAAGAATCATTGAAAGAATTTATTGATAAAATGTTGCTAAGAAAAATTTTGAGAAATGAAACACTGAAAAATAGGATTCTGAAGTCATTCTTTGAAAAAACAATCTACAAGCAATGGTTGTCCAAGATAAAACCTACAAGCCATGGTTGTCCAAGATAAAATCTACAAGCCATGGTTGTCCAAGATAAAATTTACAAACCATGGTCATCCAAAATAAAATCTACAAGCCATTATCGTCTAAGATCAAATCAAGTTAAACAATTTTTTGTGTACTGGCATAAGGAAGGACATTAATTTATGCTTTTTTTAAATTTTCTTTTTATGATTGGGTTTTTAAGCAGATCGACACTATAAAATTCATATGGCATTAGCTTAATAGATGGAGGGAGCTGAGGCACAAATCCAATTTAGGAGTAAAAGCAGAAAGCTGTGTAAACCCACCGCAGGATCCCTCAATTCTACTTATAAATAATGAAATCTATAAAGCAGTGCATGAGCTCTTTTTCAAACATTATAAAAACAGTTTACCTGGATAGTGGCTTCACATTTGAAAAGCTATCAGGTTTTGAGAGATTTTGTTTTTTCTGAGCTATCTTGTCATTAATCTCTGCCAACTTTGCTGCAGTAAAGTCAGGGTTACTCAATCTACCTTTCTTTAGCTAAAACAAAAGAGAAAATAAATAAAGATAATTCATACTAATTTTCATTTGAATAAACTTCTAAAGCAAGTCTATTTAATTACTGCGAATTCACTTATATTCGTGGGCATGAAATTTCATGGTTTAATCAAATCGGGCATTTTCCTGGGTTCTTAAATTCGTTGATTTTCAATTTCTTGTAAAAAAAATAAATAAATTACCTAATGCAAAGTAATCTTACACATAATCGCCGCGCTTTTTATTTACTGCATGTCCATATCTTTACGTATCAATAAATTTAATCCTTACCTCTGGGCATTCATTACACAAAAATCGGCGGAAAAGCGCCAATGCATGTTTGTAATATTATCTAATATATAGAATAGAGACATGGCAAGAAGTATTTGTTGGGATAAAATTTCGTCGGATCTTAAATTCGTGGATTGACCAACCCACGAAAACCATGAAAATTCGTGCCCCACATATAATAATGATTTTACAGTAACAAGTTTAATCTTTTTTTTCATTTGTTATTTTTTATGAATAATTAAATTATATCTCATAAAATATTCTATATCTAAAATGACTTATAATAGTTTACTGAAAATATTGAAATTTATATAATTATCAGACAGTTTAGGAATGAAATCTTTATAATGTAATATATCTTTTAGGCTATAAAAGAAAAGTTTAAGATTTCTATACCATGGTTTCTTCTGGACAGAAACCAGGGCCCGCAGCTTTACTTTTCATTATTATTATTTTTTCTTCTTTTTTTCTTCTTTTTTGTGTGTAAAAATATGCGATATTAATTCTTGCACAAAAGGAAAGGAGGTTTAGTGTACTTTTACTAACCAATAACTTTAATTATACTTAAAGCTGTGATGTAATGTTCAACTTTAGGACAATTTTCATAATTAAAGGTAGGTTGGAAATGGAAAACCTCCATCCTTTGTTAATATTTTTACAAAATCATACTAAGAGACTGCATAAAATACATGCAAATATGTCCAAGATGATAAAGAGTTTTAACTAAGATAAGAAATAATTAGCTTATTACCAAACTTCCATCATTCTCCATTTGTAATTTGTACAAAATTTCTTCGTGGGTCAGTCCGAGATTTTTCATTTCTTCAATATATTTATCCACTTCTCCAACTGCAATGAAGTCACTAAGGTTTCTTGTCCCTGACAATTCGTCTGGTGAAGCTAAATAATCTGCTCCTTTTGAAAACTCTCGCTTTTGTCCCAATTGTCTGTTAGATGACAAAATTTGTTCAATGAATATAAATTTTATCTTCTTACTTCCTTGTCAGTGTAAACTCACTTCTTTGTTCCAGTAAACATACTTTTTTGTTTCGAGAGTGGGGGCACAAAAAACTTTAAGTTGCTGTAAAACTCTGATGATACAACAGATTTACAGTGCAGGCATTTTGATACATATATTGGGACAAGTATTCTGTTTAAGTATTACAATGTATTCTTAGACCAGGATCACACAAGACATTAAAGACCTAACTGTGTTTTTGTTAAAAAAAATCACAAGAATCAAATAAATAAGTTTCAGATTGAGGTTACCATATTTTTATGCTACCTTGTTAATATTCCGTCACACTAAATTTGTTCAACTGTCAAGCTTATATAAATACATGTATGTATTACTTTTACTTTCATTGAACATAAAATTTGTTTTTAAAAAGTAAAATACAATGTACACCAATAACCAAAATTATTCCCATGAATATTGTAATAATTAAAATTTTTATACTAGCTGGAAGCTGGAAAAGTAGAATTTTGTATCACTTACTGTTGTAAAGTCACTTTTGTGTCCAATTGTTTCTGGAGCATAGATTTGAGTTGTCTTTGGCCTTCAGTTTCAATGGACTCCAATGGACCATCAATGACCTTTGACCTTGACCGCACTCCAGCCTCCATTCGCACCACATCATGACTCTGATAACGTCTTGGGTTACCACTGAAATAGGGACGTAAAGTCTTTATCAAAAAAATATTTATACATTATTCAAAATACTCTGACTGAAAACAAGCTACATGACATGCAACATAACTGTAGACTAAGTAATTTACCAAAACAGAGGTAAAATAATCAAATATAGTGTGATATTTTCTTGAAATATTTTCGTAGGTAGGCGTGCAGCTTTAAGTATCATGATGATATATGTCTAAAGGTAAACGACCCAGCTTAAAGTAAAGATAATGTACAAATCTAAAAGCAATGATTTGTAAATGTATGTAAATCTAATTCTTATGAATTAATACACAGGGGATTCTGTCACTTTTGTCTTATATTATATATATAAAGATTTAATAAAATAATGACAGATTTCCCTGTGAATTAATACATGAAGATAGATAATTAGTTAAGGTAAATTGTCCTCATGTTTGTCTTTCATGGTTTATGTATTAATACATTAGAAAAGCTTTATTTATTTGCATGATACTTTAATATGTTTAAATTCATCACAAGTGTAACAAAATGTAGTAAACAATGCACTGTCAAACTTGTGAACAAAGGCCACCCAAAGGAGAGACCAAACATGACCTTTATATACAAATGGTTTTTATTTGGAGGTTATTATGTTCTATTTAATCAGTGAATGGTTGTTGAAGAGTTGCCTTTGTTTACCGGATGATCTTTATTCGAAGGTGGTCTTTTAGCACAGGTTTAACTGTATTGTATAGGAAATAATGAAAACTGGAGCTAGTTCAGTGAATACATAAATATTCCATTTGCTTGAAAGACAATGCTGACAAAGCCTTTCATATTTTGTTTGTCTTTTGGGAATTTGAAATATTATCTTTTGAAATATCACATATGTCAATGGATAGGTATTTAGTACTTTGAAACCTATATACACAAAATCACGATAGTGCGTTCTTACTGTTTCACCGGGAAACCACGACCTTGTCACCGGTTAGAATTTGAAGATTAATCCGTTGTAAAACAAAGAAACATGTCGTCATTTTGGAGACAGGCGGGTTTGAAGTATGTTACTTTATCTTCTTTGGTATGAGGTGCATCAAATGCAAATGTTTTACTGCAGAATGAATGCATGAATGACTAAACTTAAATTTACCTGTTGTAGAATTGTGGGTGGGGTAAGGTTTCGTATTGCAACAGCAACAGGTCTACGTCCCCGCGAGGGGTTTGATATTAATGGAAGATAGATAAAAAGAATCTAGTTTCAAACAAATTAGGCAACCATTAATCTTCTTTACATCAGGGCAGGAACTGGTAAATGCCAAGGGTGAGAATGGTATGACAACTGAGTCTAATTACACTGGTAGACAGACGTTTCACTATTGAGACGGTTCACACCAAGACAGTTCACACCAAGACGTTTCACTCCCAAATGGGAGTGAAACGTCTTGAAGACATTTCACTCCCATTTTATACCAAAATTATTCTGATACTTATGCTATACTACAATCTGTCCCAGCTACAATAGACCTTAATTTCACTAAAAAATGTAAATGAATAAGGGGATTTCACTTTTTGTCAATGACTGAAAACTCAGGACTTTTAAGTTTGTATATCATAATTGTTCAAGTTTTATTTATTTATGTTTACTTGATTAGAAAGATCTTTGATCTCTTTATAGTCTTAAAACAGTATTGCTTTCGGAAAGAATATGAGTATATTGTACATTGCATTCTAGTAGATCAATTAACCTGCTAGAACCGATATATATCCAACACAACTTGACAATGCTTTATATTGTGTGGGCTTTAAAACTTTGCTCATTTTAAATGAGCTGATACTATACTGTATAGATTATAATTATTTACACATTCTGTTATATTTCAGAAAAATTATACTTTCATAATCATTCTTCAAATTCATAAATTCTTCTCAACAAGACTCTCAAAATCAACATGTTGAAACATTGAATTTCCTCTTCATAATTAAAATAAATTTGTTAACTTTCTTAATAAAAAACATGTAAAAAATGGGAGTGGAACGTCCATACAATTGACAAAATGGGAGTGAAACGTCTAGGTGTGAACCGTCTTGGGAGTGAAACGTCTCAATAGTGAAATGTCTTGGGAGTGAAACGTCTGACATTCAATTACACTCACTAAATATTGTGTGATTCAGTTGATTGATAAATCATGTAATTGTACTATCTGTAAGCAATTATGCATAAGCCTTTATCTTACTTTTTAAACAAATAAGAATAAATTCTGTATGTAATTGTTACTCTTCCAGTGAAATGGTATCCTAGGTTACAATCATATGATTCTTGACAGAAATCTGTTTGTTTTTAAGGAATATTAAAGAGAATGTTTCAGTATAAAAACTAAGTCATCAACACAATGACTAGTTTTTCTTGTCATAAATTCCACAACATAAAATGCATTAATGCATGTCATCAGTTATAATCATAAAATAATGGTTTAACACGTATTTCATATCAAATGCTACTGGTGCCTGCGTTTTTATTTCATGCATTTTGGGGCCAATATAGATTTTCTACTTTGCAAATCTTGTAAAAGTTGTGGTAACTTGATATTTTCAGCTACATTCGCTACTCAAGTGTATGTGCCAGAGCAGTCCGAAGTGCCCTGAAGCCAGAATTGAGGCAAGAAGCAAGTAAACGAGGAGATGCAACTATAATTAAAGCAACCAAATTTGAGGGCGGAAAGCCAGTTGGTCAGTATACCAGAAATTACTTATATTAAATACCTTTTTAAAGTAATACTAGTATTAAAAAAAAACAAAAACACGCCAACTTTTAATATAAAAGAATTAAAACAGCAAATAAATGTAAATGGACTTTTAAATTTTTTTAATTTTCAATTAATGGGTAATAGCAAGTAACTGCCAGGCTAACAAGTGATATTTTTAGCAAGTTTCATAAGATTTTAATATCCAAATTATTAGTGAAATTTATTTTTTCAGTTAGAGTTAACATTTTTAACAAATAATGAAAATTGCAGTATTGATAAACTTATATACCTACATAGGTAAAGAAGATGTATTTGGCGGAGTCTAGGTAATCAAGTTCGCATACAGCTTGGATTACATGCATGGATGATACCCTCTATTGCATTCTCGTATCTTATTAGTGTTGTGTTGTTATCACTATTTATTATTTTGTTGTGTGTACATGTTTGTGGCATTTTTTAGCTCACCTGAGCTTGCTCAGGGTGAGCTTTTAGGATCGATGAATGTCCGTCGTCCGTCGTCCGTCCGGCCGTCCACAATTGCTTGTGAACACTCTAGCGGTCGCATTTTTGCCTCAATCATCATCAAACTTGGTCAGGATGCTTATCTAGTTGAAAGCTCGGATGAGTTCGAACATGGGTCATCTCAGATGAAAAACTAGGTCACAAGAGCTAAAAATAGAAAAACCTTGTGAACACTCTAGAGGTCACATTTTTGACCCAATCTTCATCAAACTTGGTCAGGATGTTTGTCTAGGTGATAGCTCGGATGAGTTCGAACATGGGTCATCTCGGATGAAAAAGTAGGTCACAGGAGCTATAAATAGAAAAACCTTGTACACACTTTAGTGGTCACATTTTTGAACCAATCATCATCAAACTTGGTCAGAATGCTTGTCTAGTCAATTGCTTGGATGAGTTCGAACATGGGTCATCTCTGATGAAAAACTAGGTCACAGGAGCTAAAAATAGAAAAACCTTGTGACCACTCTAGTGGTCACATTTTTGACCCAATCATCATCAAACTTTGTCAGGATGCTTGTTTAGATAATAGCTCGGATGAGTTCGAATATGGGTCATCTCGGATGAAAAACTAGGTCACCGGAGCTATAAATAGAAAAACCTTGTTAACACTCTAGCGGTCACATTTTTGCATCAATCATCATCAAACTTGGTCAGGATGCTTATCTAGTTGATAGCTTGGATGAGTTCGAACATGGGTCATCTCGGATGAAAAAGTAGGTCACCGGAGCTAAAAATAGAAAAACCTTGTTAACACTTTAGCGGTCACATTTTTGCATCAATCATCATCAAACTTGATCAAGATGCTTGTCTAGGTAATAACTCGGATGAGTTCGAACATGGGTCATCTCGGATGAAAAACTAGGTCACAGGAGCTAAATATAGAAAAACCTTGTTAACACTCTAGTGGTCACAATTTTGACTCAATTGTCATCAAACTTGGTCAGGAAACTTGTCTAGGTCATTGCTGGGAATAAATCGAACATGGGGCATCTCGGATGAAAAACTAGGTCACAGGAGCTAAAAATAGAAAAATCTTGTTAACACTCTAGTGGCTACTGTTGTGATCCAAATATTCTGTTAATTGGTCTGAAAGTTTGTTTTGATGATTTCTAAGTCAAGATGGAACATGGGTCATCTTGGATGAAAAACTAGGTCACACCGCCCAAATATGGAAAAACCTTGTTAACATTCTAGTGGTCACATTTTCGACTCCATTATCATCAAACTTGGTCAGAATGCTTGTCTAGGTAATTGCTTGGATGAGTTCGAAATCGCATGTGAAACTAGGTCACCGGAGCTAAAAATAGAAAAATCTTGTTAACACTCTAGTTGCTACTGTTTTGATCCAAGTATCCTGGAAATTGGTCTGAAAGTTTGTTTTGATGATTTCTAGGTCAAGTTTGAATATGTGTCACCTGGGTAAAAAACTAGGTCGCACTGCTCAAATATGGATAATCCTTGTTAACACTGTAGTGGTCACATTTTTGACTCACCTTTCATGAGACTTGGTCAGAATGCTTGTCTAGGTAATTGTTTGGATGAGTTTGATAATTCAGGTGAGCGATCTAGGGCCATCATGGCCCTCTTGTAATTCTATAGATTTGATCTTTTCCAACTTGGGTTATTCCAGTATTCCTAGTCCTACATGAATACTGTATATAAATCACCCTTAGGATATGGTGCCTGCTTTTTAAATTTGTCTAATGACATCTGTGATATGCAGGCTTCATAACCTCTGATCTCCTTTCAAAATTCCATTAATTATATTTAGTTTTCCCGTGGTTTCCTCATTTAGGGCATACACATTTTTTCTTTGGGGTGCATATTCCACTACATGGAATGGCACTAATATGTCACATTCCATGATATTAACTGCCATATGAACACATCTGCGCCTGTTACAAAATTCAAAATTTTACAAGTTCATGTTAAATGATGAATTCTGCTAAAGCTAGTGCTAGAGGCCATGGACAGTAATTTCCACTTTCCAGTACAGTGAGTACCGTCCATAAACAGGTTTGATTGTTTGTCCATAAATAGGTTCAATCAAACCGAGCCTGCAACATTTTCAACTTTGTCGTTTTGGGCGTTCTTTAAAGGTTCCGTTTTCTTTATTGTATTTTCTTTTGTCTTCTGAGGCAAACATGTACATACTTAATTGTGATAAGCTTTTATTATCCAAAAATATCAAATATATTAGATTTAATATCTACTAAGTTTCTAACTTGGGACTGTTTTCCAATGCAGCTTTTCTATAGAATGATTCTATATGATAAATCTTAAAGAATTCATGGTTTATCATGTGGTGATCAGACTGGAACAGTTATATTTATATATGAAGCAATCTCATTTTTAACAGATAATGCTTGTTAATAAATAGGCGTGCTTTGTTATATATCCATTAGTAGAAGGGTATCATTGGATAATATTATCTTTACATTATAACATATAAATAAATCTTTACAGAAAGAGATAATTATATCATGTATTCAAGACACATTGATCTTTTTAATTTGAATTTCAAAACAAATGTACTTACTTAACATTAACTGTAATAAACAGTGTTAAAAAACAAATCTCTAACAGAATTTTACAAGATTTAACTTTCTTTTACGTGTATATAACATGTACACCCCAGGTTATTTCCCAACATGGATTTGGACCTTATGTTACAAAGTATATACGTAAGATGCGGTTAAATTTCTAAAGTTACAATTGTTTTGATTTACTAGTATTTGTCTGCTATGTAAAAGAATACAAAAGAGAAATGTTCTGGATTAGAGAAAAAAATTGTGAGGGTAATTATTGGAACAGTCAAAGTAATGTGCTCGGAAAATTGTGTGATTCCCTGTTAAAATGTCAGAAAAGAAAAAGAAATTTGAGACAAAACTTGAGCTCATAGTTAAGTTCTGGTTATACAGGGTTTTTAAATCTTTAATTTTAAAATAAAGCCATTTCTGCATGGTTTTCCTTATAGATGTAATGTAAAATCAGACATTGTTGTATAACTAATTGAGTACATACATGTACTCATTTGTTTATTACAAAACATATCAAGAAGGTTCAGTGTTATGTAAAGTACAAACGTTTCACTTTAGAATTGATGATAGACTGATAATGATTTGTTATACAAAAATGAGTGATTTTACCTTCTTGAATTTTGAAGAAAGTTTGCCATTATTTGTAGTGGAATTTTACATACATTATGCTTACAATGTATAGAAATTGTACATGTATTTTGATCACATTTGCTTTATTACTGTGTGACAGTTTTTAGAATATCTGAGAAATATATGGTAGATAGATGATGCTTTTGTGTTGTCAGGCATGTAGTAGAAAAAAGTTGAGTCTGGTTGACATGCATGTTTGTTCATGAATGGCTTTCATTCAATTTGAATTTATCACTGGTCAGTGTTTTTTTTATTACTGGTCAGTGTTTAATATCTATGAGATAAACATAGGGCAACAATAATTCATGCCAGAATTTATATTAAGATGACTATATGGTCAATCTGGACTATCATTCCAGGAATATTTTCAATACTAAGAAACTGAGCCCCACCCTGTTGTTTATTTTTTCACATTTTCTAAATTATATATAAATGGAGGACTGTGATTGCTGAAATAGATTTTAATAATGAAAAACAAGAGTTGAAACTACTGCATAAGGCTGCCTTCCAATGTAATAATTCAATGTATGGCCCTTAATTTAAGATTGAAAAAATAACAATTTACAGTCAACATTTCAAATTACCACTTTGTCTTCAATACTCCCAGGTCATAGTAATAGTAAGTCAATAACATTTTTGTTAATATATCTTACTGAAAGTTAAAGAAAATTATGAATTTACCCGTAATTTAAGATCAGAATTGGAACACTGCAGTAGTATAATTTAAGATGATTTATAACAATCTTAACAAGTATTTAGGCTGACAAAGTTACATTAACAGTATACATGTAGTTTAAGTTTTGTTTTATTTTCTTCTGAAAAACAATGATGGAAAATTATTTTTCTGATTGTCTATTTCAGCCAAGACAGCCACTGCATCATGATGAGAATGACTGGTCAATGATGGATGTGTGATAGCAATTTAATAAATAACATCTACATAGGAAATTTGTGCTTATTTTGTAAATTTATCAATTATTAAAACAGTGTGAAAAACTTCTAAAATATACTTTTGTTATTTGTTGTTTACGTCAAAATATTTACATGTACACTGTATTTAAAAGAAGCCACCACAGAGCAGAGCAGAGGTCACATGCAACATAGGGAGAGGTTTTGAAAGAGAACATTTTTTGGTACAGAATTTCATATCTGACCTGCTGGACAGTCAAAAGTTTTTGCCATCTGCACTTCTACTTTGAGGAAAAAGTTGAGCTATTTTGATCACTTTGTTGTCTGTTGTCATGCAAAAAGCTTTGATGTAGCCTATTATTCTAACAATTTAAAAGGTATCAATATAAAGCTTGGATTGCATGCTTATTGAGGTACGTGTGTATTGTGTAAGACAAGAACATTTTTTCTGAAAGCTATATTTTTAGAGGTATGCCCCATTTTAATTTGAATTATTTTAAAAATTGCCAGAAAGACTTCAAATCTATAAAAGCATATCAACATGGAACTTGAAATTTTATTTGTCTTGAGAAAGGCCCAGTTACTAGACAAGGGCCATTATTTTGAAAGTTATATATTTGGAGTTATGTCTCTTTTCAACTTGATTTTTTTGTCAAATCTGCATACTGAATTATTATTTGATTTTCAAAATTATGAAAACACAGAACCCTTGATAATCATGACAATGCAAAGTTATAAAACAAGGGGCATTAACCTGAAAGCAATATATTTAAAAATTGACACCACTCTTAATATTATTAGAGTTTGGCCCCTTTTTAACTTATGCCCAGAGCTTAGATATTTCATCACTTTGGTGACTCCAAAACTGGTATTTATCTTGCCCCTTGGGGTAAATATTTGCCCTGGCACTTGTATTTAGTAAATAAAGATTTTTATAGGAAACACATTTAAGTCTTTATTTTGTGAAACTACAATGTCTAGAGCTTAAATATTTATGATGTGTAGCATTGCCTAGTTGGCCTCTACAAAAACGGTAATCATGCTTTTTATGGCTGATTACTTAGTTATAATCTTGTATGAAAAAACACATTTCAGTCTCATAAATATTGATATTTCAGTCTCATAAATATATCTTTAAATATTTGTCATGTAGTATTGTTTTATTGACCTAATTGATATAAATCATGACTTCTGACACATAGGCCTCCACAAAACTGATATCATATTATTTTTATTCATGCTCCTTGTATTAATGTATGGCACGCCCAGAGAGTCATTTAATTTATAGACTTACATAGAAAACTAGAAATGTCAATAAGAAACGGGTGCCCCCACTTGTTTTGTCAAATTAAATTCTTATGACTTTAGGTCAAATATTTTTTGGGCTACATGTGCCACAAGTTGAAAACTAAAAATCTTTAACTAAGTCAAGGGCAAGAACTTTACAAATACTGAATAAATCCACAAGCAAACCCCCTTGGCTGACCAAACATTCTTGTAAACTTTCAGACCTACAGGTCAGTATTTTTTGAGTTATGCATGAACAAGTTGAAAATTGCAAATTTATACTAAGTCAAGGGCAATAACTCTAACAAAACTGAAAAAATCCACATGCAAAACCCCAGGTGCATAGCTTCACCGTGATGTTGATCATTATTCCTGTAAAGTTGGTTGATTCTAACTCAAGCACTCGAGGAACAAATAACACAACACAATGGAACGGTTTTCACTAAGTCTAGAGCAATATATCTGACAAAACAGAATAAATCCACAAGATAAACCCCAGGTGCACAACTTCACAGTCATGCTGAGCAACATTTCTGTAATGCATCATGACACTAGATCAAATACTTTTTGAGTTATGTGCGACACAAGTTGAAAATCGTAAATTTTTAATAAGTCAAGGGCAATAACTCTAAAAATACTAAATATATCCATACAAAAATAGCCGAGTGCACAACTACACATGCTGATCAACATTTGTATAAAGTTTCATGACTCTAGGTCAAATACTTTTTGAGCTATATGCGACAAAAGCTTCCGGACAGACGGACAAGGGTAAATCTAAATCCCCCCCCCAAAAAGTGGGGGGCACAAATACGAGTAAATCTTATTCTGCAGAATTACAATGCCAAGAACCAAGTTATTAGGCATGCAGCATTACATTGTGGATTTCTGCTAAACTGTTATTAATCATGCCCCTGAGGTCAATATTGGCCCACCCTGGGTCACTTGATCTATATAGATTTGTACAGGAAAACACATTTAAGTCTTATTGTGTGCAACTACAAAGCCCAGAGCTTGGATATTTGGCATGTAGCATCAATTTGTAAATTTCTCCAAAAGTTATATTAATCATTACCCTAGGGTCAAAACTGACCCTGTCCAGGTAGTCACTTGCTTTATGCAGACTAAGATATAGGAAAACACATCATTCTAATTGTGGATAAATTAACTATGCCTCTGTATTTGACGTAGCATTGCCTTGTTACCTCAATAAAAGTTTTATGTAGCAGGCGACACAAAAAGGACAATACAAACTACTGACTATTTAAAATATCAGTTATAAAGATTTTTTAGTCATATATTATTAAACAGTTAATGTAAACTTAATGTATATGACCCATGCTGCTTAGCTTAGAAAAAAGCTTACATAGCAAGAGACCATTTTTTATACACAGCCATGCAAAGTTATAATAGAGCATAATTTCTTCATTTGGGGAAAATGCAAAATAACTCTTAACTATACAGTTGTTGTGTAGATTAATTTTATAAATGTCTCAATTATTCAATAAAAGCGATGTTACAATCATACTTAAAACAAAAAATCTTTAAACATGAACCAAACAGATTGATCATAATCAAACTTGGCTTTATTAAGTTGTGAAAAAATAAATCCATCCAAATAGTGTTTTTCTTGGTTTTAAAAAAAATGCAATATCAATATCAATTATGTTATAAAAATAACTTTTAAAGATAATTCAATATTAAAATAAAATTGCTCATTTTTTTTTTTTCAATTTACAAAATTCGAAACAGAAATGCACAATTTGAATGCTAAAATTTTAAATACTTGAATAAATAAAATGGTGTATTGAATTTCTTCTTGTCTTCACAATACACTTATTTCCCTTGATCAATATATACTTACTACCTGTATAATATAAAAAATAAATATAATCAAGTTTTAAAAGTTTATAAAATCAATATGTCTATTTATAGGATTTAAGTATGTTGAAGCATGTACTATCAATTATAATATTCAAACTTAACGAATACCGGTAGTCAAATGCTTTTTTCCTCTCATAAATACAATGGATAGGAAAAAATATTCATTTTATCTTTCTGAAGCATTGAATGCCCTTGGATTCAGTTATGAGTGCATTAAACATAGACAGAAATCATGGGAACTTTGTGGTGACTATCTTACTGCTGATGAAGATGAAAATGTTACAGATCTGATTGCTGGGAGTAAAGCTGAAGGAGTCAGCAGAGTTTTTGAGGGAGACTATGACCTGATGGTGTCTCTTAATAATTTTATATGCTATGGAAGCAAAGATGACATGGCTATCAAGGATGATACAGTACTAGACAAAAATAACCACTTTAAGGGTGAAACTACTATTCTTTATCAAAGAGCAAACCAGAACTCAGACAACCTAGAGGAACAGGAAAAAGAAACCTATGCAGCTGATAATATTCAATGGCATTTTGATATGTTAAATGATCCAGATGAAACTATAACAGTGAAAGATATCCCACAAAATGAAGTCGCTTGCCGAAAACTTGATAAATCTGATACAAAAAATCAGATTGATGGTATTTTTTTAATGGACACTGAAAACGTATCACCTGGTTATACAATATTAAAAGTGATGCATTTAGAAGAAAAGAAATTACTGGACACACAAATACAAGAACAGGTAGCTCTAGCTTCTGCAAAGGTGGACAGAAATGGATCATGTATCCTTTCAAGTAAAGTGTTTTCTGATAAAGCTTATGAATGTGATGAAGACGAGTACACGGAATCAGTTGCCGGGCCAGCTGGCCGAAGTGACGCTAATAAAGATTTGGGTATTATTTGTGATTCAGACTCAGTTTTCTGCATACCATGTGTTTGCAAAGCAATCAACAAGTCGTGGTCAGAAAGGAGGAGAAAGTTTGGGTGGCCAGGAAGGGAGGTTATAGATGAGGTCTCAAAACTTGATGGACATGTTGTTCCAGTTGGATTCAAAGGTAGTGAAACAAGCAATATTGAATGGAGGATATGTTACACTTTATCCGAAATAAAACTCATTCAGTCTTTCAATGAAACACAAATAAAGCTTCATGCCCTCATCAAAATTGTAGGAAAGAAAATTCTTCATCCAAAATGTCCTGACATCACATCTTACATTTTGAAAAATCTGTTACTTTGGATGGCTGAAAAGATTCCCACAGAATGCTTCATAATCGAAAATCTATATGGATTACTGATGGTGGCACTCAAGTATTTGAGACATACAATAATGGAGAGAAATTTACCAAATTACATGATACCAAAGAGAAACTTATATTTTGGAAAACTGCCAGAAGAAGAAAGAAAAGAAGTTTTAAATGTGTTGGATGATGTGATTAGTTGTAAATGTGCCTTTATAGAATCATATGAAGAATTTTCAATCTTTTCTAGGTATATTCGTATAGCTGTAAATGACCACCATTTAATACGATACATGGAATCCAACAGGCTAAATTTAGAAATTCTATTCCGACAAAACTGGCGTGAAATATGGGAAGACAGAGTATACAACTTTTTGCCACTTTGTCTAGAGCAATCTCCATGCCTGAAAGCAATTGTTTCATTGTGTGACATGGTAAATGCAAGTTCTAAAATAAAACAAATTGTTGTTGAGAGAGTATTTTGGTGGGTCACTGGCAGGAATGATGGTGAAGCAGTGAAGGCTGACGAAGCATGTGTTGCAAATAGCGATGCCTATTGGAAGTGGGATGAAAATGGTGTTATAAGACCAATATATTATGACAAAATACTCAACAAAGAACAAATTGATGAATTTTTTCATGATAAATAAAAAAATACATGTAAATGTTACTGTGTATATTTGGGATAAAGTTAACTTAAGCTTTAACAAGAGCTGTCGGTAGGACAGCAACGCTCGACTATTCTTAGTGCTTGATAGTAAAAAAAATGCTTGATAGAGTTACCTCCTCCTGTTTACAGGTTGGGGTCATGATGGTGAACAAGTGTGCAAAGTTTCAAAGCCATATGTCAATGGACTTTGAAAATATTTGAACTATTACAAAAACTTTAACGTAAATTCTAAGTCAAAAAAGGGGCATAATTCTGTCAAAATGCTTGATAGAGTTACCTCCTCCTGTTTACAGGTTGGGGTCATGATGTTGAACAAGTGTGCAAAGTTTCAAAGCCATATGTCAATGGACTTTGAAAATATTTGAACTATTACAAAAACTTTAACGTAAATTCTAAGTCGAAAAAGGGGCATAATTCTGTCAAAATGCTTGATAGAGTTACCTCCTCCTGTCTACAGGTTGGGGTCATGATGGTGAACAAGTGTGCAAAGTTTCAAAACCATATGTCAATGGACTTTGAAAATATTTGAACTATTACAAAAACTTTAACGTAAATTCTAAGTCGAAAAAGGGGCATAATTCTGTCAAAATGCTTGATAGAGTTACCTCCTCCTGTCTACAGGTTGGGGTCATGATGGTGAATAAGTGTGCAAAGTTTCAAAGCCATATGTCAATGGACTTTGAAAATATTTGAACTATTACAAAAACTTTAACGTAAATTCTAAGTCGAAAAAGGGGCATAATTCTGTCAAAATGCTTGATAGAGTTACCTCCTCCTGTCTACAGGTTGGGGTCATGATGGTGAACAAGTGTGCAAAGTTTCAAAACCATATGTCAATGGACTTTGAAAATATTTGAACTATTACAAAAACTTTAACGTAAATTCTAAGTCGAAAAAGGGGCATAATTCTGTCAAAATGCTTGATAGAGTTACCTCCTCCTGTCTACAGGTTGGGGTCATGATGGTGAATAAGTGTGCAAAGTTTCAAAGCCATATGTCAATGGACTTTGAAAATATTTGAACTATTACAAAAACTTTAACATAAGTGGTTACGCCGACGCCGACGCTCGGGTGACTGCAATAGCTCTACTTATTCTTATCGAATAGTCGAGCTAAAAACCATGTAAAATAAAAACATCTTTAAAGATCTACTAGCTTCAAAAATTATAATTCAATTTAGTTTTTATACACATCAATACACTTCATGTCTATTATCTCTATATATGTCTCTGTATTATATTGTTAATTCTTAGTTTTACATCACATTTAATGTGAAATGGTGAATTTATCACTTCTAACATTTCTTCTATGAATTCTCAATAGGCATTCAGTTTGTTTTTCTATTGCTTAAACAATGGTAAAATCTCTCCAGTCATTCCAAAACCAACTTGTACTTCTGCTTGTAGGACCATCATCAGCTGCTACTGCTCCCATTTTGCCTGTGATCCACCAAAACACTTTTTCTATTGCACAATTTCTTGTTTAACAAGTCACATATTTGCAATGTTGCTGTTAGACAAATGCACTGTTTAGTGCTGGTATACAAAAAATCTTATGTTTTATATCCTCAAACATGTCACCAGTTTCTCAAAAAGTTCTCTATTTCTTTCTATATAAAAAGTACATAATAGGTCATATACATGTAGTACATGGTATACTTTTGAGATATAACCGCCCCCTAGTGCGAGGCAACAGTGAAATACCACTACTTTAATTGTTTCTTTACTTATAACAAGAGCTGTCGGTAGGACAGCAACGCTCAACTATTCTTAGTGCTTGATAGTAAAAAAAATGCTTGATACAATTACCTCCTCCTCTTTACAGGTTGGGGTAATGATGGTGAACAAGTGTGCAAAGTTTCAAAGCCATAATATGTCAATGGACTTTGAAAATATTTGAACTATTACAAAAACTTTAACGTAAATTCTAAGTCGAAAAAGGGGCATAATTCTGTCAAAATGCTTGATACAGTTACCTCCTCCTGTTTACAGGTTGGGATAATGATGGTGAACAAGTGTGCAAAGTTTCAAAGCCATATGTCAATGGACTTTGAAAATATTTGAACTATTACAAAAACTTTAACGTAAATTCTAAGTCGAAAAAGGGGCATTATTCTGTCAAAATGCTTGATACAGTTACCTCCTCCTGTTTACAGGTTGGGGTAATGATGGTGAACAAGTGTGCAAAGTTTCAAAGCCATATGTCAATGGACTTTGAAAATATTTGAACTATTACAAAAACTTTAACGTGAATTCTAAGTAAAAAAAGGGGCATAATTCTGTCAAAATGCTTGATATAGTTACCTCCTCCTGTTTACAGGTTTGGGTAATGATGGTGAACAAGTGTGCAAAGTTTCAAAGCCATAATATGTCAATGGACTTTGAAAATATTTGAACTATTACAAAAACTTAAATGTAAATTCTAAGTCCAAAAAGGGGCATAATTCTTTCAAAGCCATATGTCAATGGACTTTGAAAATATTTGAACTATTACAAAAACTTTAACATAAGTGGTTACGCCGACGCAGACGCCGACGCTCGGGTGACTACAATAGCTCTACTTATTCTTATCGAATAGTCGAGCTAATAATAAATGACATTGATACATTCTTATCAAACTGGGTTATATGATTAAATTTGCTCATTTATATGATTTTAAAGTAAGCAACTATAGGATTCAAGTGTATTGAAGCATGCAATAATACATGTTTGAACATAAATTTAGTATTAACTACCATTCATTTAGCAATTAATGATAATTTTCATAATATGTTGATGTGATGTAAAATAAATATTTTCTAGGGTTAGGTTTTACATCACATCAACACAGCAGAAGTTAAGGCGACTGTGATGACTGACACTTAGTACACACCCAAGAGGTGGAGCTATTTAGATAGTTGTTTTAATATGTTATGTATATCATGTATTTTATAGAGAGTTACAGTGTATGTATGAATGTAAAACAATAAAGCTGTATTATAAACTAAGGTGTTGATTTTAATAATCCTCAAATAAACAGAATGTTAATACAGCGACTTTCCAGTTTACTGGATGAGGAAGACCTCTGAGTAAGGATCCCCTATTATACATGTAAATTGTATGTGTATTATTTCTGGCATAAGCAGGCATCTCAGTAGAACCACGTTCTGTAAGCTTGCTAGATAGATTCCTTACATGAAAGGATGTAAAGTTATAAATGACACATTACTGAGATACACATTCAAACCAAGATTTATAAAAAATATGGCACATTAATTTACTTTAGAAAATGCCTATTCTAAAGTTACAAAGGACCATTACTCAAAAATCATAAACAGATTTTGATAGTATAAGACAAGAATTATTTCCTTTCCATTTGATACATTCATTCTACGTTTTATTACAATTCAATCAACCACTTTTAAAATTTGACACAAAATGGTAATTTTTCCTAAATAAATGCCCTTTTTATCAGTAGGGCCTAATTAAGTGTCATAACTCAATGAATGCACATTGAATGCACATTCTACCATATCTGCCGAAATAACCTTATTCTTACATACATTTATACATGTACCAAGTTATTACAACAGGGTTTTCCCTAGAAATTTCTGAAAGGGGGTCAATGGAACCATATGTTTAAGATTCTGAGAGTCCATTTTGTAGTTTTAAAGAGGTTCTCAAATAGATACCTACTTTTCGCAAGTTAAAAAAAAATCAATTTAATTTTAAATTAATCAAACTTTTTGTGCTAGGCTTCTATTTTAAGGACAGACATCTTTATTTGTATGTACATAAACTGTATAGAGCTTTTAAAATGGGTATCTTTAGCAAATCTTGCTGTGCTGCCTTTGGGTGCATTGACCATGGAAATGTTGCACACTATATGTGGTTTCCACACAGGTGAGGCAGATGATGGTTAGGCAAGCTGTAACTAAACAATAATTCAGCTCAGGAAGGCAATGGATAGAATATGTATCAGGCTTTCTTCAACATGTGAACTGCACAACCTTACACTTGGATAGACTCCATCCGATAGTTCCTTTCCCACTACCTTAATTTCTCAAGGTTGCTCTGTAGAATGGCTCTATCCTCTTCTGACCTGATTCTCCAGTACAGTAAGGAGTCTTCAGCAAACTGGGGCAAGCTATAAATGACCTGCCTAGGCACCATGTCATTGATGTACATGAGGAAGAGCAAGGGACTGAGCACACTTTCCTGCGGAACTCCAAATGACATCAGCTTACTCTGTGGTGTGGCTCTCAACAAGAACTTTGTGGAATCTATTGCTGATGTTGTTTTCTAGTCTCTGTCAAGCTGTATGCAACTTGTGTAATAGGCATCCATTTGGGACCTTATTATTAATGCTTTGCTGAAGTCCAGCAGATAAAGCACAGATCTGTTCAAGTGGGGCAGCCATTTCTTGTTACTTATGATCAGCTGAGTCTCACAAGAGTGACATTTTCAAAAGTCATATCATAAATCTGATAAAAGATGGTGGTAGTCTAGTTGTTACATAACCTGACTATGGGTGATATCTTGAGTTTTATTGATTTGCAGCAGACAGAAGTGAGATAGAAGTGAGGTTGGTCTCAACAAATACGTGTAAGTTTCTCTATATTGCTGATCAGCAATGCCGATTATACATTTACACATTAGGCGACAGATATAATATTTAGCTCCAGGATTAGGACTTAAAATATTCATGATGTTGCTTTGAGACATTTTTACTTCTTGGCAAAATAAAAAATATCATAACTTTCATAAACTATAACAATCCTGTAACATCTAATGTATTGGACTTCATATGCATATACGTCAAATATTTTGGACTATGAATTGAATGTGAATTCAAGTACTTATATATTTTTCCCAAAGGTAGAGGCTGAGGTTTATGCTATTATAAATAAATGCAAAAAGTAGAATATAGCATAATTTTCTGTGTGTATATAATTTTCACACATTACTTATGACGTCTATAAAGTGAGAGGTATTCACTGCTCAATATTAAAAATTCATTTAAAATTAATTTTCTATTATGATTTTGATAATTATGCATAAATAATTTACCATTCAATGAGAACATTTATTTATCCGAAAATATCATGTATCCGGATATTATTCACTTTAAAATACAAATTTTTTTAAGAATATCAGTTACCATGGAATACCAGTCCGTGAATATGAATCTACGGTCTCTCGAAAAGGCCTACCATTCACAGATCCTCCAGGCATTTTCTTAAACTGCTAGTTTATCTTCTTGAAATTTGTGTTTCTTTAGGACTTATTTGTTTAGTAATATTTGTATTGTAACACCGGTTATTCCCAAAATGGCGACTGAATTGTTTGGGTAAGTTTCGGTTTGACTTTTCCACCGATGTTACTGAATTGTTGCAAAAACACTCTTTGATTAATGTATAGAAGTAAATTATAATTTTATTCTGTCTATTTCAGGAAAGCAAATGATGAATTTATCAACGAAAATTATCAGAAAGCACTAGAGGTAAATTTCCGAATTCCAGTTTCGACTTTCGTTCTTGTTCCAGCAAGTTCCATGTGCTAAATTTATAGCTTCATTTAAGTTATTTTATGAAGAAGTTAATTTTTGGTTTAAATTATATACACATTCTCACACATTGAAAGAGTATGCATCCATGTATCATTCAGTTCCTGCCTGTCAATGAGGCATGCTTGTTATGTACATTACACTTTCACCAGTTCACAAGAAGTATTCAATAATCAAAATAATTATGATAATGTGCCTGTCACAGGGTTAGTGGGACTCGAACACAGAATACCATTCCAAGGCTCAACCTACTGAGCTATTCGGCCAGTCAGTGTTTTTCTTTTTTACCAAAATATTCGGCCCTTTTTTTCTATCTAAGCATCATATGATGTCAATTGCACTTGATTGGTATTTTATGTCCATGTATAGTGGAACCCCATTGTATCGTGCTATTCATTGTATGGATCTACTTACAAGTCTTTCGAATTTTTTTTTGCAAAATGCACTAGCTACTGATTGTTTACATTTACAACAGTGTCACGAAAATCTTTCGCATTTGTTTTGTGCCGTAGATATGACCGTCAGACTTTGTAGATAATAAATAGACTGATAAATAGTGTGTTCTTATTAAAAGTACATTAACTGTCTGTTAAAAGTTCCTTAATTTATGCTGACGTTAATGATTTTAAAACAGACATCTTTGATTCTAATTGACTGACAAATCTAGCATAAAGATGGCCCAGGCTTTCCAGTCTTTGACTAACTGAGCGATTCTCACAATGCATCGATATAAAGGCGTGAACCTGTTTGACATGTCTGTAATTATCAGTATATTCCAAATTTAAAAACTATATATCAGTGATATTTGCCATGTAAATATTATGACAAAAGAATCAAAACAAATGATACAAAATAAAGATTCAGGGAGATTTAAATTTTTTAACCACAGTTGTGATTTATTGGTAAATAGATTGATACAACGGGGTTCCAGGCTATAAGTTGGCTTACATTGTAATTTATTTAATATTTACATTCAATACTTGACTTGTTGTAGTAATTGGAATATTTTATTATGAATATACATACATGCCATATTTCCAGCCACCCAGATAGGGGGATTTGGCTTTAAAAAGCAGGGGATTTGGACCAAAAGTGGGGGATTTTTAAGTAAGCACAAACCAGTCGTAATCTTAAAACGATGCAATGATATAATTAAATTTCCCCCATTTTATTGTGTCGCCTCTACGGAGTAGTGGCGACACATAGGGATCACTTCTCCGTCGTCTGTCTGTCCTTCTGTCTGTCCGTCCGTCACAAAACTTGTCCGGACTACCCCTCATAAACTACTGGTGCAATTTCATCCAAACTTTACAGGAATGATCAGTATCAAGTCTAGTTGTGCATATTGTCAGCATTTTCCGGTTCAATGATTTTTGTCAGAGTTATGGCCCTTTAATAATTTTTAATTTTAAAGTTTGTCCGGACTTCTTCTCTTATACTACTAATGCAATTTCAATGAAACTTTACAGGATTGATCTGTAGCTCAAGTCCTTGCGCATATTGCAAGGGTTTTCCGGTTGAATGATTTTTGGCCGAGTTATGGCCCTTTGATAAAAAGGTGTTTTTTTCTGTGTGTTGCCAGATACACAATAGCTTGTCCGGACTACTCCTCATAAACTACTGGTGCAATTTCATCCAAACTTTACAGGAATGATCAGTACCAAGTCTAGTTGTGCATATTGTCAGCATTTTCCGGTTCAATGATTTTTGTCAGAGTTATGGCCCTTTAATAATTTTTATTTTTAAAGTTTGTCCGGACTAGTTCTCTTATACCACTTATGCAATTTCAGTGAAACTTTACAGGTTTGATCTGTAGCTCAAGTCCTTGCGCATATTGCACGGGTTTCCCGGTTGAATGATTTTTGACTGAGTTATGGCCCTTCGATAAAAAGGTGTTTTTTTCTATGTGTAATGCCAGATATGCAAAAGCTTGTCCGGACTACTCCTCATAAGCTACTGGTGCAATTTTATCCAAACTTTACATGATCGATCAGTACCAAGTCTAGTTGTGCACTGTCCGTCTGTCTGTCCGTCTGTCACAAAATTTGTCCCAACATGAAATTGGCCATTATGAGGCGACACATGTGAATGATGTGATTACTGATCGCTCTTGTTATTAAAATGAACATTTCTACAAGATCATTTGATATTTTCAAGTTTAAACATACATGACTGTGAAGGAATAATATGTAAACAATTGCAAATAAACATAGGTACTTTAAATATTTGATGTAAATAAAATAAGAATCCCTGTAAAACAAATATAATTAATTGAATGTATATCATATAAGATACATTTTTAGCTCGACTATACGAAGTATATGGAGAGCTGTCCTACTCGCCCCGGCGTCGGCGTCCGTGTCCAGATTTTAGATTAAAGTTTTGGTGCAGTAAAATATTTTTCACTATAACTTTGTCATTTCTTAAGGTATCAACTTCAAACTTCAAATATATGTTCCTTATCATCAACCACATCTTATGTGACAAGGTTCATAACTCTAGCACCAATATTTTCAGATTTATCTCCCCTTGAACTTAGAATTTTCCTTAAAAAATACTATTTTTTACTGTTACTTCTTTATTTCTTAAGGGATCAACCTCATACTTCAAATGTATGTACCTTATCATCATCCCCATCTTATGTGACAAGGTTCATAACTCTAGCACCAATATTTTAAGATTTATCTCCCCTTGAACTTAGAATTTTCCTTAAAAAATGTTATTTCTTACTGTTTCTTCTTTATTTCTTAAGGGATCAACCTCATACTTCAAATATATTTACGTTATCATCCTCCCCATCTTATGTGGCAAGGTTCATAACTCTAGCACCAATATTTTCAGATTTATCTCCCTTTGAACTTAGAATTTTCCTTAAAAAATGTTATTTCTTACTGTTTCTTCTTTATTTCTTAAGGGATCAACCTCATACTTCAAATATATTTACGTTATCATCCTCCCCATCTTATGTGGCAAGGTTCATAACTCTAGCACCAATATTTTCAGATTTATCTCCCTTTGAACTTAGAATTTTCCATAAAAAATATTATTTTTTTTACTGTTACTTATTTATTTCTAAAGGGATCAACTTCATACTTCAAATATATTTACGTTATCATCATCCACATCTTATGTGACAAGGTTCATAACTCTAGCACCAATATTGCAAGAATTATCTCCCCATAAACTTAGATTTTTTTACTAGAAAAATGTTATTTTTTATTATAACTTTTTTATTTTTAAAGGTATCTACCTCAAACTTCAAATACTTATTCCTAATCATCAAATACATTTTATGTGACAATGTTCATAACTCTTGAAGCAATATTTACAGATTTATCTCTCTTTGAACTTAGGATTTTCTTTAAGAAATATAATAACTTCTTTACTTTTTAAGGTATCTACTACAAACTTCAAATATATATTTCTTATCATTACACAAATGTTGTGTGACAAGGTCCATAACTCTAGCATGACTAGAATTATTCCTCTTGATCTTGGAATTAATGTAATCAAATGTTATTTTTTTACTATAACTTAATACATAATTATACATAATTGATTTTTCTTTCATAGTTTTGTCCTCCTTACTGCGTCCAGTATTTTATTAGTCGAGCTTCGCTGTCTCCTGTGACAGCTCTTGTTATATCAGATATATTGAATCATTTTAGTACAAATAAACTTTAAAATAAATATACTTTAACAGCCAAAGTTTTTTCTCTTTAAATGAAAGGTAAAGAATTTTCTCTTGAAATGAAAGGTATCAACATTTTCACGGAGAATTTTTGTAGCCATAGAAAGGTGAAATAAAAAAAATGCTGCCTTAAAAATTTTCCGTTGACACTTCATAAACAGTAAAAAAAATCTGACACAAATTTTAATCCAGTTTACTCAGGTCATTATGTACTTAACACCTCAATTTGTTAACACACATCGATTGCCCATGCTTACCATATATGGTAGTAGGGAGTCTAGACACTACGTCACTTGATACCTGTATGTACATGTAAACTGTGTAATTGATAAAGGGTTGTGTAAAGGTTGTTTGGAGTGTACTGACTACTGGATAATAATTGGACTTAATTATTTTGGCCCTTTGGGTGTTAAAACAGGTATTATTTATTATTTATCTGATTGAAACGGATTTTTGCCTCTTTTAATCCCTCATCAGTGTTTGTTGGTTACCGTGAGACAAAGCTACTGTAGTTTATATTATTTTTGTAACAACATAGATCACAGTTACATAATAAGAAATGCATAATATAAAATATAATAGTTTCAAACATTGCTAATCTGTGATTCTTTGAGTTTCTATTGCCTGATCATTATTTTTTTATCTGCACTTAGACCCAATGCCGACAACAAACTCAAGGCGGGGTTACATGTCCCAACAAAAATTGATACGTCACACATTCAGCATCGGACGCTGTCATTGGTTAAGCACCTGCAATACTGACACTGATTGACAGGTTTATCAAAGGAGAATTGTCATACATAGATTTGTTGAAGTGTGTCGGAGTAACTAACAATACATCCGTTAGACCCGTGCTGTTTAATGGGGAATCCAGGCATATATAGTTGTAAAAGTTGTTTAAGTCTATTGTTTAATAATGTTTATTGGTAAAAATGATGCTTTAATTTTTTTGTTGGTTGAATTTTTGAAAATCGGGGGATTTCGATCCCAAGGCGAGGTCGAAAATCGGGGGCTTTTGTCCCCCGGCGGTGGATATGGCATGTATGGAATATATCACAACAAATCATCAATAAGTGTAAATTTCAATTCATTATTATGCCCCCACTTCGAAGAAGAGGGGGTATATTGCTTTGCACTTGTCGGTCCGTCGGTCCGTAGACCAAATGGTTTCCGAGTGATAACTAAAGAACCCTTAGGCCTAGGAACTTCAAACTTGGTATGGTGATTGGTCATGATCAGTAGATGACCCCTATTGATTTTGGGGTCAAGGGGTCAAAGGTCAAGGTCACATTGACCTTGTAAGCAAAAACGGTTTCCGATCAATAACTAAAGAACCCTTAGGCCTAGGAACTTCAATCTTGGTATGGTGTTTGGTCATGATCAGTAGATGACCCCTATTGATTTTGGGGTCAAGGGGTCAAAGGTCAAGGTCACGTTGACCTTGTAAGCAAAAACGGTTTCCGATCAATAACTAAAGAACCCTTAGGCCTAGGAACTTCAAACTTGGTATGGTGATTGGTCATGATCAGTAGATGACCCCTATTGATTTTGGGGTCAAGGGGTCAAAGGTCAAGGTCACATTGACCTTGTAAGCAAAAACGGTTTCCGATCAATAACTAAAGAACCCTTAGGCCTAGGAACTTCAAACTTGGTATGGTGATTGGTCATGATCAGTAGATGACCCCTATTGATTTTGGGGTCAAGGGGTCAAAGGTCAAGGTCACATTGACCTTGTAAGCAAAAATGGTTTCCGATCAATAACTAAAGAACCCTTAGGCCTAGGAACTTCAAACTTGGTATGGTGATTGGTCATGATCAGTAGATGACCCCTATTGATTTTGGGGTCAAGGGGTCAAAGGTCAAGGTCATATTGACCTTGTAAGCAAAAATGGTTTCCGATCAATAACTAAAGAACCCTTAGGCCTAGGAACTTCAAACTTGGTATGGTGATTGGTCATGATCAGTAGATGACCCCTATTGATTTTGGGGTCAAGGGGTCAAAGGTCAAGGTCACATTGACCTTGTAAGCAAAAACGGTTTCCGATCAATAACTATAGAATCCTTAGGCCTAGGAACTTCAAACTTGGTAAGGTGATTGGTCATGATCAGCAGATGACCCCTATTGATTTTAGGGTCAAAGGTCAAGGTCACAAGGTCACATTGACCTTGTAAGCATAAACGGTTTCCGATCAATAACTAAAGAACACTTAGGCCTAGGAACTTCAAACTTGGTATGGTGATTGGTCATGATCAGTAGATGACCCCTATTTATTTTGGGGTCAAGGGGTCAAAGGTGAAGGTCACATTGACCTTGTAAGCAAAAATAGTTTCCTATCAATAACTAAAGAACCCTTAGGCCTAGGGCTGGATCAATATACCGGTAAATCGGTATTTATTGATTTTCCGTTTTTAATACGGTACGGTTATCGGGTTTTAGCTATACCGATACAAAGGGAGACAACCTAATAAACATGATGGCTTTACATTAAAACTATCGTCCATAAAATGTCCGCACAAAAGTCAAAAGTGTGGAATTTTCTCTAAAGTAAATGTTAAGAAGGCCCTCATCAATATTTGAAAGGCTGCATTGATTAGTTCAGGTGGAACAACGAATATGTCAAAACACAAAATGACGGATAAATCAGTGTCAAAATTTATCCGGCTATTCAATCTCCTATTTCTAACACTGGTAAAAACTACTTTCAGGTCGGCAGTAGTTTGTATAAGACCAAACATTTACTTGTAATTTTTTAAACACATATTGTGAACACATAAATCCAACAAATTTATTGATTTTCCAAGATGTAGTTTGCTAACTAAATAAATGTGACTGCGCGAAGATGTAGCTAAACACCGTTTCCCGTTACGTTACGGATTACGACACCACAACATCATGACATGATATTTATATTTTTATTGTAATTTTACCGTTTAAGATAGAAAAAACATGATTTGTTAGAAAATTTTCAATGTTCCAATACTTTCTCAGCATATATATTTCAAATTCTACAAAAATTTGATTTTATTATAAAGATCTTATAATTTAGAACAGTTGACTTGTAGACAGTACTAGACTCCTGTCATAATAAATAGTGATGTTTTAATTATTTTCTGCGTTAACTTTTCCTAGTATTTACATAATTATATTTTTGAATTGAATTATTTCTCTACAAAGCTTTTTAATTTTTTTTTTCAAAATAATTGTTTTATCTAAAAAAGGGACCATCATGTCATTTTCAAAATATTACCTCAAATGTACTAATTAAGATACCTATGCACCTGCTCTGTATTATATATCATCATTAACAAAGTCAAAATCTCAAACAGATATAAGAAAGATTCAATAATATTTCACCAGGGCATCTATGAAATGTAAATAGTACTTTTAATAAGTACATCCTAACAATGAAGCATCATTGTACTGTATCGTCAATACGTATTGTGTATCGTTGGTCTGTATCGCAATGCGTATCGTATCGGAAATTTCTGATCAATACCCAGCCCTACTTAGGCCTAGGAACTTCAAACTTGGTATGATGATTGGTCATGATCAGTAGATGACCCCTATTGATTTTGGGGTTAAGGGGTCAAAGGTCAAGGTCACATTGACCTTGTAAGCAAAAACGGTTTCCGATCAATAACTAAAGAACCCTTCGGCCTAGGAACTTCAAACTTGGTATGGTGATTGGTCATGATCAGCAGATGACCCCTATTGATTTTGGGGTCAAAGGTCAAGGTCACATTGACCTTGTAAGCAAAAACGGTTTCCAATCAATAACTAAAGAACCCTTAGGCCTAGGAACTTCAAACTTTGTATGGTGATTGGTCATGATCAGCAGATGACCCCTATTGATTTTGGGGTCAAGGGGTTAAAGGTCAAGGTTACATTGACCTTGTAAGCAAAAACAGTTTCCGATCAATAACTAAAGAACCCTTAGGCCTAGGAACTTCAAACTTGGTATGGTGATTGGCCATGATCAGCAGATGACCCCTATTGATTTTGGGGTCAAGGGGTTAAAGGTCAAGGTCACGGTAAAAACGGTTTCCAATCAATAACTAAAGAACGCTTAGGCCTAGAAACTTCATACTTGGTATGATGATTGGTCATTGCCAGCAGATGACCTATTAATTTTGGGTTCAAGGGGTCAACAACTTGGCTGTCATTAATGAGGCCTACATGATTCATAAAATTTATTCATATTTTATTTGGTAAGATTTGTAATAACTTAAATTGCTGCACACAACCTATAGGGTCACAATAATTATTACCTTGTGACTAGTCATGACCAGTAGATACTAGATAACCCTTATTAATTGTTTGTTCACTGGGTCAGAAGTCAAGCATAATAACCTGATCACATGACTAATTGGCTGCCGACAGGGGGCATACATGTTTTACAAACATATCTTGTTAGTATTATTGTTAACGTATGGTACAAACAAAATGCAGGTGTATGGAATAACTGAATAATATGGGTTTTTTAGTTGCCAATTAACCTCTCTATATATACTCATGACAGAATGGTCATTAGCGGATAGAAGGCTGAGAAGTCTAGAGTGAGCTTAAGAAATAGACTGTTTTAATTACTGAATTAATTGTTCATAAAACACAACGCTTTGCACTTTACTAATGTAACAGTTGTCAATATTAAAAGGAGAGCCAATTGCCTAGTAAAATTTTTTTGCAACATGCCTTCAGAAATTCCTGGCTAGAACCATGTTGCCCATGCCAAAAGAAAAAATAGAGCAAAATAATTCAACTGTTAGTACAATTAGTTGGACTAAACATATTTCTGATTCTAGTATCATGCTTTAATGGAAACAAAGGTTTGTGACAAAAGATGCAGGCCTGTACATTTTCATAAAAATATTCAAGTGAACATAATGCATCTAAGTAGATAATGAATTTTTCAATATTTAAATGTGTTTGTGCATTTTAGTTCATCATATAACACACAAGTACTACATGTATATATCCAATATTTATTGTTACTAATTGAATGTTTGTGTTATATGTTCAGCTATACACAGAGGCACTAGATCTTGAGAAGAACAGAGATGACATTCTTTGCAACAGAGCTCAAGCTCATCTCAAGCTGGAACAGTACAAAGGTAAAAATAATCAATATTTGAATCAGTTAACTGTATAACCTTTTAGCATTTTATCTGTCTGTCATTTATATAAAATGTACCTTTATTAGATTTCAAGAAGTCTTGAGACAACTCGTGTTGATATAGATTTTACAGTGGAAATAAAGAAAGTATTTTAGAATAGTGAAAAACAGAATCCCTAAAGAATGCCCAAAATGACCAAATTTGAAGACCATTTTAGAACACTAAAAATAAAGATTTTAAAGTTTTTTTTAAAGATAAAGACTTTTTTCAAGAACACTATTAGTTTAGCCTTACATTTTTTGTGTGCAAAATCTCACTAGTAATTTCTGTGAAGAAATAAAAACAGTTTTCTATTTCAGAGGCAGCAGAAGATGCTTCTGAAGCCTTGGCACTAAACCCTAAAAATAAAAAAGCTTGGTTTAGAAAAGGGTAAACCTTTTATATATTTTTGCCTTTAAAAGAATTAAGCTTACTTCTTTAGCTGCCCTTTAAAGCACAATTCATTTGCTTATGTCTTCTTACATCTATTTATTGTTTTTTATAGAATATTTGGATAGATTTGAATAATTTGTTTATTGGATTGTTAAATACTTGAATGACTTATCATTTAAAATTTTGACCCTGTTTTATAAATGGTCTTACACATAATTTGTATATAATAGAGATAATTTTGTACTAAACAATCACATTAACCTGCTGAATTTGTGTAATGTGCCAAGCTTTGCATTTGTGTAATGTGCCCTGACTTTGTGTAAAGTGGCCTGAATTTGTGTAAAATGCCCAGCTTTGAATTTGTGTAATGTGCCCTGAATTTGTGTGATGTGCCCTGAATTTGTGTAATGTGCCTGGCTTTGGATTTGTATAATGTGCCCTGAATTTGTATAATGTACCTGGCTTTGAATTTGTATAATGTGCCCTGAATTTGTGTAATGTGCCTGGCTTTGAATTTGTATAATGTGCCCTGAATTTGTGTAATGTGCCTGGCTTTGAATTTGTATAATGTGCCCAGTTTTGAATTTGGGACATGCCCAACTTTGGATTTGGGACAGTCCTTTCAATGTTCGAGGCATTTCAATGCGAAGATACAAAAAAATTGTGTGTATAATATAAAGAAAACAAAATATATCATCTGTATCATGTGATGAAATATGTAATTATAAATTCTGTTTTTAATAATACATGTATATGTAAACGTATTGTAGGATTGCATTGTTCCATCTGGAAGACTACCAGTCCTCAAAAGATGCTTTTACAGAGGGGAAAATTCTTGATGGTAAGGTGTTAATCTTGTATCATGTGTATAGAGAGCATGACAAAATGACATGCTCATTTTTTTCACTGTCAAGCTGAGATAAATTAGCTGTATATTTCAATATATTGACTAATACAAAACAGCATTTCTGTCAAATACCAGCATTGATTTCACCTGAAGACTGATGCAGCGCTAACCTGTATTTAAAATATAGCTACACTACTTATTCAAATGTAACAGTCAACATTACATTTTTTTATTTAATCAATTTAGGGCAGATTTTATCCTAAACATTTGTCATTTTCAATATTGTTCAGTTGCCATTAGACTAGCTTTAACTTTGAAATAAACCTTGGAAAATATTTCACAAAATATTGTGTACATTTTAAAATAAGGCAATTTTGGATAATATTTATAACATAAAATTGTGATACTAAATTTTTGTATTTACAGCTGAAGATAATAATTTCAAGACATGGATCAGAAAATGTGAAGCAGAGCTAGACTGTAAGTTTCTAAGATTATTTTTTTTATTGTAATCATTTTTCAAAACTCATTGTTGTTTTCAAACTGATTACAATTATATTTTTATACTTATATATTTACATTTTGTTAAAGATGACAATACAAATGTTCTGCACTCCTTTTATAGTTATGAATTATATGAATATTGATACATTCTTTTTCTTTAACTTCCTTTAAAAGATAGAAGTCCATGTCTAAATTATCACATCGATTTTACATATGATATACTGAGAATAGTTGAGTGGTCTGTCCTATGTCTGTGTTATAATACTGCATTGGAAAATGATGAATATTATGTGAGCCGCGTCATGACAAAACCAACATAGTGCGTTTGCGACCAGCATAGATCCAGACCAGCCTGCGCATCCACGCAGTCTGATCAGGATCCATGCTGTTTGCTATCAGTTTCTCTACTTGTAATAGGGTTTGTAAGCGAACAGCATGGATCCTGATCAGACTGCACGGATGCACAGGCTGGTCTGGATCCATGCTGGTCGCAAACGCACTATGTTGGTTTTGTCACGATGCGGCTCATATAGTTTTATATACATGGCTAATGTCAATTTTCTAAGAAATCTCATTTTTAAGAAGGTTTGCTGTATTATAAATTTGTTGTTTTAAATATTCCTGACAGGTTATATGACTATATATAAATGGTTGTATGCAATAGTGCCTTCTCCTAGCGGCTCCGTTTATATTTCCAAACAGTTGTTTATATAGGGCGATATAACCTGTCAAAAATCTTTATATTTAATGATATAGACAGCTCTTGTTGATGATTATGTTGGCTTATGGATTTATTCATTATGAGTTGATTGAGAAATATACATATGACATTATCATTTTTTTCAGTACAAGGAAAAAGTAAAGAGGGACAAAGCAATGTTGGCGTTTCTGAAACAAAATCCGAGGTAAAAATATTCTTTAGATATTAAAATGAAATTTGTTATAAATTTTCCGATGTGACCAAAGTAAGTAAGTTTGTTTTGTTTATTATTATTATTATATGTAGAAGTTGCTGGCAGGAAATACCAGAGAATATAGCCTGAATGAGGTAAAATATGACTTGAGGCACAAGCCAAGGATTATGTTTATATCAGCAAGGTTCTATTCTCCTGTATATCCCGATGGCAATTTGTATAATAAAGAATTTTATAATAATACAAATTATTATTGAGGACAAGTTCTAAAAAAAACAATCCCATAACTGTAGACTATTTTCATTGAATATTCGAGATTAAAGGCTTCATTGCCGTATAACTGTTAACAATTATTTTGAAGTAATGATAATTGAATCGAGAAAAGAGCAATGAAATACCTAAACACAAAGATTTTATGCCCACACATAGAAAGCAGTTACTTCATACAACAGACTATTATGTTTGCCTGCTTCAGTTCTTCTCAGTGTATAGGGCATAAATGAATATAGAAAAGAGCAATGGAAAAACTAAATATAATTATAAATTTTATGCCCACACATAAATAGCTGTCTGTGATGTATGTTACTTCCATTCAACATACTGTTATGTTTGTGTGCTTCAGTTCTAAACATTATAATTATACAACATAGTATACAAATAGTTTAAGCCAATCAGAATTCAAGAAATTTATTTGCATTGTTATAAATAAATATATTGGGTTTAAGAACTTTTTTTAGGTACTAATGTTTATACTTTATGACATATTTACACAGGATAAACCAAAACAAGAGTCCGCAGAAAAACCTAAAGTAGAAGAAACCAAACCAGTTGTTCCAATGCCAACTAAAGAGAAATCCAGGTAAGTTGTAAGTAATGGAAAAGCGGATATTTGCCGCCTTGGACAATTGTCCCCCAGGACATTTGCCTACTTTTTTTTTTTGCCCTCTTGTCTGTTTTTGGAGTGACAGACATTTTATTCCAAAGAAATTTTGAAGGGCAGACATTTTATATTAAAAAGTTCCTATGGCAACTTAAAAGAAATCCACATAAGTTGTAAGCATTGTCTTTTCGGACAATTGTCTCCCTGGACATTTGCCCCCATTTCTTGTCAAGATGAACATTTGCCCTCTCCTCAGTTTTTGAAGGTGAACATTTGTCCCCTAAAAATTTAGACATTTTATGTAAAGTTATTGTGTTGTTTGTGTATAAAAAATGCTTCATTAACTTATGAATATAATCTGACATATGAAAATAATTATTATGCCATATTATATGTATGAAAACAGTTTTGTGTATAGAGTTTTATGCAATTTTATGTATAACACAGATATGACTGGTATCAGACACAGACTCATGTTGTTGTCACCATACTCTTGAAGAATGTTAAACAAGAAGATGCTAATATAGATATACAGGAAAAATCTGTAAGTTGTTTGTTTGTTGGAATATATTATAGTATAGATACAGATACTGTAAGAGTAATGGCAAATTAAAAGAAACAACTGTTCTTTTTTATACCCCCACCACAAAATGTGGGGGGGCTATAATGGATTCGCTTTGTCGCGTCCGTCGGTCCGTCCGTCGGTCGGTCCGTCTCCATTTTCGTGTCCGCTCTATAACTCCTATACCAATTGAAGGATTTTCTTCAAACTTGGCTCAAATGTTCACCTCAACAAGGGGATGTGCAGAACCCATATTGCCCATGTGTCAGTTCAAGGTCAAGGTCACAATTGAAGGTCAAATATCAAACACTATCAAATATTACACAGTATGTCGTGTCCGCTCTGTATGTCCTACACTACTTGAAAGATTTTCTTCAAACTTGGCTCAAATGTTCACCTAAACCAGGGGATGTGCAAAACCCATGTCGCCCATGTGTCAGCTCAAGGTCAAGGTCACAATTGAAGCTCAAATATCAAACAATTAAATATTACACAGTATGTCGTGTCCGCTCTGTAAGTCCTACACTACTTGAAAGGTTTTCTTCAAACTTGGCTCAAATGTTCACCTCAACATGGGGATGTGCAGAATCCATGTTGCCCATGTGTCAGCTCAAGGTCAAGGTCACAATTGAAGGTCAAATATCAAACAATCTAATATTACACAATATGTCATGTCCGCTCTGTAAGTCCTACACTAATTGAAAGATTTTCTTCAATCTTGGCTCAAATGTTCATCTCAACCAGGGGATGTGCAGAAGTTATGTCACTCTTTTGCTGGCTTAAGGTCAAGGTCACACTTTAAGGTAAAAAATTGACTTAGAAAATATTCTTAAATTTTAACATTTATTTGAATATTTCTGAATCTAGAAAAGGTATTTGCTTGAAACTTAGAATATTTTTGAAGGGCCACAATTCTGATATGCTGTTCGTTCAAGTTTGTATTGCATTTTACCAAAGTTATGCCCCTTTTTAGCTCACCTGTCACAAAGTGACAGGGTGAGCTTTTGTGATCGCTTTTCGTCCGGCGTCCGTCGTCCGTCCGTCGTCCGTCTGTCCGTCCGTCCGTCCGTCCGTAAACTTTTGCTTTAAATGACATCTCCTCATTAACCACTGAGCCAATTTCATCCAAACTTCACAGGAATGTTCCTTTGGTGGTCACCTTTAAAAATTGTTCAAAGAATTTAATTCCATGCAGAACTCTGGTTGCCATGGCAACCGAAAGAAAAATCTTTAAATATCTTCTTTTAAACAACCCTAAGAGCTAGAGCTTAGATATTTGGCATGAAACATCTTCTAGTGAGTGTCTACCAAGTTTGTTCAAATAAAAGCCCTGGGGTCAAAATTGGCCCCGCCCCAGGGGGTTATTGATTTTCCCTATATGCATATGGTAAAACCTTAAAAAATCTTTTTTTAAAGAACCCAAAGAGCTAGAGCTAAGATATTTGGCATGAAACATCTTCTAGTGAGTGTCTACCAAGTTTGTTCAAATAAAAGCCCTGGGGTTAAAATTGGCCCCGCCCATGGGGGTCATTGATTTTCCCTATATGCATATAGTAAAAACTTAAAAAATCTTCTTTTAAAGAACCGTAAGAGCTAGAGCTTAGATATTAAGCATGAAACATCTTCTAGTGAATGTCTACCAAGTTTGTTCAAATAAAAGCCCTGGGGTCAAAATTGGCCCCGCCCCAGGGGGTCATTGATTTTCCCTATATGCATATAGTAAAAACTTAAAAAATCTTCTTTTAAAGAACCCAAAGAGCTAGAGCTAAGATATTAAGCAAGAAACTTCTTCTAGTGAGTCTCTACCAAGTTTGTTCAAATTAAAGCCCTGTGGTCAAAATTGGCACCACCCCGGGGGGTCATTGATTTTCCCTATATGCATATAGTAAAAACTTAAAAAATCTTCCTTTAAAGAACCATAATAGCTAGAGCTTAGATATTTGGCATGAAACATCTTCTGGTGGATGTCTACCAAGTTTGTTCAAATAAAAGCCCTGGGGTCAAAACTGGCCCCGCCCCAGGGGGTCATAGATTTTCCCTATATGCATATAGTAAAAACTTAAAAAATCTTCTTTTAAAGAACTCAAAGAGCTAGAGCTAAGATATTTAGCATGAAACATGTTCTAATGGGTGTCTACCAAGTATGTTCAAATAAAAGCCCTGGGGTCAAAACTGGCCCCGCCCGGGGGGGGGGATCATTGATTTTCCTTATATGTGTATAGCAAAAACTTAAAAATCTTCTATGAAAAAACCCAAATAGCTAGAGTTTAGATATTAAGCATGAAACATCTTTAAGTAAATATCTACAAAGTTTGTTCAAATAAAAGCCCGGGGGTCAAAACTGGCCCTGCCCCAGGGTGTCATTGTTTTTAACTATATGTGTATAGTAAAAATTTTATAAAAATCTTCTTTTAAAAAACCCAATGAGCTAGAACTTAAATGTTTAGCATGAAACATCCTCTTATGGGTGTCTACCAAGTCTGTTCAAATAAACAAATAAAAGCCCTTGGGTAAAAATTGGCCCAGGGGTGGGGGGGCCTATATACAGGTGAGCGACCTCAGGGCCATCATGGCCCTCTTGTTAAGTCTTCAAATTTACATACAATCAAATATCAGACAATATGTTGTGTCCGCTCTATAAATCCTATACTAATGGAAGAATTTTCTTCAAACTTTACTCAAATTTTCACCTCAACAAGGTTATGTGCAGAATCCATGTCACCTTTGTGCCGGCTAAAGGTCAAGGTCACACTTGAAAGACAAAAATTGACTTAGAAAATGTTCTTAAATTTTTACATGTACTTGAATAATTCTGAAACTAGCACAGGCATTTGCTTGAAACTTAAAAGATATATGAGATGTGGCAAATAGGATATGCAGGTTAAGTTTCATTACTCTATATTGCATTTTGACAAAGTTATGCCCCTTTTTAAGTCTTCAAATTTACATACAACCAATACTAGACAATATATTGTGTCTACTCTATAAATTCTATACTAATGGAAGGATTTTCTTCAAACTTTACTCAAATGTTCAACCAAACTGGGTGATGTGCAAAACCCATTTTACCCTTGTGCCAGATTAAGGTCAAGGCCACACTTGAAGGTCAAAAATTGACTTATAAATAAAATGTTTTATACATTGGGAAAATGAAAGGTTATTTGTAAGTGTTTTGAACATGATTTGATAATATATATTTATACTATTACCTGTACAATTAGTCTTTTTTTCACCAGAGATAATTTCTTTTCATGTATTTGTGCCACATAAGTTATTCCCTTAACCACCTTTCCAAGTGGTCTTCTGTCAAGGACATTGGTGGGGGTATGAATCGCATTCAGCGATAGTTCTAGTTTGTTATGTTTGCAATTAATTTGTGTCTGAAATAATGCACTTGAGATCTTCCTCCACCATTAAGCTGGAAAGTCGCCATATTACCTATACTGTGTTGGTACAATGTAAAACCCAACCAAAAAAAAATGTTTTGCAATTCAAATTTTTTGTGGGAGAGCAGTTATTGTTAATGAACTAAGTCCCAACAATTGCCTATAGTAATTATTAAGTCTTTAGTTCAATAATACTGATTTTCAATAATCGGTTTCTTCAATCTGCCAAATGCCATAAATTCATTACATGTATTAGGATTTAATTTACAAGCTTTCATATTTTACTAGTTTGCAAAATGCCAGACACATATTGCGTCCAAGAAAAGCTTAGGTCAGACATATAATAAAGCATTAAATTTCTTGTCTCAATCAAATCTTGTTAATAAAGCTGTCATGAAAGATGTAAAATAAGTCTTGATGTAATATCTATGATGTTGTGTATATATTTCAGCTAAGTGCCACTATAAAACAAGAATGTGGATCAGACTACAGCCTTGAACTGGACTTGTCACATGCTGTAGTTCCTGCACAATCTGTTGTAAAAGTATTAAAATCCAAGGTAAGACATTTATTTTTAAATCTCCAGGCCTTTAATAGCATATTTTCTCAAGAAAAAAAATAAGCAGGAAAAAGTACATTTAAATTTCAATTAGAGGAAGGCTGCTTTCCGCAAGTTAATAAGACTACTTTCGGATTTAAAAATATTTGGGTTTTTCCTAGCTTATTCAGGTACAAACAAACTCTTGCAGTTACAACTTTGAAAATAAGTGAAACAGGTCGACTTGTCTATTGTGATGGGTAGTGCACTGTGAAGCTATAACGGTAAAAGTAAGTTTGTACCTACAGATAACCTGGGAAAACCCACATTTGCCGAGTTCTGGATAACGTCTATCTTAGACTTTTAAATAAAAAAAAAAAAAAAAAAAACCCTGGTAAAGGCCTTGCCATGTAGGAACAGTCAGACTGCACTGCATGCTGGACATAATCCACAGTGTTTTGACACTTAAATAAACCCACCAACTCCTCACAGCAGTGTGCGGACTGATGGAATCATTTTCCCCGCAATGCACTGTGGGTATTAGGAAGATTGGCTGAGGCATCAACATCTCAAAATATCTACATAGGTAATGAGTAATAGATGATAACTTTTTATGCCCCCACAGAGTGGGAGCATATAGCGTTGCACTTGTCCGTCCGAGTGTCCGTCCGTCCGTCCGTCTGTCCGTCCGTCTGTACGTCTGTCCGTACGTCCCAAAATCTTGTGAACGCAACTCCTCTTAAACCGGATGGCAGATTTTGCTTAAACTTCCAGGGATGAACAACCTTAATGTGTAGATGGTAGTAAAGGAAGGAATTTTTGCTGCGACCAAATTTAACAGAATTATGGCCCTTTGTTGATTTTTTCACTATATACTGTGTAGAAATTTTGTGAACGCAACTCCTCTTAAACCGGATGGCAGATTTTGCTTAAACTTCCAGGGATGAACAACCTTAATGTGTAGATGGTAGTAAAGGAAGGAATTTTTGCTGCGACCAAATTTAACAGAATTATGGCCCTTTGTTGATTTTTTCACTATATACTGTGTAGAAATTTTGTGAACGCAACTCCTCTTAAACCGGATGGCAGATTTTGCTTAAACTTCCAGGGATGAACAACCTTAATGTGTAGATGGTAGTAAAGGAAGGAATTTTTGCTGCGACCAAATTTAACAGAATTATGGCCCTTTGTTGATTTTTTCACTATATACTATGTAGAAATTTTGTGAACGCAACTCCTCTTAAACAGGATGGCAGATTTTGCTTAAACTTCCAGGGATGAACAACCTTAATGTGTAGATGGTAGTAAAGGAAGGAATTTTTGCTGCGACCAAATTTAACAGAATTATGGCCCTTTGTTGATTTTTTCACTATATACTATGTAGAAATTTTGTGAACGCAACTCCTCTTAAACTGGATGGCAGATTTTGCTTAAACTTCCAGGGATGAACAACCTTAATGTGTAGATGGTAGTAAAGGAAGGAATTTTTGCTGCAACCAAATTTAACAGAATTATGGCCCTTTGTTGATTTTTTCACTATATACTATGTAGAAATTTTGTTAACGCAACTCCTCTTAAACTGGATGGCAGATTTTGCTTAAACTTCCAGGGATGAACAACCTTAATGTGTAGATGGTAGTAAAGGAAGGAATGTTTGCTGCGACCAAATTTAACAGAATTATGGCCCTTTGTTGATTTTTTCACTATATACTATGTAGAAATTTTGTGAACGCAACTCCTCTTAAACTGAATGGCAGATTTTGCTTAAACTTCCAGGGATGAACAACCTTAATGTGTAGATGGTAGTAAAGGAAGGAATTTTTGCTGTGACCAAATTTAACAGAATAATGGCCCTTTGTTGATTTTTAGTTTTCAACTTGTGGCACATGTAGTCCAAAAAATATTTGACCTAGAGTCATAAGATTGACAGAACAGTGGCGTGTGGGGGCATCCGTGTCCTATGGACACATTTCTAGTTTAGTTTCAATTTGAATCCTGTTTGCCAGTCCATATATTCTTTCTTTCAGATTGAAGTTAAATTAAAAAAGAAGGAAGGTCACCAGTGGCATAAACTTGAAGGAGATGAGAGCAATCTTAAACAAATACTAGCTGAAGAATCTGGTGGGTAGAACCTATCATTTTGTTTGTTATATGGAAAGTTTACCATAGAATTTTCAAAAGGAAAATAATGAATACTGAAATTTTGATTGAAATCACCTTCCAGTATTGAAAACACCTATCTAACAATAAGCATGAACATTTTTGGATACGCACTTATTTGGATGTGAAAATTATCTGTAGATGCAAATGTTATACCAAATTGTCTGATTTTGTACTTAGCTCAAAAGTTGCTCTTAAACACTTTCAAAGCTTATTTTGTACAATGATCTGTCTATTCTTTCAATTTTGAGCTTTTTCATTCATTATTTTAAGAGTTCTGGATTTTTCCATACAAAGATTTGAATGAGATTTCCTGGTCATAACTAAGTCCAGCAGTTTTAGACAGTACTTTCATTTTAATTTTATCTTGCAGTATATTGCTAATAGACTCTGTAAGGAATTCTGTTTTGTATCAGAAATGATTCCTGACCTAGAGTGATTAATCCTTGTCACCAGTATAGACCCAGCTGGCTTTTCACATACATGTGAACACTCCCACTTTTAGCTGGAGCCTCCCACTTTCTGCAGCCATATTTTTCAAAGATTTTTCTTAAAATAAGGGGTATTTTCACAAAAAGAAATCTTACTATTTTTGATGTCAGAACTTCCTTCTTTGATTATTGCAAATTCTAAAATCTCCCTCTTTTTGAAGTAAAATCTCCCACTTGATCATCAAAAAAAGTTCACATGTACGTTTTTACCGTCATGCAGTCCAGGTTGTATAGAATTGTTACCTGTTTTAATATTGAAATCCCTTAAACTCTGAATGGGAAGTCCCAAATTCAAAGATAGTCAAGTCCATTACTAAAATGCAGCAGGTTAAAGTTGTATATTTGTTTTACAGAGCATGTGAAGGAATATCCGTCATCAAGTCACTATACTAGGAACTGGGACAAACTCGCGAAGGATGTCGAGAAGGAAGAGGAGAATGAGAAAAAAGAGGGCGATGCTGCGCTTAATGAACTCTTCCAAAAAATATATGCCGATGGGACAGATGAAACCAAAAAAGCCATGGCAAAATCATTCGTAAGTCTTTAAAGAAACAAGTTGCATCATGTCATAGAAACTCCTTAGTCTAAAATCAGTCTTAAGACCAATACTGAGACAAGACAATGTCCTAATTTATGTCTCCTTATGTTAAGACTCCTTCAAATTTGGATAAACATCAACACACTGGTGATTAAAGTGCATATCATTGTGTTTCTGATCTTTTTTCACAAGAATAAAGTTAATTGAATTCTAAGTCTTTGACTAAAGATAAAATTATTTATTAACCGTCTAAAGACAGTCTTCAAGTTGATCGCAAGTCCTTGGACTTAGGACAGAATATATGTTTAAGGTAGAACGCAACACTTTGCAGACTTTTGAGTAGGGTCTTGAAAATTGGCATGTAAAACGTTGACCATATTTCTGATAAAATTCTGTTGATTTTATTCAAATAGTTTCATCCAATTTTTGTACACATGATGTCGAAGTTGACTATCAAAGCCCGTTTTTGAACATGACATCATTGCGTATTCTTGGCAACTGAGTACCACAACGCTATAGGTGGACAAAACATCTTAAATTCTACAGCATTCGACGGAAATTATTTTTTCCTTTAAGCTGATATGAAATTTATCGTTTACGCCAAAGAATTTTGAAAAAATGAAAAAAATTGTCAATTGCTGTAAATCAAATTGTTAAATTTAGGTCACTAGTTATACAATAACAAATGCAATTATACAGAAAAATACAGGACTTCTGATTTTCTGTATGAGCATACATATAGTCGTTGAATATACATGTACATTTGTAAGGTACTGTAAAGTAAAGAGTTTTGAGAATGGATGAGGTTAACAAGATCTTAAAGAATTCATAACTATGTTTTTTATAGATGCCATAAGAGTCATATATTAAAATAATTGAGTAAAACCAAGAATCTTACATATTTTTATTTCTCTTTTTCAGTACGAGTCTGGGGGCACTGTGCTGAGTACAAACTGGTCGGAGATTGGAGCTAAAAAGGTGGAGGTGAAACCACCTGATGGAATGGAATTTAAGAAATGGGAATCATGAGAGACAATTTATAACATCTATAAGTCTTTCAATGGAAGAGAATTATATATGCATTATATACCCTAAAGGTTCTAAAGAAATTGTGCTACAAAATTCTGTTACAATTTTTTTTTAATTGAAACTTTGAGAGTTTAGGAATGTATGTTTTGTGTTATTGCATAATAAATGAGGAAAGTTTGTAATACATTGTAGACACTCCCAATCTTAACAAGTTTCTTTTGTGTTACAAAGATGATATTTGAACAAAATTTATCATGTATCAGAAGCATTTAATATCTTGTCATGTTTCCCTAATTTGTAAATTACATGTATATCATTTTTGAACGCATGTTTAAGATAGCAAAGTTGATATCATTAAAATAGAAATCAGAACTTAAATGTATTTACAAAAAAGTTTCTTCGGTAGGGAAATGCATTGATGTGTTTGACATAGGAAAAATCAAGATAAATTTTGTAGTATCATTTTCTTGTATGTTAAGGTACTTTATGTCTATATCAAATTCTTAATTATCTCTTTCTGAATTTGTTTCATGTATATTTTTATATATTATATCGAGAAACTTTTTTCAAAAATTGTTGGAATTTCTAAACTTTCAGACTGAAGTTTACTTATTTTTCATTTTGTATTAAGCATCTTCTTACTTTTTCACCTTTTTGTTTTAATATATTAAAGCTGATGCTCTTAAATGAAAATTAAAGGAATAGACTATTTATGTCTGTTATATTGATGCAGGAATTAAATGATTGCTGAATTAAAATATTGATGTTTTGTTTTACTTCAGTCATTTTAAGGTGATAAATATATGCAACAGGGAGATTGAAAATCTGAAGTAATTTGTGTATTATCTTAAATATCGTTAACTTCTGATTAATTCTTATCGAACAATGTCACATACACTTTGGGTGCGGAGCTCCAAATGCCTTAAAATCCAAATAAATTGAATATTTGTCTATCCCTACATATATACTGATCATATAGATCAATAAAACTTAATTCAAACTGTTTGAAATTCAATTATTACAATTATAAGACGTTAGGAGTTCCACACCCCAAGAGTATATGAACAAAATCAATATGAGCTGATTCTGTACTTCGTTATCAAATGATGCATACTAAAATTTAAAAGGGTGACACATGATTATTCATATTCTGGTTAACTCTTTACCTTACATATTATGTAAAATTTTGATTTCAACTTTATAATACTACATTTCGGACCGAATGTATAACAGTAAAGTCTACTTTGGTTAAAGTTTTATGCAGAACTTCTTTCAGTTTTGGGGGTCAAACCTTAAAATTAATATCTCGGGGGGGGGGGGGGGGGGGGGGGGAGATTAGAT